CGGACAGCCGGTCTTGACTCTTGAAATTTACGGGGCCGCAAAGACCACGGGGACCGGGGCCACCAAGGTCACCAAGACTTACAATCCCAGAGCGGACTGGAACCCCAGCAAGAAAGACCACAACAGCAACAATAACGGCGAGTCCACAGACGCCCATTCCATTGCACCATAGGAGAAAGAAAAGGAGAAAAGAAAGACAAGGGAGCGTCTGGAGTCTGGCCAATATTGCTGTAAATAAGAGAGATTTCCTTGGACAAATCGCCACCGAATCCGCCTGCTTCTGCCATTGGCATTCATCACGCAACAGAAATGACTCTGTCTACAGAACTTTCTCACAATTAACAAGTGTTAGGGATTAAGGCTGCACTGAGGTCACTGCGGAGGGACATGCAAAGCGGAGAGCCAATTTGAGTGCCGATTCTCATGAACTTAACTAGGTATTCACAGGAACATGCCTTCGAGAACTCAAGGTTTATTCATGGACAACGACTCCTCCCATGTCCGGCTCGCCCGGCGGTTGTCCTGTCCGAGTTTCTCTAATGATATTGTGTCATTTCTACGTCTTTTTGGTTCATTCGACAGCGTCGCTCTTAAATCATATGTTCTTCCGCAGAAGAAAGCGTGCCATTCGTGATATCCGTTCCAGATTCCCTTGCCTCAGCCGAGTCCTGCACCAGGCTATCAATCCCCTACGCCCACATGCGACTGAGTATCTCGATCTGCTGCAGCACGCTCGATCGACTGGTACCGCCTTCAGACGTTTTCGCCTCGACACTCGTTTCGTACTCGAATGCCTCCACAATGTCTGCTGTGAACCGAGAATCAATAGCTTGCAGTTGCTCAAGGGTCAGCTTGTCCATCGAAACTTCCGTCTGTTCAGAGAGTGCAACGACGCGTCCAGAGATGTGGTGAGCCTCTCTGAACGGACATCCCTTCCTCACCAGCCACTCCGCGACATCAGTGGCTAGCATCGTTTTGTCCAGAGCAGCCTCCATCCGCTCTGGCCGCACCGTCAAGGTAGCAATGACACCGTTGGCTATGCCCAGACTGTCCGACACAGTCTGAACCGAGTCCAGCATGGGCCCCCACCCTTCCTGGAGATCTTTATTGTAGCAAGATGGCAAGCTTTTCACAGTCTTCGAAGTGAATAGTTAGTACATATTCTCGATGCCTCCTGGTCACCCTAAAAGCAAAGGCAACTTGGCTAGAGGACTTACCATCATTAACCCAGCCATTTGACCGAAAGCACGTCCTGACTTGCCGCGCAAAAGCTCCAACGAGTCCGCGTTGAATTTGTTGGGCATCAAAGAGCTACCCGTGGAGTAGGCATCGGCCAGGCGCACGAAACCGAACTCAGATGTCGAATATATGATCAGGTCCTCAGCCCACCTGCTGACGTGGTTCGTGAAGACCGAGTTCCAGACCAGGAATTCGAGCAGGAAATCGCGTTCGGCCGAGGTATTCATGGAGTTCAAGGTAATTCCGCTAAAACCAAGCTCCTTAGCAATCGTGTTTCGCTCGATTCGGAAGGGATTGCCGGCCAAAGCGCCACACCCAAGCGGGCTAAGATTGACCCTTTCGAAAACTTGGCGCAACCGCTCGAGATCCTGCTTGAACGCAGCGGCGTGCGACATGAGCCACTGAGACCAACGAACAGGCTGAGCACGCTGGAGATGGGTGTATCCAGGCATGATGTAGTCGCTGAGGTTGTCGGTTAGCAGGGGACCGCTTTTGGCCAGAGGACGGGCCGGGCTTACATTTCAGACTCGGCACGTTTGACAATAACCTTGAGGAAGGAAACGAGTTGGCTGTCGATTTCGCGGATGCGATCGCGTAACCACATGCGCATATCACAGACAACTTGCTCGTTGCGGCTGCGACCTGTGTGCAGCTTACCCGCGATGTCCTTGCCGATGACCTCTCCTAAGCGGCGTTCGTTTGCCGTATGAATCTGGTCCATTGTGTTAGCCTCAAGATATTGAGTAGGATTGAGTGGGCTCTCACATCTTCGTCATTGGGCATGATAGCAAAAGTTCCCTGCTTCCATTCTTCCATCACTTGGAGCAGACCACGCTCAATCGCCTGGAATTCATCTTCGCTGACGATGCCAGCCTTTGAGTTGGCCCTGGCAAAAGCAATCGATCCGAGGATATCTTCTCTGTAAAGAGCCTTGTCGTAGTGGATGGAGGCATTGTACTTATGCATGAGAGGATCAATTGCACCTGCGCACCGTGAGGTCAGTACCGCATTCGAAGCTTCTTTCCCGAGAGGTTCGAACCTGTGAACCTGCCCCCCCAGAGCATGCCAGCTGCCGGGGCGTCCGCCTTCTTCTCGGCCATGTTGAGATATTTGTGAGGAGCGTTCGTTGCGGTTTCAAGGCCGTTGAAATCGGTGGGATCGATAAGACCAATGGAGCTTATGGCGCGTAATTGTACCAATGGGCGTTCAAGATCAAGGGCGTGAGTAATCAGGGCCGATGACGTTGAGGAGTTGGGATCCAGGGCGGCGGCAGCTATCAGATCGGTCGAGAGCAGTCATACCTTAGGTAGGAAAAGTTTGTAGGGCTGATACCGGAGTCACGTGTTACGTAAGGACCCCGCCTACTGCCCGTGGGCTCTCAGGTCGACAATCGAATCAACGGTTTAATAGTTTTCCCGTTGGTGACCCGAGCAGTCTATGACTGCAGCACGTCGGCTTGTCGGTTCGTAAGACATTAAGGCGTAAGCGTTTTTGAGCTCGTGGACATGCTTTCCGTACTGGGAAGGCTGTTGGAATGGGAATTCTACACCTTGGGATCTCTAATGCAAACCGTCCAGGAAATGGAAAAATCTCGGCACCCACGGTGAATTGCATAAGATGATGCCAGGGGTCTGGAGCTGGGTGGCATGGGCGAGTACTAGCATACCGTGCTATAGGCGATGCCAGAAACTGTGCGGCGCTCGAGTTGGGGCCTGAAATGGTCCCCAGCACTCTAAGATAGGTAGCTCAGTCTCCCTCTGATCACCCTTGATGGCCTTTCCCTCAGGTGAAAGCAATGCCAGCTCATGTTTCCTACCAGAACCGAATTTGAACGAGACGATTGGCGGGTAGGTACGGATACACGAGCAACATGCTAGGTAGGTACGTATTTACAGCTGGGTCTGGCGCGCCAGCACCAGATCCACCAGTCCATGAAGCTCGGCAGCAGGGAAAGGGGTACAAACCCAGTGGAAGGGACATGTTTCCTCCCTCCGGTGCATTGCTCCTCCACCGAGTCCCTAGTGTACCTCAAGGCTCAGTGTCACTCGCGTGATGTGTAATTGGTTGGGTCAGGTCCGGACCTGACGGCTCTGGATGCGGTGCCGGGTTCCCGTCCCCAACAGTCAATAAGAAACCCAGCAAAAGAATGGAACTTGCTTGGGCCATTTCTCCGCTTTCTTGTCGCTCCCGTCCTTTCCTGTCAGCGTCGTGGTCCTGGCTCCAGGCCCCATATCCAGCGTCCCGTCCCATTCGTTCCATGCTCACACTAGAACCCCCGAACCGAGTGGTCCCGGGCCCCCGTTGCCGTCTCGTCTGCTGGGGTTCACTGTCTGGTGTCAAATCCACAGCGACGACACACAATTTTCTTTGCCTTTTTGGCGCGGACAATTCGGAACGAAGAAAGCAGAACGAGCAATCGCAATTTGCCGTCTTGTTGGCTACCCAGGTAGGTATCTTATTGTCAAAGGTGGACTTCAACGGCCGCGCAGACCATCCGTTCTCTGAACCGATCATCGCGGCTCTATCCCGCTCTACCGTACCTTACCTTACCTAGGTACCGTTAGCTCGCAAGACGTAGGTAGTGTGAGGAGTCAATTCTTCTTCCTCCAATCTACCTACCTACCTCTAATCACATAGTAGTTCTCCAACCCCTCAGCATCAATCTTCCCCCTCCACACCCCTTTCCTTCATCTTACTTGCACAGTCCGGCCCGAACCAGCGCGGCCCAGGAACGACCATTCCCCAACTACAACGACCTATTGTCCGTCGCAATCCGCATTACACTGTTAGGCAAGGTACGAATACAAGAGGCAAGCGTGACGAGGTAGCAACAGCACGCAAACCAACCGACCCCCCTACCACAGGTACCTCAGGTAGCTCGGGTTGGCTGGATGGAGTAAAAGTTGGAACACCACCATCTGTCGTGCCAACCAACGCCGTACAACCCAAACCTCCATCTCTCTTCCCTCCCTCCTCTATCCTGTCCCTGACCTCCCATTCCCGGGCTAGGTGTCAAGTGTGCACCAACGCGGCCGGTTCTGATCCTGCACTTGCGCCGTCAAATATCCACAGTTGTTGACCTTCCCGTATTTCGCTCGTGGAGGGGGTCGTGCCCTTGGCTTGGGACTGGTTTGCCCTGGATTTGGATCCGCGACTGACCTCATTTGCTGTCCCTAGCAGCTAGCATCGTCGACCGCCGTGCTCATCCCTACCCATCGCACTTCGACCAGGAAACCGACATCTGCGTTGCGGTGGAGCGCCTAGCGAGAGAAAGGGCCCCTTTTTCGACCCCTGGTTCGCCGCACCACGAAGCTCAAAATTCAAGACTAGGACTCGACGTGGACTGGACTACCGAGTACACACTACTCCGTACGGAGCTACATTGTACGAATCCCCTGCCTGTTTGTGTGAGCAAGAGATCCATCCATCGTCAGGTACAGGCACAGGCACAGGCACATACTGTATCCGTTCTTACCTTGCTCGCACTAAGAGCGCTCCTTGTGGGTTTGCCATGCCTTCGGTCCTTCCCTGAGGCTCTGGAATCCCGACTTTTAGTCAGTGCATCCACTGTCCCAAAAGTCTGGTTTTCACCAGGGTCGTTCAAGGCTTTGATTTGACTTTGCCGTGCCTGTTCCTGTTCCTGTTCCTGTTCTTCTGTGTTTCTGTGTTCCGTCCTGGCCTTTTCACCTTTTTTTGTCCCTTACACATCGCATGTTTGATTCCCCCGAATAGCCTCTGTCAAAACCCCCCTGGTCGTGGCCATGGCCTCCGACCGAATGGGAGCTCGAAAGGCTCACAGGAGTTCAGAAGGCTCCCACATCCCTCCGAACCACTTCCACCGCGCCGACGACTCCTCCGCTGTCGCATCCTCCGCCTCCGAAGCCACCGCCGCCTCGAGGAAAGCCGAACGCGACAACGCCCACCGCTCCGCCCCTGCCGCTCCGAAGCGATACCCTTCTCACTACTCCCTCCGCCGAGACGAACCAATCCTACTGCCTACCGTTCCCGCCGGGCAACCAGCCAACTACCGCGACTCCATCATATCAATTGTTGACGACCCCTTCTTCCAACGCTTTGACGACTACTCCGGGGAGGGAGCGCATGGATTTGAGCCTCCTCGGACTCCCACAATCCCCGACGAGGACGGCACCCGAAACGCCCAAGACGAAAACGAACAAGGCGACGACGACGACGACGACGACGAGGCCATCGGCGCGACACAAAAATACGAAATCACACAAGAATTCGACTTCGACTTCGACTTCGGGTACTTTGAGCTCCGAGATGACGACAACCCCAACGAGCGCTGGCCGCCCCCAAGAAGAGAGTCGTTGATAATAGGACCTTCCTTGTCCTGGGTAAATGCCCCACCAAACACAGACTGCGGGGTAGCTGATGAGACGGGAAGTGGAAAAAAGGGGCTGACGATCATAGCAACAACCAACCTCCGCCATCATGGAAAGCCTCAATATTGCCGTCATTGGCGCGTCCGGCGTGGGCAAATCGTCCTTCGTCCAGCGCGTCCTCGGCCTCTCGCGCCCTCCCATCACCAACGCCTCCAGTGTCCGCATGGTTGTCGACAATGTCACCTACGGCGTAACCCTCATTGAACTCGACCTCGAATACTTCGAACTGAACCCGTTGCAGCCCATCCAGTGGCCGAAGCAGATCAACGGCCACATCGTCCCGCGAGTAGACGGCGCTTTGATTCTCTACGATGTTATGAATAAGGAAAGCATGAAAGAACTGCCACAAGCAACTGGTGAGCGATGGTCCGAATCGCCTTGGCGCGACGCGCCCCCGCTGACAACATAAAGCCGCGCTCACGAAATCCGGCCTTCCCGCGGTCCTCATCGCCAACAAATGCGACCATCCCGAGACCGACCGACAAGTTGATGCGCAGCGCGTTGCGAGTCACGAATACTTCAAGTCCTGCGTTGGGCAATTCAGCCTCTCCACGAGCGCTCCCGAACGGGCACGAGCCTGCCTGAATACCATGCTGAAAGCCGCCATCGCTTATCGCAAGGGTACGTGAACACGAGCCCCAACTGCATTAGACCGATGCATGCTGATGAACCCTCAGAAACACAAGCGTCGGAAGGGGGCCTGTCCCGCCGTCGTGCAGCCTCGGCAGCCAATCTCGAGGCCCACGACAGCTCGAATGGCCGCCCGCTAAGTCAGCACAGCAAACATAGCCGAGCGAGCTCTGATTTGTCGCTTCTTCGAGGTGTCCCCCCTCCTATCCCGGATCACTTGCGCGGCCCACCAGCTCCAGGCAGCCCGCGCATCGCCAACTTCAACGCGCCTTCGACCTCCACATTTGGGACCGAAACAATCGAAGAAGAATCTCAACAAACCGTGTCCAGTCAGCTGCGGACACCCGGCATCCGTCTCGACCGCGGACCAACAGACTCATTCCTCGACATGGAGGAGTCAGATGCCGAGTCTTTCAGGTACTCGGAGGATATTCCGATCCTGCAGCGGAGTGAGGACACTTTTCTCGAAAAGCCCAAGCCAACGGGCGTGGCGTTCGACGAATTGGTTGACCGCCTCATCGCCCCACGCATGACCAAAGCGGACAACAACTTTTCGGACGTATTCCTCTGCCTGTACCGGAAATTCGCAGCGCCTGGTGAGCTTTTCTCGGCCATCCTGACGCGACTCGATCGTGTCAGAGACGACAAATCGGCGCACTACCTCTCCAAGACGGCGACGCAACTCAGAATTATTGAAGTCGTCGCCAAGTGGGTATCTCTGTATCCCGGCGATTTTGCACGGCCAGGAACTAGACGGAACCTCGAAGAATTCATCAAGCATCTTTCTACCGAACCAATCTTTTCCATCGCCGCCCAGCAAATCAAACGCCACCTGGAATACAGCGTTGTCGAAGATGACGATACCGGATGGGCGAAATCAGACGAGATGGCGGATCAGGAGGGAAGCAAAGTTCTCTCGAAAGACATGACGCGCTCGACGTCAGAACTATCCAATGGCATCACGACCATCTCTCTCGACGACGACAAACCGACAGACGACAGACCTTCTCACAGTTCCGACCTTTCGCACGTGGACAGGACGAGCAGCGTTGGGACACATGTCTCCTTTCACTCATACGATGAATACGAACGAGAAGCAGCCAATATGGAACCGACCGACGTGTTACCCATGAACAAATTTCGCTATCACATTTTCATGGACATATCAGATGACGACATTGCCGACGAGATGACACGCATCGACTGGGTAATGTTCTCGTCCATCCGCATCCGAGACTTTGTACGGCACGTGAGCCTTTCGTTGGAGCTGCGGTCCAAGTGCAAGAGTCTGAAGAACGTCAACCGTATGATCAACCACTTCAATCATGTAGCGAAGTGGGTGGCCAATCTGATTCTGCTGCGCGACAAGGCGAAGCACCGCGCGCAGATGCTGGAGAAGTTCATGAACATTGCGCAGAAGCTTCGACGACTCAATAACTACAACGGACTGGCGGCAATACTTGCCGGCATCAACGGCACTGCCGTCCACCGCTTGGCGCAGACCTGGGCGTTGGTGCCACCAGAAGCACAAAAGTCTTTCGCCAAACTGGGCATTCTCATGGGAACGCAGAAGAGTCACTTCGCGTACCGACTGGCGTGGGAAAACTCGCCGTTGCCTCGGATACCGTACATTCCACTTCATCGGAGAGATTTGGTCTCGGCCGAGGAGGGAAGCAAGACATTTGTGGGACCGGACGGCGACCGAGTTAATTGGAAGAAGTTCGAAGTGCTTGGTGAAGTGTTGCTGCCACTCATGAAGAGTCAAGGGACCGCATATCCAAATCTCACAAAGCACGAGGCGGCCCGAGAACTTATCTTGGACTGCAGAATGCCCACAGATGAAGAGGTAAGTCGAAGCGGCTTTCGATAAGCCACAAACGTTGCTGACAAGGGTTTGCCAGGAAATTTACCAAAGGAGTGTCCAGCTCGAAAGTACGGCGGGTGCAGGCGCCGAAGTGAGCAAGAAGAAGTTCCCTTGGTTTGCCAAATAGAATTTGGCAATCCGGCGGTGCGTGTCAATGGAAAGACTCTGACCAGGCGACGACGGAGTCACAGAAACAAGCGATGGCATGCGGTTTCGACCCATGTGAGACATACCTGCGTGCGCAGGCGTATATAAACAAGTCGGGTTGCAGCGACGTTGTGGGACTGGTGAATGGCGATTTGGCTCGATTTTCGCGATATAGATATCCTATTCAGCAATTGACATCGGGGCAATGGGATGCCTCGGATTCCTTACGATGTTCGGTGCATTCCTGACGAGAAAGAAGCACGCGGCTGGCGATGAGTGCCCTCGTCTCGGCGAACCATCCCCACCTGTTCAGCTCACTCGAGACGTGAGACAACAAGGCTTTACGAAACTCGATAACAACAGACGAGGGCCAGGCACCGGACCCTGACGACGACACCAGGGCCAATTCATGGCCACGCTTCAGTCGTTTAATATTCAATGGCAACAATTGGAAACGCATCTTCATCGGCGATCCGTCTAGGCGCCTTTGCGGCTCCCCTGTCGGTCTTTGCGGTCCAGGCCAACGCCGGGCCCGGGGCCATCCAATGCAGTGCGATGTGGCCGGCGAACAACTGCCCCGCTAGGTTGGATGTAGGTGCGCTAAAGCCAGTTGACGTCATGTTTCCGAAAGCTCTGGTTTTAGCGTTTCAAAGAGAGGGGCAACAAGGGGCCAGACACCGGGAGCAGCAAGCAAGCAGCAGTCGACAGAATTTCCTCGCCGTGTTCTGCAGTAAGCTACCAGGTAGGTAACTGCCAGCAGCTAACTGGCAGTACCTTAAGTAGGTACGTGATGGAGGCGGGGGGCTGCGGGTATGAAGGAGTCCAGTTCCTAGTGGTACCTACCTTACCTTACCTTAAGGTAAGTAGGTACTGATAGGTAACAGCAGCGAGCCGGTCGCGGGGGAAACTACCTAGGTACCTGGCTGCGTACTTTCTCTCTCTTTCTGAACGGCCATTCCACATGGCAAACAGAATGCGCATATTGAATGCCCCGCGACCGTCGCCCCCTCAACCCTTGGTTGGCTGCAGGTGGTGCTCCCGCTGTTCTTACTCGTGCTTCGTCTCATTGCTGGACTTCCTCCTGCTATCTTTCCATGCGTCCGCTGTTAACACTCCCGGCCGCACAGCCTTTAGCTTTACGCAGTAGCTTTCCCGTGCCGCTAGGTAGTTGGCTACCGCCGTCGAGGCGTTGCTACTTGACTCTCCGGAGGAGAGCTCCCGCTGTCACCCATCTCCCCAACACGTCCCCCGCGGCAAAAAGAAAAAAAAAAAAGAACCTCACACACCAACCGCGCCCTCCTCCGTCTATAATCCTTTCACCTTACGCCATTCTTCGTGCTGCATCGCCAGCCCTCCATTGACCCGCTAGGCTAGTTTGCCGGACTTCGTACAAGCTCACCGCCTGCTGCTGAAGCTATCGTGATACGTGACGTTGTCTGCCGAGTCGTTGTGGTAGCATCGCTGGGGTGACTGGCTCTTACCAAAGTCAGCTCCTCCTGAGGCCCTGCAGTTCGTCCCGTCGCAGAAACCTTTCGCTCTTTTCGCCGCAGCAACCCACACAAGTTTTTCCCCTCCTCACACCTCTCGCAAATCCCTCAACTTCCTTTGCTTGCCATTGTGGTACTCAGCATACTGCCAGCCACGTTACCTGTGCTCTCCACGGCCCCAATTCGCCCATCATGGTCGTATTTGACGGGCACGAGTACCTCACCGAGGAGGAGAAGCGCCTCAAGGAAGACCGCAAGCGAGAGAAGTACTGGAAGAAATGGGGTCCCTATGTTGCCGAGCGACAATGGGCGACCGGTGAGCCAACATTCGTCACTATCACCAAGAAACGCAATCTAATCGAAGCTGTGTCGCAGTGCGTGAGGACTACAGTCCCGACGGAGACGCGTGGAGTCGTGAGGATCTCCCCCCGCCTTCTTGCTCCACGAGAGCTCCAATTGCAACCCGCTGACAGACGAACCCCAGACTTTACCCACGACGACGCAAGATCCCGAGCCTACAGATGGGGTGAAGATGGAATCTCTGGTGTCTCCGACACCCACGGCTTCCAAAACATTGCCTTTGCATTCTGGAACGAGGAAGAGTGAGTCGTTGTCAACCCATGTATCGATTGGCTCAATTGCTGACGATGCGGTAGCGACTTTCTCAAGGAGAGGCTCTTTGGCCTCTCAAATCCTCAGGGAAACCATGGCGAGAGCATCAAGGAAGCCCACTTTCATGTTGACAACACACCTGTGAGTAACAACAGTTTGTTTTTGGATGCAGTTACTAACAGAGATTGCAGACGGTAAGATCAGAAGAAGCGACGTCGATTGTCCGTATTGACCAGATTTGCAGCACTCTTACATGAAATTCCTCTACAAATACCCCCAGAAGAAGTTCCCGTACAAGGACCTGCTGGAGGAGAGCGCAAGGAGAGGCAAGGCCGACAAGGAATACCAGATCATCGATACCGGTGTCTTTGACGAGGACAGATACTGGGATATCTTCATTGAGACGGCCAAGGCGACTGACGACCCCGAGGAGATCCTCTTTCGTGTAACAGCATGGAACAGAGGCCCCGATCCGGCGCCGCTCCATATTGTGCCGCACATGTGGTTCCGCAACACTTGGGCCTGGGGTCGCGAGCCTGAAGACAAGAAGCCCTCGATTGAGTCTTACGCCGAGAGCATGGCCAAGTCCAAGCACCACAAGCTCGGCGAACGCTACCTGCTTCTGTCACCGTCACCCGGTGTCGGTTCCAGCGGGGAGGACGTGCTACCCAAAATGTTGTTTACTGACAACGACACGAACTACGAGCTGCTGTATAAGCAGAAGAACAAGACGCCCTACGTCAAGGATGCTTTCCATAGGTACATCGTTGACGGCGAAAAGGGGGCTGTCAACCCGGAGCAAAAAGGTACGAAGACTGCCGCATGGTTCAGTTTCAACGAGGACGGCGGCGTTGCTCCCGGCGAGTGTGCTGTCGTGCGTTTCCGTCTGTCCAAGAAGAACGAGACGTACTTTGACGAAGGGGAGTTTGATGACCTGATCGACCTGAGAATCGCTGAGGCCGACGACTTCTACTACCGTCTCAGCCCTCTGCCGATGGCTGATGACCTGCGCAACATCCAGCGCCAGGCGTTTTCCGGTATGATGTGGACAAAACAACACTACCTGTTCATCTGGGACCAGTGGGCGAACGGAGACCCAACGCAGCCTCCTCCGCCCCCGGGTCGGAAGGACATTCGTAACAGTCAGTGGAAGCACATGCACTGCGACGACATCCTGTCCATGCCGGACTCATGGGAGTATCCTTTCTTCGCCGCCTGGGACAGTGCTTTCCACTGCATTACCCTGGCGATGATGGATCCTGACTTCGCCAAGAAGCAACTGGATCTGTTTACTCGAGAGTGGTACTGCCACCCCAACGGACAATTGCCCGCGTGAGTAGTTTCAATAACGTACCATGAGAATCATAGCTAAATAGGACCAGCTACGAGTGGAACTTTGGCGACGTCAACCCCCCGGTCCACGCCTGGGCCACATTTCGCGTCTTCAAGATCGAGCGCAAGATGTACGGAAGACAGGATCTGGACTTCCTTGAGAGAGTCTTCCAGAAGTTGTTGCTCAACTTCACCTGGTGGGTCAACCGCAAGGACGCCGAGGGCAAGAACGTGTTTGAGGGAGGTTTCCTCGGTCTCGACAACATTGGTCTTTTCAACCGTTCTGAGCCCCTCCCCACTGGTGGCTCCCTGGAGCAGGCAGACAGTACGGGCTGGATGGCCTTCTATTGTCTCAGCATGCTGAACATTGCCCTCGAGCTGGCAAAGCACAGGCGTACCTACGAAGACATCGCGTCCAAGTTTTTTGAGCACTTCATCTTCATCAGCGATGCCATGACATTCAGAACTGGTCAGAAAGACGAGAAGTCGCTGTGGAACGACGAGGATGGCTTTTACTACGATGCCATCTCCTGGGGTGGTCCCTGGATCCAACAGCTTCCTGTTCGATCCCTCGTCGGCTTGATCCCGCTTTACGCGACCATGACTCTCGAGCCGGAGTTGATCAACAAGTTGCCTTCTTTCAAGAAGCGAGTAGACTGGTTCATCGAGAACCGTTGTGACTTGGCTGAGAGAAACATGGCCAGTATTGCCAAGCGCGGTAAGGGCAACAGAATTCTACTGTCTATTGTCAGCAAGGACAGGCTCGAGAAGATTCTCAAGCGCATGCTTGACGAGGACGAGTTCTTTAGCGAGCACGGCATCCGCTCTCTGTCCAAGTTCCACGAGAAAAACCCGTTCTCTATGGAGGTCAACGGGCAGACATTCTCCGTGGGCTATGTCCCAGGCGACTCCGACAGTGGTCTGTTTGGAGGCAACAGTAACTGGAGAGGCCCCATCTGGCTTTGCGTCAACTTTCTCCTGGTCGAGTCTCTCCAGCGATTCTTCCTCTTCTACGGCCACGAGTTCCAGGTCGAATGTCCCACGGGTAGCGGTGACTACATGCATCTGGGCCACGTCTCCGAAGAGATTCAGCACCGTCTGCAACACTTGATGTCTCGCAACGACGACGGCCGTCGCAGCATCAATGCCGGAAACGACTTGCTCGACTTCGACCCTCACTGGAAAGATTACTTGTGGTTCTACGAGTTCTTTGACGGTGACTCTGGCCGCGGTCTCGGCGCCACCCACCAGTGTGGTTGGACCGGTTTGATGGCAAGAATGATCCACGATACTGGGTAACACTCACACATATCTCAATGATGCTCAATCGCTAACAACCATTTCAGAATCAGCTGTCGTCTTCCGCACACTCCCCGCACCCCTTCCGCCGGAATGTCGCACTATTTTGACGACATTCTCACCCGTGAAATCAAGCGCCGTGACTCCAACACCCCGGCAACCCCGGGTCCCAACGGCAAGCCCCGCATGCGCAGGTCGTCGACGGCGCGGTCCATCGGCGCGCGCAGTGACTTTGACAGCGACATGAACGGCGCAGACGGTGACGAGGGGTCGCTCGGCAACTCCGTCACCTTGGAAGACCCGGAGAAGCTTCGGGAGAAGTTGAAGGAACGGTCGGAGGCGGACGCGCACATGCACCGGTACATCTCGGACCAGCTCGAGCGCTTCAAGGGCGACAAGGAGTATGTCAACGGAGGTGACAACGAGTACGAGACCAGTGCCTAAGCGATGTGTTGTTCGTGTGGTTAGTCTAGCCGGTGGTCGGCGAGTCCGAAAGTAATTGCTTGAAAAGGTCGGTGGGCATCATGAATAAGACGGGCGGGAGAGGGAAAGAGCAAAATATTGCGTTACAGGAGTCTCCTTGCGTGTGAATGCGAATACACTACTTACTGCCATCAGTGCACATAGACACATATACAGGTCTGTTAGAATGTCGAGGATAGAGTTACTGGAGCTTCAATATACACGGGAAGTTCCCATCCGTCTACGCCGACCGCTCTTTGCGCGTTTCTGTGCGATTTTGTTTTCACGGCTGGGTCTGATCACACGAGACCTAGGTTCTTTCCGGGCTACATACGATTGTCATCAGTGTCGTCATGTTCGGGCGTAATGATCTTGCTGAGATGCTACTTCCCTCGAGGGCGATCGCCAAACAAATGAATTTGACAAGCTCAAGTGAAACCAGGGCAGCCATAGGTCCGATCAGAGCTAGTTATCAGGCGTCGCTTGGGAGGTCATAAGAGCGGTGGAGTTGTCGTTGCTCTCGGCCTGGGTGGCAGACATCTGGGCCATACTCATCATAACCGACGGAAAAGGCCCGTTGGTAGAAGTGGGCAGCGGTTGTTCCAGTCAGAGAACGAGGCGTTGGCAAGTTTCCGTGAATGCTTCTATTGTAGACTATGCACAGATTTCGTCTCATGGCCCGGAACAGGATCCCTCCTCTCCCTTTTACTTTTTCTCGGAAGGCCAAAAGATGAAACCCCTCTCTTTCTGAGCCCGCCAAGTCTCCACGGAGAATTCATACGACGAGGAGGGGGGAAACCCCGGATTCTTTCTCATCGTATAGATTTCGTTTGGAGCGCGCAGTAACAGCCCGGCACCATATTTCCCCCCCCCCCAAAGAGAAGAACCCCGCGGCTAAAGTTTACAAGAAACACACACACAAAGAGAATAATAGTTCGCGGAGGGGTTCAGAAAAGGGGGGGAATTAGATGAGGTGATTCGGTTCTTTTTTTGTTTATGCTAGTCGGCTTCCCATCTCAGATAGTAATAAGATGTGAGACTGTTTTACAGGGCGTCGTTGAGGAGCTTGTTGAGCTTGGCGATCTTGGAAGAGACGCTGAGGTCGATGGTGCGGTCGCCGACCTCGACGATGAGACCGCCGACGATCTCGGGGTTGACCTAGACGGGATGTGTTAGTTGGGAGGTTGCCCTTGTGATGTGCCGGCGTTGCCTGGTCCGAGGTTCTCGGTGGTTTCGGCCGAGAAGACGTACCTGGTTGGTGACCTTGAGCTTCTTGCCCTGGCCAACGTAGGCGGACTTGGAGATGGCGGACTCGAGTCTGTTGAGGGTTCTGTTGTCGAGTTGCTGTGATGATGTCAGTCACTGTCCCAATATCGTTTTGTGGCAGCGTCCGAGGATGCGGCTTGTCGGTAGTCTCTGCGGGGGAATTGCTGTTCGACGCATGTTCCCCACGCGAGTCTCTCTCAAAGCCGCACCGTCAAAAGAGACATATACGCCCTCCCACACATGCCACTTATGATATTAAAGCCAACCGCATCCTTGAGATATCAAACGTACCGTAGCGCTGGTGACGATGAGCTCAACCTCACCACGAGCGGCGCTCATGATCTCGGCGAACTTCTCGCAGACACCGGGGAGGAGGCCGAGGCGGTTGTTCTCGGCGAGGGCGGCCAGGAAGTTCTTGACAGTCTCCTGGGAGCTGGCGCCGGCCTGCTTGGTGAGCTCGGCGACGATGGCCTCCTTGTCCTCGGCGCTCAGGGTGGGCGCGGCGAGGATGGTGGACAGCTTAGCATCCTTGGAGACGAGAGACTCGAGGGTGGACAGAGCCTTGGCCGTGGGGTCGAGGGAAGAGGTCTTGACGGCGGCGGTGTACTACAGGAAAACGACACAGTTAGCGTTGCTGTCGTTTCCGCATCCCAAGTGGGTTTTTTTAATCCCTCCATCCATCATCGGAAGATCCCAGTCCTCGATCAAACTCGAGCTCCCTCAATTGAGCCATACAACTCAATTGACCCCGGAAAAATGCAGCGACGGGGTTATCGTACCAGGGCAGTAGCGTAGGTGCCGTCGAGGCCAAAGACGGCGACGGGGGGCTTGACGTTGTCGGTCGCAGGGGCGGCGGCAGCGGCGTAGGTTCGGACGGCCGGGGCAGCACGGGGAGCAACGAGGCGCGACGCGGGAGCCGCCGCTCGGATAGCGCGGGTAGCCGATCTCGAGAACATGACGGATGTTCGTGGGTGGTGTTCAATTGATGGGAGTCGGACGGAGAGGGGGCGTCGGCGGGCGGGAGGGATGCTGCTGGTCTTGAGAATCGCAGGTGGTAGCTGTCGGTTTTCGACGTTGAGGTTTGAACTTCGGCAATTTGGGATGTTGATGCCTTGGGGCTGGCCGGTGCGTGGTGCACCAGTACCGTGAGGCATCAACTTAGGTAAGCTGGGTCTTGAGGTCGGATCGGTGGAAATCGGAGCTGGAATTCCTGGGCCATCCATTGCAGGGCCAACGTCTGCACGGACCATCCGAATTGAGTTCCCTGCCTTGGACATGCCTCTGTGACGAATTGAGATGAACCATGACGCTTCAAGCCGTGTCCAAATTGTCATGGCTAATACTCGGATTCTCAACTTAATGCTGAATTCCCCATAACCCTATGCGTAGTCTACGGTAATATCACAATTGCCGCTGCCCTTGTCCTGTCTGCGAGGGGGGCTGCAGCGGTATCAAAGCCGAACGCGCCCAGTTATCAGAACTTCCCGAATTACCAAACCGGCGTCCCTGTTATCCCCAACGCCCAGACAATGCATTCATTCATCAATTTCAAGATTTCGTCGTCACCTCGCTCAATCGCTCTCAATCATCTTCTCCGCAAGGTCATTCAACGGGCCGTAAAAGTCCTTGCCGCTGGCGAGCTTGTGCTCGTCGACGAACAGCACGTACTGTTTGAAGCTGGTGTTGAGATGGGGCTCGAGACCGAGCTCCCTGATGACGGCGTAGTGGTGACAGTACACATGGGCGTAGACCCGGTACATGCGCTTGAAGATCTGGCGCACGTGCGACGAGAAGTTCTTCGGGAAGGGAACACCTGTGTAGCCGGTCAGCGCAAACTCCTGCCGACACGGGACGAGGCATACGAACCGATTCTGCTGGGCATCATCGTCTCGTTGTCGATGGTACTCTGGACCCAGGTCATGAGGTGCTCGATGTAGTCAGGCGCTGACATGTGGGTCGGTTTCTTGTACTGGTCGCTATCCTGCCAGAGATACTCGAATTCGTCCGTGGCTTTCATCTCGGGACACGACTGAGGAGAGCAGAACTCGGTGATGGCGCCGTAGAGAAGGTTGATCTGGTTGTAAAAGTCGACCACTGCGCATCGCAAACGTTAGTCGACCCCGCGCCACCTTTGCTCATGGACTTCCGTAGTCTAGGGTGTGCTCACTGTTGACCGCCAGCCATTCGTTCTCGTCTTCGCCCTCGGGCAGCTTCACGACCTTCCTGAGACTGCCTCCTCCGAGAGTCGCTTCGGCATACTGTCGGAGCGCGACGCCGTTGTTGCCTCCCTTGACGGTGCGCGCACGAAACTGGTTTCTAGCCGCCTTACTATCGTCGTCGCAATCGTCGTCAGCAGCGTCCAGCACATGTTCCAGGGGATCGGGCTCGGTGTTCTTGATGACCGTCACGTCGCGATTGACGGCGCTGCAGCGCAGGGGATCCGGCACCGGCGGCCGGGGACGTGGCGCCGGCAGCGATGGTATCCCCCCCGCCAGCAGCCCTGTCCTCACGCTGAGGTACTGCAAAAGGGACATCATGGAGGCGGCTGTAACGGTGGTACTGACACTGTCATTCCCGGCACCCCGTTCATGGTGGCGGCGTATCGAGGAGTGCTCGAGGGTTCAAATGTGTTTTAATATTATCGTCGTTTGTTCTGGCTTCTGCATTCCATTCCAGTGGTTAGCGGGGTAATGGAACAGATGAAATCCGGCGGACAGCGCTGAGAGATCGTTCAAGGCGTACCTGGTGGTTTGATGACGTTGGCGGGCGATTTTTGTAGGCAGAGTTCGTGTGGTTGGGAGGACGTTGATTGAGAGAATAGGTCAATTTAGAATAACGCAGGTGAAGAGATGCGCGCGGCTCATTGTTTTGGGTGTCATAGGTAAGGCGCTGGTCAAAGGGTCCCCCCTACTGCATGGAAGGGATGAGTGGTGTTTATGCGCTTGCCCAATCGGTGTGGTTGCTGGGCTGCAGGAGCCGGCTTTGTGGATACTCCAGCCACACATCCGCATGATAGACGTGGCTGATGCACGGGGTCTTCCCGTTCAGTCTCCGTCGGGTAGCACGGACACCCCCGGCCGGCAAACCTCGGGCGGAGGTTAACCACGGAATACCGGACCCCTTCTTACGGAAGCGACCGCATCCTTTTGTCGGACATCGGGACATTATCGGGGGTCGGTATGTATCCACTTTACACGAGTGAATCGAGATTGGGTCCGTCACGACTCAGTCTCTTGCTTTGATCAACAATGTGAGCATGCTAGGCCTCTAAACAGTTCAGTGTTTCTCCCGGCTGGGGTTTGAATAGCCTCAATTCAAAGTGGGGAACCTGTCATCCCCGCACTCTAGTCTTGTTTCCCCTCATTCTGTCCATCTCAGTCTAGGACTGGCCGACTTGTAGAGCAACGACTTGAAGGTTTTCTCGGTTGAGAGTTGACCGAGATTAATCATTTGACTGGTGTGGACCAGGAAATAGTAGATCCAGCTCCAATGTTCCTACCTAGTCGTCATCACCGTTAGGATGTCTAGCCTGGGTATTCTTGGCCGGTGTCTGGGTTCCCCGCGCGAACCAGAATCCTGGGACAACACAAGTCGAAATACATTTAATTATCACCGCGTGCGCTTGTCATTCGAGCAGTGTCTGAATCCGAGACTGTCTGTAGGTCTGACGTTGTAGTTGCCTGAGTTGTCGCAACTGCATATCGACATGCGTGCTTCATATTTCTTCCCATTGCTATGCATCCTCGTCGAGGCAAAGATAGATAGGCAAAAAGTCGTCCAAACATTCAACCCTCGTCGCAATGCCAGCTCGCCAGAAACGCCACTGCAGGTAGGCAATGGCAACTTCGCCTTCGGTGCCGACATCACCGGGCTTCAGACATTCAGCCCCTTTGCTACGATGTCGACCTGGGGATGGCACAACTTCAGTTTGCCGACCACTCCAGGCCGAACTTCAATCGAAGGTGAGTCGCTGTGTAAACGTATTTGGTGTAGTATCTGAGGACGCGGGACTGAGTACAAACTTCGCAGATTACAACGGCACTGAATGGTGGACGCACGGCCGACTGGTCCAGTACAACATGGCCAACCCAACAAACAACGACATCGCAAATTGGCTCCGCGAGAACCCTCACCGGATCAATCTGGGCACCATCGGCTTGTCGTTTGGTGGCAGCAATGCATCGGCCGCGGCTGTGACGGAAGACATGCTCAACGACAAGCAGCAGGTTCTTGACATGTGGACGGGTGTCATCCGCTCCAACTTCACTTACAAGAATACTCACGTGAGAATTGAGACCTGGGCAGATCCGAACTCAGACACAGTCGCCGTGTCCATCGAGTCCACACTGCTCTCTTCGGGAGACTTGTCTATTTTCTTCGACTTTCCCTACCCTACAAACGACAAGTTTGGAGCTCCGTTCGTGGGGAGGTTCAATCAAACGGACAAGCACGTAACGTCTTTTGCGACATGCGGAGGTAATCAGGCCAAAATTCACCACAACTTGAACACCACGGAGTACGACCTACGCATCCAGTGGGACGGTGGAAGAGGCAACGGCTCGGTTGTGGCGCCGACCGACGGAAGCCATCGATATGTCTTGTCAGTGAGTGGCACGGAGAAGCTTCAGTTTACAGCCAACTATGCGCCCGTGAAGCCCATGAGCCAGCCAAGGTATGACGACATCGTGAAGGCTTCGCAAGACTGGTGGCTCTCGTACTGGTCCGACGGTGCTTTCATCGACCTGACCAACACAGCGGACGCCAACGCAACCGAACTTCAGAGGCGTACGATTCAGTCCCAGTACTTGGTGGCAGTCAACTCGGCATCTGACTACCCTCCACAAGGTAACCTTTATAACCTTGTATTCATCTTCAATACTAGACTGACTTCGGCCCAGAATCCGGTCTCGTAAATAATGGCTGGTTTGGGAAATTCCACGTGAGATTCACCCCTCCTACCCTGGATCACCAAGTCTAACCAGCTTCCAACAGATGGAAATGATCCTCTGGCATAGCCTCCAGTTTGCCCGCTGGAACCACTTCCCCCTTCTCTCCCGATCCCTCCCGCGAACCTACAACCACCTCTTGCCGTCCTCCCTTTCCCGTGCCTCAAAACAAGGATATGCCGGCGCCCGCTGGGGCAAGATGACGGATCCCTCGACCATCGACGCGCCGGGCGAGATCAACACTCTCTTGATCTGGCAGCAGCCTCACCCGATGTACTTCGCCGAGCTAGAATACTGCCACGCGCCGACGGCCGACACCCTGAGGAAGTGGGACGAGGTGCTCACGGCGACGGCGGATTTTATGGCTTCATTCGCCTTCTTCAATGAATCGACAGGAGTGTACGACCTCGGCCCGCCCATGTATCCCGTCTCGGAGAACACGAACCCGAATGTCACTGTCAATCCAACCTTTGAGCTGGCGTACTGGCGCTTTGGGTTGGACGTGGCTGTAACCTGGAAATCCCGCCTCGGCGAGGAGGTTCCTGGAGCTTGGACGAAGGTCAGGGATAACCTGGCGCCCTTGCCCATAGTTGAAGAGACGTACCCCGTGTACGAAGGTGCCCAGGGGATGTGGACAAACATCACCACGGTACAGGACCATCCGGCAATGTCGGGAATCTTCGGACTTCTCCCGCCTCCTTCTTCCGGGCCCGCGCTCAACCGAACCGTCCTGGAGAACACAGCTGCCAAGATCTGGGAGCTTTGGGACCTGAACGAATCGTTCGGCTGGGATTTCTCGATGTTAGCCATGAACAGCCTACGTCTGGGAGATTCGCGGCGAGCGGTCGAGTATCTGTTGCATCCTACGTTCCAATTCGACGACGCCGGGTATCCTGTGGGAGGGACCAGGGTGCCGACGCCGTATTTCCCCAGCTCGAGCAGTTTGCTGCTGGCCATGGCCATGATGGCCGGAGGATGGGACGGCACCGAGGGACCGCATTTCCCCGAGGGATGGGATGTTGCGGTGGAGGGTTTTGCTCCTGGCCTCTAGTATAATCGTAGACATAGAGCCTAGATATTCATGAGGTCAGCAGCCGCTGACCTGAATGATACTCATGAGCCACGCTCGTTGCCTAGAAACTTGATGATTCCGTCAACAGCACTCAACGCAAGTGTTCTCCAACCATTAGCACACCAGACAACCGGAGTATCCAACAACAATGTTCAAACGTTTTGATTTTCTTCTGCTGGCATGAGCCGTGTCGACTGGACACGTGAATGGCGAGCATTTCACAATATTCTGCTCCCCATCCAACCAGCCTGCTGTGGCGTCGAACGACCAAAAAAAATAAAGGGGCGCCGGTGCGCCGATAGCCCGGCGAGCATTCCATCTGCATCTACAAAACCACCTTTCCATCCCCTCATCCCCGGAGTCATGTCCGCTCTTGTCCGGCGTACGTTCAGTCGTTTTGTCGTTTGTGTCATTTCAAGTTTAGAAAGTGAAGAGGCCCGGCAGCAAGCTCCCGCCATGAACGCTCAGAGCAGAATCTCGCCCATGTTCTCCCCCTCGAAGCCCAGCTTGCTCAGCTTCTTGATCCGCGATTTGTCGCGCGCCTTGTCCTGCTCCTTCTTCTCGGCCGCCAGGCTGTGCACCAGCTTGAGGTCGGCCGGCTCGTAGCCCGGAGGCGGGTCATCGTCCTTGTCGAGATCGATCTCGCCCAGGAGGAGCACGTTTTCGCCGCGCACGAGGAAAATGCCCCGCTTGATGTCGGCGAAGAGGCCGGCAGAGCGCGGCGGGTTCGCCTCGGGATCCGGGTGGGCGAACACGCGCTCGACGGTGTCCTGAAGGACGAGGTTTGCTGCAGGCAAGGAATGTTAGCCACAGTGTTGATGTAGCAGCAGGTCGTCACAATCGAAAACGGTGCACACTCACCAAACTGGTCCCAGCTACGAAGGACGCCAATTAGTTTGCGACCGTCGCGTAGGGCGACCATGAGCTTCTCTACAAGCTGTTGTCAGCCAAATGCCCCGATTGGCCATGTCCCGCATCAAGCAGGCGACCGTCGATGTGTTTTTTCTCTCGTCTTACTGTCGGTAAGGTCCAGCAGTTGCGCCGCGGTAGTAAACATTTGCGGCGGGAGCTGAGTCTGTTGGGGAGGGGGTGGCGCGCGGCCGCCGAGGACGGGCTGGCCACCCTGGGGAGGGGCATCGGAGATCGTGAGGTTTTCCATCGTTTTTTATCTTGTTGGCATTGGTATCTGAGAATTGTTGCATTCGAGCCAGTCCCAGTCCATCGATTAACGTGCGAAGGTGGAGAAACGCAAAAGGGGGAAGGAAGCAGCAGCTTATAATGCAGAGCTAGCGAGCATCGTCGAAAGCAGAGCGTGTAGTGTTGAGTCGTGTGTCGATTGCCGGCCTTGCGATCCTACTTTGCTTCTGAGGGCGCTATGCTGCTGGTAGACGATGGTCAGTCAAGCTATCATCATCGTGGGTCTATCCCTGGTCCCGGCTGAGCAGCGGCGCCGGCGGGCTGGCGGGGTGGACTGGACGCTGCCCTGAGCTGCTATCGGAAGGAGTGTTTTTGCGCCGTCCGACAGAGGCAGGCCGGGCCCCGGCTGAGACCCCGAGCATGGATCGTTTCCTGGCTGGACGTGGAGTTGCATTGGCCGGAGCACGTGAAAGGCGGGGCATGAGTCAATCCCTGCTGTCAAAAATTCTGATGATCTCAGATGCATGCGGGGCCGTCGCAAATTCGCAGACAGCCACTGATACCTTGCTGTTGCTGCGGAGGGGTAGCAGCTCAACGAGTCCGAGTTTGACTTTTCGTCGGCACAGAAGACAAAGATCCAGTTCTAAGTACCTTGGTTACTGAGATGTAGTGTATCGTGGGCGTCGAAATATCGTGTCGCACGAGGGCCGAAGCTTCGTTACTTCTAGCTTGTCTTGTTTTGTTTTGTTTTTGACTCTGCGGACTACCTTAGGGGTGTGTAGCTGTTTGTGCGTGTCTGTCTATAAGCTCGCTGGACGTTCTTTTTCCGTGCATTATACACGGAATGCAATTGGGAGAAGCCTCCATTTCAGTCATAGAATATGACCAACTGCCGCATTCATGCCTCCCGCTTCGTCTATTCGCTCTTGCAACATATCCTCCAATGCAACCGAATCATGCCAGTCCGAGCCTCTCCCTTTTCCCGCTGTCTATAAAGCAGTCCGTCCATAACGCCAAGCCATCATGCTGTGTGTTTGTGTGTGTGTGTGTGTGTGTGTGTGTGTGTGTGCGTGTGTATGTTTTTGTGTGTTCTTGGTTAATGAGGGGTGTCGTTTCGTTTGTAAAGCAAGCATTGACAACAACCGACGAGACGTCAAAGATTGTTCAGTCTTTTCTCTCGTAACATTTGGATACGAGAAGCCACTGGGGCTCAAATGGTCGATGATTTGTGAAAATGGGTGTATAGCAACAGCGAGACGCATTCCGAGCGGCGTCCGGCGTGGTCGATTCGCAAAGATACGCGTGGAAAGGCAGCGGGGTGCACGCTTCGCTTTCATATCAAGGGCAGGGGACGAGGAACCGAGGCGCCGGCGCGCCCATTGCGTATCATGACTTTTTCATAGTGCATCTAGTCAAGGCTTCGAGAAGCTCTGGCCGTGCCGCCAATGCCTCCTTGGCCTCGGTGTATGTCATCCACTGACGCTCCCTCTTGTGTTTCTCGGGCCAGTTGTCCTCTTGCCGAACGACGGTCGCTTCGTAGAATCGATACAGAGACTTGGAAGAGTCCTTGCTGGAGTGTTTCGGCGGGCGAGTCTCGACAATGTCTCCCAAGTCGTAGTTGATCTCGATGCTGATGCCTGCTTCTTCCCAGGCCTCGCGCGCGGCTGCCTCGGTGCATTCTTCGTCTGTCTCCCAACCACCTTTTGGCAGCACCCAGCCTTTTCTACGGGTGGACTGAATGAGGAGAACGTATTGCTTGTCTTCGGTCAAGGGGACGACGCCGGCGACCAAACGCTCGCCTTTGGAGTTGTAACCTGTGAGACAAGGTGTTAGTGGGTCCCGCGCTGCGAGCAGGCGCACCAGGGTTTGGAGGGGAGAGACTTGGAAATTGCCTCTGCCCCCGTTTGCTCACTTACGCTGCTTGCTTCTTCCCGTTCGCGACTCCATTGTCCGCTCTTTATGAGAGGAAGACATGCTAGGCAGCTTCTTGTTCTATCGCGGATTGTTGTTTGGTGGGAGGGGAGGTTCGGAAAGAGATGGGTTTTGCTAGGTAGGCTGAGGTGCAGAGCTGCTCTGACATGCGATGCGGTTGCGGAGTAGGTAGTCGCGGTAAGGTCCGACAACTTTTTTTTAGGCCTCGCAGCTGTGTTGCAAGTCGAAAGTTGTCCAGGCTGGGTGGCTTCGGGGTTTGTTGCGAGCTCAAAGATTTTTCAGCGGCATGATGGCGTATTTCCAAGAGAATTCTGGTGAATATGGTCGGGTCTCTAAATCAAGGGCTGTGCGAGATTTGGAGAGGTGAATGGCGGGTTTACTGTCGCGCGCACTGAAGCTTCGGATGGGATGGAGTCAGTTGGCGGCGTCGGGATTTCGCTGGAGTTTGCTGACAGGCCGCTGGAGAAACGAGTGGGACCAGCCTGTGTTGGGCCAGCAGTTGGACGCTTCCCGCCGCAGGAAAGACTCTGGTCGAACCAAAGAGTCACTCGGTCAACGGGGATAATAAGCCGAAGGTTGAAATGAGTCGGAGGTGTTCAAACCAGCCAGAGAGAAGCAGGCAGTGCGACTTGTCTCCTGATGCTTGGCCGAAAGGTGGTCGACCGGAAAGGAAGTGGCAACGGGGATGAGGACAAGGAGGATGGGGACGGATGGTCAGCCAGATATGACTGAGGCAACACGGAGTGACGATAAATATAAATGACCGGGTGAGAGGGTAGAAAGCTGGGTTACCAGCCGGCCGCCAACGGCACAAGTAGTTCAAAGGAACCAAGATGGAAGGTAGAAGGCATAAGAGGTCAAGTCAAGGCCAGGAAGGGGAAGGGCTGGGGAGAGTGAAAGAAGCTGCTGGAGCAGCGCCAAGTACGATAATGGAAGGTACAGGCAGCTTTTTCTGGGAGCTCTGATGCAGACCAGAGAGTGGCATGTGTCGTGCCATAGCAGCAACCTGGAGGGGAACGGACGGGCTCTGCAGGGAAATTAAAGTTGATTTGTATACTTAACCCTTTGAAGATGGAGCTCGTGCTCTAACAGCCCACGAGTGCTAGGGGACGACTGTTATGGTGGTCCAACTGACATTACCTTACCTTAGCATGTACGGGCAGGGTAGGGAACCTGGGAAGAACAAAAAATGCAAAGAGAGATCAGACGGGAGTATGATGCTAGACCGGGTTGGGGTTGGGAGGCATTACCTAAGGTACCTCCAGCTTACCTAAGGTACCTCAGTGACCGCCAACGGAGGAGCGCCAGCAGTAGCTTCCTCCCGCTTCCATTGTCCAAACTCATTTTCAGGCGGCTCACTCGCACTGCCCCGTACCTTACGGGAAGGTATGACTTTAATTCGTGCCTTGCCTACCTATCAAATATAACAACGGATGGCATCCATATCTCAGTCTCGGTTGCCTGCTGCATCACCACGGCTCTGCTCACAGAGGTCTGTACCTCGGCACTCAATAAAGACGATACTACGGGCACCTCTCGCCTCGCGTCTTCCGCTATCGCATCTCAACTTCCTGGTCAGGTCCATCTCTCGCGTCATCCCCGATCCGACAGAGCCGCCGCGCCAAATCCTGGCTGGTCTTATGCAAAAAGCTCCCTTGAGCCAACGAGGGCCAAAACCCGCCAGGTCAAATGCCGTAAGGTAACGCTGACAGCTCGCATCGCACGTGCTCCATGCTCCGACCTCCTGCATATCCGTGCCTCCATCACCGCCTGGTGACAACTTGCAAACCAACTTCTTTCCAGTTTCCAGCCAGACGTGGTGCAAAAAGAGAAGCTAGGAAAGGCAGACACACTTGGCCAGCTAACACATCTTTTCTGACACGCTGGCAAGGCATAGGCGATCCAGGGCACTGGCACAGGCACACTGTTCTGGGCAGCTACCCAAGGAGGCAGGCAGGTGGATAGGCAGAGAGCAACTTCGTCATACCTACCTTGGGGTTGGTGGCCCGCGGATTGGGCATTAATTGGCCAGTACAGGCTACAAATACAGGCCAGCCCGTGATACTAGCAAGCTTCTCTGGTCTTTCTAGGGCGAGCTTCACTAGCAGTGCAGCACATCGCATCGCATCGCATCGCATCACACGCTCCTCTCCCAAAGCCGCTTCGCCTCGAGCCTCGTGCATTGCTGGGCAACAAAACGTCGCAGCCAACCAGCCAGCCGTTACAGCGCTGCATCTCGGGAAAGGAACGAGAAACCGAAGACGCGGCGACGTCGCTTCCAGTCTTCGCTGTTCGGAAAGCACCACGACGGCCCCTCCATCCCAAGCTCCCCGAGCCCCGCCATTCAAAGTCCCGTCCCATTTCTACCTCCCTCACCCGAGCTCAGCACATCATCGTGTTCCCGTCCTGTACAGCATTTACCGCGTTCTATCCGACCACTAGATACCACCACATACGGCAACTTTACCACTGCAACGGCACAACCAGCATTCATCCGTCAAGAGCTACCTTACTCCGAGACCCTCGTACAACTCCAGCCGCAGCCGCAAAGTACCCCTCGAGGGCCTTTGGCCAACATCAACATCAGCCAACGTTCCGTGCTCGTCCAACGCTAATTCCGCCGGCCGCTTCCTTGGTGGATTGGAGCGCGCAAGTCGCAGCAGACATCTATGGACGCAAGCATGCAGACCCCTGATGATGCACTGTCCTATATAACTCCAATCGGTGAGTCGGTCGTCCTATTCTCTCCTCCAACCATCCTCCCCCGTGCAGTGTTTCCCGTCCGTCGTTGGCTCCTGGCCTTTTATGGGGAAGCCCCCAATATGCGTCCCGCCACCTGCGCGTCTGGATTAGTTGCATTTTCTGCCCTCTCGTGTCCGCGACGATCGATGTTACAGCAACTCCATCCCTGTCTACAGCAGAAAGACAACCCCACGACGTCGATTATGGCCCTTCACTCTCGGCGACCAAAGCTGAGGGTGGGGGGCCATATGCGCAACGGATGCGCAACCCGACTGACGTGTCCCACGTTCACTCAACCAACTGTCTTCAAAGTTTGGACCGCGCTCAGCAGTCATGCCCAAGAAGCACATGACTGATTGTGTATTTGCTATCCGGTCGTTTTCAAGATTTGACGCAGCCACTCTAGTGATGCTCGCCGTAAAAACCAGAGCCTGCATCGAGATGGAGTTGTTCAGCACCAAGACCCCAGGGCAAGCGCTCTCGTCGAGTCCTTGAGCTCGAATAACGTGTAATCTCGTTTTAGCAAAGATTCAACGCCACTAACGTACGTGTAGGGTACTCAAAATCGTCGCGTTGCGGTTATTGTGGCCGCCAAGGCAAGAGTCAGTCAAAACGTGAATGATATCCCGCGTCCTTCAAGACACCCCTCATAGAACACCCGAGACCTCGGTCACAATGCCATGTCCTCTCACGTCATGGCGTGTTGTGGCATACCACTCCCACGTTAGCCGCACGTGGACTGGTGAAGCTGGTGACTCGCAGGTGCCACTGTGAGAATGAAGAATCAACAACGGTCACTAACATGAACCATCACTTTTCAGGCTTCTCGTACTATGCCAAGGCCGCATTTCTCACGCCAGAGTACTACCAGACTTTGCTGGACCACTACTGGAGGCGCTCAGGAACGACATTATATCGGCCGGATCAACTTCACGCTTGTTGTGTTCACTACACTCTCCGGCTGGACTCCACCCAGTTCAAGCCTACCCGGGATCAGCGTCAGACGGTAAACCGTTTCAACAAGTACGTGACGGGCGAGGCTTATGCTACGGAAGCGGCCCGTCTCCACCCGCGGTCGCGTGAGCAAGCCAAGAAGCGGGATTCTGAGTTTGAACTGGTCGAGAGGATCCATGAAGCGGAGTACGAGACCCTGCAGGTGCCGCCGGAACCCGCCCACAAGTTCTCCGTGACGCTGGAAGACGACGACTTCACCGAGGAGAAGTATCTCGTCTATGAGAATTATCAACGCGTCGTCCACAAGGAGCAGCCGGCAGACATCACGCGACGCGGATTCAGGCGCTTCCTGTGTGAATCTCCCCTTCAACGCAAGACCATCAGAAACGCAGATGGTAAAGAGCAGGTTCTGGGCTCTTTCCATCAATGCTATCGCATAGATGGCAAGCTGGTGGCCATTGGTGTGCTAGACCTGCTTCCTCACTGTGTCAGTGCCGTTTACTTCCTCTACCACGAATCCATTCACAAGCACGCCCCTGGGAAGCTCGGCGCAATTCGCGAAATCGCTTTAGCCCGGGAAGCTGGCTATAGATACTGGTATCCCGGTTTCTACATCCACACTTGCCCGAAAATGCGGTATAAGATGGACTATACACCACAGTACATCTTGGACCCAGAGACGCTGGCTTGGGATCTTATGGACAAGCGGGTGACGGATCTGCTCGATAAAAAGCCGTATCTCAGCCTTTCGAAAGAAGTGGAGGATCCCGCGTGCCCCAACGTGGGCGGAGATGCCACCCAGGAGGAAAAGCATGGCGAGGCAAGCGTCGAGCCTGACAACATGGACGAAGATGACTATGACGACGATGACACGTTCCTGTTCAATACGGGCATGCCAGGAGTCATGACCCTTGGTGAGGTTCGCGACCTCATCGAGATGGACCACCTCAGGCTGCGGATTGACGGGTCCGGCACGCTCTTCGAGACGGGTGACTTGGTTGCCTGGCATCGTCAAGACATCGGCACCAGCGGCTGCCTAAAAGCCGGCATCGCTGAGTTGATTGCTGCCTTGGGACCTGACCTGTTGGAGGGTCTCGTTGTGGACTTTTGGAACCCAGGCCTTTAAGATAGGGTTCTGTCAGCATTATTAGTCTTTGCTTCAAGACCCGGGAGGCAGCGGTACTTGGGTAGAACAGCGAAGATGTTATAAGTTCTCCATTTAGATTGCGTCGTTATACTGGCGTATACATCGTGATAAAGTAAGGTACCGTGAAATACGCATTGGGTAAACCGTCAAAAAGCTCCCCTAGAGTCGCACCAGTTCCAATACATACTGGCGTATACTCACGCATGGTGACGTTTGGCATAACCACGGTCGTAGTTAGCGTCACTTGAAATAATGCTGAACAAAACCCTGGGTTCCGTGTGGCTTGCGTCGAGAGCGGTAATGCACCCACAGAAGAGCTGGCAAACGATGATACTTCATGAGAGCTAATTGTCTGTCAAGTCATTGGTAATGCGTCTGAGAAATGACAAACCCACCGCCATCCGACGTTTAGTTCGAACTTGAAGACGAAAATAGACGAAAATAGAGTTTCTTCCTTGGGTAGTGAGATATTAGAAGTAGGACGTCCATGGAAAATCTGATCTGCAAAGTCGAGGCAATACCGGCAAGAAATGATCTCGAAGTTGACCACATTCAGGTAGGTATCGTACCGCTCAGTCATCCGACACCGGGCGGGGGCTTCGGCCCGGCTAAGACAGGACGGTGTCTAAGCCCGCAGCAGCCACAAGCACTGATCCGGACAGCTCGCGCCGGCCGGCCCCACACCCCGCGGACCCCACCATCCAAATCCCTGCCTGCTCGACCTTTGACCGGTGAAATCCAGTCCAACAACTTTTTGCGACGCCGCAAACCAAGCATTGGAACTGAGCGATTGACGGCGAACATCGAACGAGCAAATTCCCGACACATCCGCGAAGAAGAATCGCGCGACGGACAACCTCCGACGGAGCACTGAATAGAAAAAGGTCGAGAAAAGAAAAAAAACCCTTCCACACAATGGCGTCGGCCCAGCAGGTTCTGCTCTCCCCGGCAGAGCTCGCCTACCTGCACTCAACACTCTCCCTCACGCCGCCCATCCGCCCAGATGGTCGCAAGGCGAACCAGTTCCGCCCCCTCACCGCCGAAACGGGCATACTCCCAGGAACGAACGGCAGCGCCCGGGTGTGCTTTGCCGACGGCACTGAAGCGATCGTGGGAGTGAAGGCCGAGATCGAGAAGACCCCCAACCCGTTTGGCAGCGAAGATGACAGCGAAGAGTTGAAGAAGGCGAGGGAGGAAGGCGAGGAGGCTCGGGGTCGCAACGAGTGGCTGGAGATCACGGTCGAGATTCCCGGATCCAGGGACGACGACGCCGCTACGGTTTTCCTGGCAAATATGCTCAGCGAGTCGCTGCTCGCCGATGGGGAGTTCTCGAAGAAGCTGCGGATCAACAACCGTTTTCACTGGAAGCTGTTTCTTGATGTTTGTGGTCCCATTGTACCCTTCGTTTTGTGACGCTGCTAACTCCCAATTCCCCTCCAGATCCTCCTCATCTCCCCTCCCCTCTCCTATCCGCTACCGCTACTGTCTCTCACAACCCACGTCGCACTGCTCGCGACCCGCCTCCCGCGCCTGAAGTCGGAAGGCGACGAAGATCCCATGTTCGACGATGACTGGGAGGCCTCGGCGTTCCTGTACCCCCGCGAAGGCGACGCCTCGACCACCCGCCCTCCCATCACACTTCTCGTCATCGCCGTTGGAGGCAACATCATTTTCGACCCGGCCCGCGAGGAGCTCGCGGTCGCAGAGTCGGCCCTGGCGGTGTCCGTCGCCGAAGAGAAGAGGCCAAACGGAGCCGGAGCCGGGGGCATGGAGGTGGATGGCGCGGGTAGGGATCTGAAGCTGCTGGCTGTCAGGACTGTCGACCCGCCCTCGAGGCTGACGGCGCCCGGTGTTCCCAATTCTGTCAACCCCGCCACGGGCTTGGCAGGCACGCCGTCGAAGCAGCCGCCGACTCCCCCCCCTGCGGACGGTCAGCCGGCGGAAGGTGTGTGGAAGCCGCCGATAGGAGGAACAAAGTTGCATGTGCTCGAGGGCATGATTGCCAAAGTTCTGGAGAAGGGAGGCATTGCGGACGAGGTGTTGGACGGCATCGCCGGAGTGGAGCTTTCTTAGGTTTAGGGGACTTTTCGGTCTGGTTTCACGCGTGCGATGCGCATCAGGACGGCAACGGGGAAAAACATAAAAGTCATGATACCAATTGGTGGTTCTTGTTCGAGAGATGTCATGTTGTACATGGTTTGACTAGGGTATACTACAAAGTGGACTCATTTCGTCCCATGTGACTGGTTCATGACCTTCGTTAGAAGATGCCAAACCACTTCTTCTTCTTCTCGCCCTCTGCGGGCTTCACCTCGGCATTTCCAGCCGCGGGCGAAGCATCAGCAGCCGGAACAGGTTCGCCAGACTCCTCTTTCATGCCGAGGAAGTTAGCAATGGGGTTCTCCTTGTCCAGACCGTGCTCCTTGCGGTAGTACTGACGCTTCGCGACGTCGTCGGTGTGGCGTGTGTGCATGGCAATGGCTTTCTCGTTGCGATCGCGCTCGTGCAGCTGTAGGACCCTAATCCAGGTCCCAACGAAGTCGATCGGGTGGCTCCAGAACTCAGAAGCGGGAGGGAGAAGGTGCTTGAAAGGAGACGTGTGGGTGAAGTTGAGGTACAAGCTCGCAATGGCCAGCGTCGTGAGAGTTCCCTGTTGGTCTGTTGTTAGTGCGTGCCGCTCCTCCAGCAAAGACTGCCTGCTCCCATACCAAGGTGATGACCAGGTGAATCGCCCGACTGTTCACAAACCAGTGCGCCCACGTTCCCTCGGGGGCCATCAGGCCGGGGTAGTCTTTCACGCGCTGCGCCTGCTTCTCCTGGGCGCTCAACTGGCCGCCATAGTGCTTTGGGCCACTCTTGGGCAGTCTAGAGCCGTGAGAAGGTGGGTTGAACTTGGCTGGCTTCTCGAGAACGATGGGCCCCTTCTTCTTCGGGCCTCCGGCGCTGGACTTCGTCGAGGCGTATCGGACGGTCCAGACACCGTTGCCACGGAGTGCCGCCGAGGCCGGACGACCGGTCGATCGGACAGCTGCGGCACGCCACATGGGGCTCAGTGCCGGCAGGAGGAACCTGGGAATGATGGTCGAGGTCGTCATTGAAGTGTCTGCGTCGAGGTGCCGCCACACGAATCGTTTCCCCGGGAGTCGCCGATTGATGAAAAAGAATGGTCACCTGGGCATGAGACTTTTAGGTTTCGGGCTAAGGCATGCGTTTCACGGCGTCATTGAGGCTCTGGCCTGGATCGACAGGATCATCAGGTGCGCGCAGGCGGAAGGATCGGTTTCGGGGCTGGAAAAAACGAGGCTCCAGGAAGAATTCTTTCGCGACTGGTGTGGAGCTATATCAGTCCTAAGCTGAGCCCAGAGATCGCCGAACTTCCCCCGTATCGTGGAGGTACGTACTGTGGCGTACATCAACCTCCCGTCGTCATCCAGAAGCAAGTAGAGTGGTCCCCCACACAGGTTCAGCTCAGCTGCGAGAATTGACTCGTTCGGGCTCTGCGGTAACAGATGCCGAGGAAGAAGAGAATTCCTGCGAAGCCGAAGAATCAGGAATCCCAGTCCACGCTCGGGAAACGGGATGGGACGGGGGTCAGAGGCGGCGGCGACGGTAGCGCGGCGGGCTCTAAAAAACTTGTCAAGCTGCAGGGAAGTCGGGAGAAAAAAATCCCCGCTGGCCCGCCCAGTTCACCAGTGAACCAGGCCAACAAACCGCTTGGAAGCACCGAAGCGCAGCGGACCAAGTAATGTTCCGAGCTAGTATCCGGTTTTGCCCGGGTAAGCGACCCCGGACGCATGACCATCTTACCAATGCTGCACATCTGATTGGCGGTCGCGTCGCCACACCTGTGGCTTGTGCGCCGCGGAAGAGCGAGTAGTTGAGCTCATTCCAAGGGCAGGTGCCTTGCTGGCGGGTGTTGTCATAATTAAAATCGGATAGTGTTAGTGTTGACCGTGTCGTCTCGTCTTTTTCCCTGGCCCGATCCTCTCTCAAAAGTTTTTTTCCCTTTCCCTTTTTTCTCTCAACCTCTTGTCCATCTACAAACCTCAACGACCTCTTGACGACCTTTGCAAAAGACTTCTTCTCTTTTGCATATCATTACCTGACACCCCTCTTCAACCCTTTTCTTCGTTAATAACATTTTAATCCGTCAAAATGGCTGGTGGTGAGTGTCTTCTGCGCAGCGCGTGCCCATCATTCCCCATTCCGCCGTGGTTGGCGAATCCCCGAGAATCCACCCCGAGGTGCCTCTCTATGTCGGCGACGAGCCATTGAACAGCGGCAATCGTCTGGCTACGCCCGAAACACAGCGGACTTGCTTCCTGAGTCCATCCGTCATCGAATGGACGTTTTGCGATATCTCCGCCGTATGCGACTTGCTTCCGAACCCTCTCCGACATCATGCGCCATTTTCCCCAACGCGCTTCGCTTGGGGAACACTGGCATATGAGAAGGAATGAGGCGGCGCGGCGAGTTACTCGCAATCAGGCGCCGGCCGCTCCAGAGCGAGTCAACTTCGTCAACGAATAGTACCTCAGTCGACGCGGGCACACCTTGACGGTTTTTTTTCGGGACGATTTCGCTCAACCACGAAACGCGGCAAACAACGTCAACGACTACATGTGATCTCATTTCACTAACCTCGGCAATTCAGGTGATCTCAAGAAGGGTGCCAACCTCTTCAAGACCCGTTGCGCTCAGTGCCACACCGTCGAGAAGGACGGCGGCAACAAGATCGGCCCTGCCCTGCACGGCCTCTGGGGCCGCAAGACCGGTTCCGTCGAGGGTTACTCCTACACCGACGCCAACAAGCAGAAGGGTATTGAGTGGAACGACAAGACTCTGGTATGCGACACCGACTCTGGGGCAGCACTCGGACATTCGCTAATCTCACCTGTTCACAGTTCGACTACCTCGAGAACCCCAAGAAGTACATCCCCGGTACCAAGATGGCCTTCGGTGGTCTCAAGAAGGAGAAGGACCGCAACGACCTCATTGCGTACGTCAAACCCTCTCAAGCTTTCCACCAACAACTCGAGTGGACTCAGCCGCTGACTTTTACCTGCTAGCTACCTCAAGGATGCCACGAAATAGATGTGGTGATGTGTAACGATAGGAATGCATTAGACGGATTGGCGAATTGCGAATTGTATTATAGACCACTTTAGACAGTGTGTTTTTTCCCGGGCTTCATCAATGGCCCTTTCACCTTGAAATTCTCCCCTTCAAAGAATCAAACGACGATGTAATACCACCAATACTTTTTCTTGGCGCTTGCGATCGGCAATTATGTCCATGATGTAACGCGCTAGGCTAGTCCGCAAACCGGCTCGCCAGGGACCAGACCAAGGAAGAAAAAAATCGCTTACTCATGTGATGCGAACAGCTTGTCCCCAATTGTCACGGCCAATGGGATGACTCGTCTGGCATCGGTATCCCAGCAATGATGCGTCGAACCGTCGCCGCACGAGCCGTAGAAGGAACCGCCGATTTCAAAAATAGGCTTGCGACAGGACAAAAGTCATGAGAATTGCGGCTCGACTTTCTCAGTTGTGTGGGTGTGTGCCGATTCAATCGGTGATTGTCACTTCCCCACTCTAAGTGGTCAATTGCAGTAGCATCGCATGCGCTTTCGCATGCGAAGAAACCTTCCCCAATCCTCGGGTCTTCAGCAGCTATCCTTACTCATCATGAGGTATGAAGCACGCGAGGTAAAGATATTCGTATGCTTTGGTAAACATGCGTTCATAATTTTATTCTGACTGCCCCCCTTCTGATGCGTCAATGATGCTTAGGGGAGGCCGATGAACGGTAAATTGAGTCGTGTACTGGCCACTTACGTTTTCAAAGGCATAGCATGAGGTTCTCGTTGCGTTTTTTCATATTTCTAGACAGCGATTATACTTCTATATAGGTAAGGGGCGGACTGAATCATATCGACCCTAGGGTAAGTTGGTAGACGATTGTCGTTGTTGGTATTAACGTTGTTATTATTGTCGATATCATTATCTTGGTCGACTTAGTATTAGGCCTATATTAAGCCTTGTGTTATTGTACTGTGAGGGTATCGACTTTCCCTGAGATGGGTGTGATTTGAACAAATCGTTTGTGTACTGGCTTCTTAGTCTGCGGTCTAATGAACCACCAGTCCGTCCATCTCTCAACCTAATCCTGATCAGTCTATGGCATTGCCTCATGATGTGTCAGTTCTAAGCCGCATTGGCGAAACGCTCATGTGGAAATCATGAAAATTGTCTTGTCATTAAGGAGCTACCGGCTGACCGCCTTCCGAATGACAGCACCAGAGCAGTGTTTGAGATAATGCAGGTTCATGTGTTCGTCCGACGGCTGTGTGCACCGTAGACTATTAAAAAGAAAATGCCGGAAAATATGTGTAGGAAGTCTGCTAGACCATGGGCATGCCACGCGAGAGATGCAACGGGGGATAGGGGTGAGCGACTTGGTCAATAGCGAGATCGACACTGGAATAGAGGACCACAAGTGCACTGCTTCCTCTCCATCATTCTATGTCTAATTCTGATGATGCAACCTGGCCGCCAACTTTCTGTACATCTCGGCGTTCGCCACGCTGGGTTTCGTCTTGTTCAGTGCGGCCTCCCAGTCCTCGCGTATGAGAGCCGGCTCTCCTCCCTCAAACCTCAGCACGCACTCGTCGAGGGCATTCTTATACAGCCCGTACAAGTCGGCACCGCTGAATCCCTTGCAGCGTTCGTCCCGCGCAATACCCTCGATGTCTTGCTCCTCTCCGCCGAGGCCGTTGCGGACGATGGTGCGAAGGATGTCAACACGCTCGTCTTCGGTTGGCAGGTCGACGAAGAGGAGCTTGTCGAGACGTCCCGGGCGGAGCACAGCGGGATCGATCATGTCGGGCCGGTTACTGGTGCCGATGACGTAGACCTCGCCCCTGTCCCCGGCACCGTCGAGCTCGGCCAGCAGCGCGTTCACCACGCGCGCTCCCGCCTCCGTCGTGGTGTTCTCTCGCTTCGGCACCAGAGAGTCCATCTCGTCGAAGAACAGGATGCACGGCGCGCAGGACTTGGCACGGGTGAAGAGCTCGCGGATGGCACGCTCCGACTCTCCGACGTACTTGTTGAGCAGCTCGGGGCCCTTGATAAGGATGAAGCTGGCCTGCGCGTCGTTGGCGACCGCCTTGGCGACGAGCGTCTTTCCGCACCCGGGCGGGCCGAAGAGGAGCACGCCTGCGGGACGCTGCTTGCCGAACTTCTGGAAAAGAAGGGGCTCCTTGATGCGGCGGATGATTGAGACTTGGAACGCGGCGCGGACGGAGTGCAGGGCGCCGACCTCGGACCAGGTGGTGTCTGGGATGGAGGAGAAGCCTTCGCGGCGCATATAAGGGGTGTGCTGGGCGATGGCGTCGAGAAGATCTCTCTGAGTGACGGTTCCGCGGTTCGGTGTAGTGTAAGACGGATGCTTTTTAAAATCGGAAAACAGGACGATGTCTTTGGCCAGTGTCCTGCCGAAGTCGAAGTTGTCCTCAGTCAAGTCCATGCTCTCTGCCTCGAGGGTATGCCGTGCCAGTCCGCACTGCGCGAGCACGAAGCGATCGCTGGCTCTGCGTTCGGCGACCTGAACAACGGAGCGGATATCGTCTCCGACGAAGCCATGAGTGCGGACGGCCAGGGTCTTGAAGTCGACTTCTGGCGGAATATTGAGGTTGTGGGTCAGGACCCTAAAGATATCCTCTCGTGCATTGGCGTCAGGGACTTTGACGGTGATGGTTTGCGCAAAGTAGTCCGGTCTCATCAGCATCGGGTCGATCAGTTCGAGCTTGCTCGTTGTGCCCACAATCAGCACGCGCTGGCCGCCTTGCTCCCACTCTCTCAGGCGTCGGATGTTCAGCTTGAGCTGTGTAATCACTTCGTGGTCGAAATCGCTACGACCGGTGCCCGACTTCGCCATAAACTGATCAAGGTGCTCTACAAGCACTACGCACGGGGCAATCTTCTTTGCCTCGTCAAAAACATCGGTGAAAATCTTGCTGACCTTCTCAGGCGATCTTGTCTCGGCGAGATACTGGCCCAGCCAGATGACGGGTGTGTTCAGCCTCCAAGAAAGCAGCCGCACGAGAGATTGCTTTCCGGTCCCCGGCGGCCCTGAGACGATGACTCCAATGGGCTGCTCGCCGAAGTCGAGGAAATCATCGGGTTCTTTTGCGCGTAAGAAGACGTAGCGAGCCAGTTCACTCAAAACTTCGTCCACCCCGCCCAGTAGGACCGAGCCGGGCGGTATTCTCTCCGGCCCATACTTGCTGGGCTTGAGAGCTTTCTTCGCCAACGACGTCATCTCCGCCGCGCCAGCCTTGCCGGCCTTGGCCGAGGCGATCCCGGAGGCATCACTGACGGCGCCGTTGGCAGCCGCCTCAGCTGGCTCGGGTGAGAGCCGGCGCTTCTTCGTGCTCTTGCCCTCCGAGCCCTGCGCCGTTACGGCGGGCGCGGGGGTTGCCGGAGCGACGTTCCAGTGCTTCGTCATCTGCCTGTTAAGCAAGAACCGGTCCTCCTCCTGTTACCATGGTCAACGTCGTCGTCCGCTTATTTATCAGCATACCATGGGAAATCCTTACCTTGTACGCCTTCTCAGCCTGCTCCTGGGCCTCGAGCAGGTCGTCGCTGTCCTCCTCCTCGCACTCTTCCTCTCTCCTGAAGTCTAGCACCCTCTCTATGGCGTCCTCCAAGGGTTTACGCTTCTGCCGGCTCAGACTGCTGTTGCTTCTCTTGATGCTCTCATACACGCCCGTCACTGTGAGTTTTGCCGGCTTCTTTTTCCCGTCGCCCTTTTTCGAGATTTCGTTTTGTCGTTCTTCTTCCAATTTCTTAACAATCTGATAGACGTCACGATCGAGGCCGTGCCTCAGGCTTATGCGTGCCATCGTGAGAGTGTTGGGTGTAAAAGGTGTTGAAGAGCGAGTGAGCTCGTCGGCTTTCAGGGACCTCTGAAAAAAAGTTGTAGTCGGAGGCGGCTTGAGATGATATGCAACCATCTCATTGGCTGTGACGCGCATGAGTCCCACTAAAAAGTCCTGTAGTGGGTTCGCGGAAATATCTCCGGTGCTGCGAGCTTATGCCGACTACAATCGCGATCAAGTCTTCAATGCGCTGTTGGGAGGTGAGGACGGCGTAAGTAACACCCGCTCAGTACACGATCGAATTCGAATTGATGCGACGGAGATGGGGAGTTGGAAGAAAAAATCCACCATTCAGTACAGCCAACACATTCCACAGTGAGAACTTGGAGCCTTATCGGCCATTTTCAAACGATCACCTTAAGCAGATGCCTTTGGGTCTTTCTGGGCTCGTTCGTAGACGGCCAAGTTTGATGGATCACAATGTAGTTGCAGGTATCTTTGGAAAGTGAGACTTATCGCATGTTTTGCGGCGATAGTTATGCAAATCTATCTGCTGAATTTTGCCCACATAGAAAGCCTTCTACCACTACATGCGGCGAACCGCCGTCCTTGCTGTATAGCTTTTCTTTTAATTTAACCTCCTCAGTGTCATGACCTCCTCTGTCGACTTCGGTGGGCTCCACGGGCACCAGCGCTTCTTTTTTTGGCAGATAGCGCTAGGCCTCCAGATACCCTCCTCACTATTTTCTGTTGTCAGACGAATAAAGGAAATAAACCCGCCCAAGGTCAACGCCAAGGGACCTGGGTGGCTAAAAGTGTTATCCTGCAATCATCAGGTCATCTATCCATGGTATCACTACAGAATGAGCGGGCGAGAACGGGCCGCAGAGCCAGGTGTTGGCGAGTCGTGCTCTAGTCCGTAACGCTTGGCTTCTGGTCAGAGCCCGTAGAGCTCCCACTCATCGAAATCGGTTCCTTGCCCCGTGGTATCTCTCAACGTCTTGTTTGCGTTCTCAGAGACCCGTGCCGGGGCGTACTCGGTTCGCAACTCTTGGGCAAGTCACAACTCGTCATCCTCCAGCTCCGACGGCTTGAGGAGACCGCCGACCTTGCCTCTGCGCTCGAGATCGGCCGCCTTGGCGTCCCGTTCTTGCTGCTCCTTCTCCACCAGGAAGAGCTCCGCGTTGTCCCCGGCGAACTCCTTTAGAGAAATGAGGAAGTCGCGCAAGTTCAGGCGGAACTTGTCGTACTGGGTGTTGAGCGTGAACAATCCCTCGACGAAAGTCTGGATTTGAGCTCTGTACGGTTTGTTAGCACGTGGTTCGAAATTCCTGTCAAGCACGGACACTTACGGTTGCAAGTTGGGGAAGGCGCCGCGAAGCAAGTTAGCCACGAAGTTAGCGAGGAACTCCTTGTTCGAAGTGCCAGAAGCGGCCTGGTCAGGGCTGTAAATCGGGCCCTGGATCTTCGGCGCAGTGCCATCAGCGGGCTGCACGAAGTAGAACATCCGCATCAAGACCATGGACTGTGTCTTGAATCCGGCCTTGTGATCGTTGTCCGTGAGGACGAAGAAAACGTCCTGCAGGATCGTGATGAAGAATTGCTGGAAGAAGGCGTTGGAGGTCTGGACGTCAGTCTTGTCCGCGATGTTGTTGATGAGCTCGAGGCACATGTTAAGTCCCGCAGCCTCCACATCGCGGTTGTCGTGCTTGAACGCCCACGAGCATGAGTCGATCACAAACTTGAACTGGCGGTTGTCCAATTTGAGCAGGGCTAGAGATGTCAGTGTCCGGTTTCTAAAGCATGGATCGAGGTACATACCAGGGAAGCAGTGTAGGTTGATCGACCGGAGAAGGTTGAAGAACTCAACACGGTGCTCGGGGAATTCGGAGAAGTCCTTGTTGATCATGTCCAAGGTGCACTCGAAAACGTTCTCCATGATGTTCGGGACCTGGTCCTCCATCAAGGCAGAAAGCTTGGTGATGATGGCCGACATGGCCTTCAACACCTCAGCATCGCGAGCTCCGGGGACGTTGCGGTTGTAGTCGACGAGCACCGACTCGAGCAGAGGAGGCACCATTTGCTGGCGCACGGACTGCAGGTCCTCAGCCTTTTCCACGTAGGTCTCAACCAACTTGAGAATTTCCTTCTTGATCGTGCGCAGGCCACGAACGTTGGGCATCTTGGTGGCGATCTCGCCCTGCTTCTGGACCGCCTCGGAAATCAGTTCACTGGTGGCGCGGTACATCTGCAACATGTCGAGGAAGATGCGGCCGATCTGGGGGTAGAAGTACGGGCCGATTGAAGTGCAAGCCGAGACGTTCGTCTTCATGATGTTGCCGATGACCTTGATCGTTTCGGCATCCTGAAGGATGATGGGGTTGATCCGAGCCTGCTTGATGATCTCATCCCAGGCGGCGTTAGGGATGGCCATGAGGTCATTCAAAAGACGCTCCTGCTGGTGCTTGTTGCCTTGAGCGGCCACCATATAGCCGCAGGCCTCGTAAAACGTGTGGACTTGTTGAGGGGACAGATCGCATGTAATCTTATGCATGTTACGCACAATCTCCTCAATGAAGGGCTCCTGCTCAGACGGCTGAAGCGCAACGAAGTGGCGACGACACTGCCTCGCAATCTTGATGAATGTATCGCAAGCCATGTCCTGGACACCTGTAATGAATTAGCATAAGCGAACTAGGGCGTCGTAAGTTATTGACCTACCCTCGTGAGACTCGTGCATGAACTCAAAGAGCTTGTTGACGACGGTCTTGAGGAACTTCCAGTGCGCCTTCAAGAATCGGGGGTACTGTCCAACAATGTACATGATGTTGGACGCAACAACAGCCTTGTTATCCTTTCCACGCTTCATCTCCGTGAGACCGAGGAGGTCCTTGATCACAGTTACGAGGAAGCGCTTCTCGGTATCTTCGTTCATTGCCAACGAAATTGAGCCAATGGCCCAGCAAAGCACGTTGCAGTTGTGCCACGACCACTCGCTACCGTCGACTTGGCGGGCGAGCTTCTCCGTCATGATGTTCTCGGTGTCGACGACGTCCAGGTGAGTCAGGTACACCAGGCATTCCCTGATGGTCTTGTAGAGTTGCACGGTATCGCTTTCCTTGACGAACTCGCGAACAATCTCTCCTTCATCGTTCTCAACGATGAGAACCTCCTCGGGACGGACCATCTTCTCGATCATGACCGTGCGGAGGTTCGAAAGAACTTCGTTGTACTTGTGCTTGCGGAGGGGGTAGTTGTTGAGCACCGACGGGCTCGGCGCGCCAGCACCAGTCATGCCGCCAGCCATGCCCATCAAAGGGTTCAGCTCGGTCATGGGAAGCTGCTGCATCTCCTCAAAAAGCTCCTGGACGAGCTTGAGCCAGTAGTCGAGGCAAATCTTGAAAATCTCACGGTCGTCGATCTGGGATATGCGGATTAGGTAGTAGTGACCGTGGGTAAGAAAGTCCCTGTTTGGAAGGTTCTCGATGAGCTGCAAGCTGTTAGCATCACTTAGACTCTGACGTCGGGCGGTTTCTTACGTTCAAGTGCATGCCGAAGAAATTGCACAGGAAGAGAGCCAGGTTTTGAATGAATTCCTGGTCCCTCGAGTTGCTGTTGGGATATGTCGACTTGAGATCGAGGCTGATGGGGATAATGGTTGCAATGGTGGTCAGAACCTCGGTGAACATCTTGACCAACTGCTCGTCGTACGAATTAGGTTGTCCAGGCCCACCAGTCTGCAGACCGCCAATTTCCGTCAAGCACTGCAAAGTCACGTTCCGGAACTCGGGCACGGGCAAAAATCGCGTTCGCAGCGTGTCGATGAGGGGGGTCTCGAAGATGTAACCCAGAGGGATCCAGTTGCAGAAGCGCAATAATGTCTCGAGGGTGGCCTTGACCAGACTCGGTTGGTCGGCGGTGTTCAGAACCTCCTGGCAGAGGGTGAAGATCTGGGAAAACTCGGCGCACATGGTCGTCTTGAGGTTTCGCGTCTTGGTGGAAGTCATTTGCTCGGCGGAGTAATCGAAGACCTCCTCGGACAGCAGGCGGAGAATGACCATGTTGTTCTCGCAGATGGAGAGACTCGAGTGGCACGACGTGATGATCTCGTTGATGAACGTGGGCCAGTTATGGGGCCATTCCTGCTTCAAGATTGAAATCAAGACGAGGTTGAGCTTGTTGAGCAGGGTGCGCTCAGCCTTCATCGTCTCTTCGGAACTGGAGCATTGGATAATGAACTGCACGACGAAGTTGCGGATACCTAGCTGGGTCAGTCGCCTTGCGATATTACGGTGAGCCTGTTCTCCAAACCTTGACACTGGTCTCTCGGGAGGACCTTCCATCTCGTCATGATCACATTATCGAGCACCTGAAGACCCAGATCTATAACCGTCAGCTGGTCCGTAAACCCCAGAGTGTGGCCTTTCGCTCACGACGTACACTTCGTTTGGGGGTAGGTCGCTTCCGAGAGAATCTTGTCGACGAGAAGCCAGGCATCTTGGTCTTCCTTGAACTGTAGGGAGCAAATAGTCAGAGGCTGAAAAGATTGTACGGTCCTAGACGTGGGTTGAGTGCGTACCTGGTTCAGTGCAGCTTGCGCTTGCTTTTGCTAATGGTAAAAATGATCGGTCAGCCTCTCGCCAAAAAATGACAAAATCTTTGAGGGTCGGGAAAAGCTGCGCACCTGTTCGCCACGGCCCTCGTAGAAGGAGCGGACGAGGTCGTCCAGCTCCGGGATCGTGATAGCCATCGCGGGTGGTGCGGTACGGCGGGCGGGGTGGTAGAAGGCAGTCGATCTCGATCGCAAGAGGCAACGGATGAGGGGGAACTGGTCGCGGGCTCTCTACGAGGAGGGGGAAAAAGATAGAGAGCGCGGCGCAATCTGTCGCGGGCGCTATGGCAAATTGCAAAAAAAGACGCGTTCGGTTGGTGTTCGGTTGGAGGATTTGTGCAATGGGAGAGAGGAGGGAAGAGAATGAGGGCAAAGGTCGCAAGAAGAGTGGAAGGTGAGGAAAGTCTGCCTGGCGTGAAGGCGAGGATAGGTTGGTTATCGAGACCGGGAGAGAGCAAAAGACCTGAGGCGGATGGCGGGGGACAACCAATTTTGTCAGCCGCCCGCTAAACTCCACCAGCCACAGGTATCGATACCTGCCATAGGCCTGGCTCTGGGCCCGACAGCACTGAGCAGCCCCCGCTGGTAGCACCACGAAGCTTGGGCCGGGCCACTTGAAGACTTCAGGTCCACGACGTGGAGTGTCGTTTCTTTCGGTCTGCGTTACCCAGGCACCCCCCCTCTTCCCCTCTTTTCCACCTGCAGTCACCTGGCGCGGTGAACCCTGCTTGCCTTTTATTGTTGACCACATCACTTCTCTAACACCGCCGGGCTGGCTACGGGTACGTAGGTAGCTTCCTAGGTAGCTGGGCTGCAGCAGAGCTCCCAGGCTCCTCTCTCCTGAGGCTCGGCTGCCTGTCTGTCACTTTGACCAAAAAAAAGAAAGAAACAGAATGTACCGCGATGCGCGTCATAGGTGAACTCACCTGCCTCACCTCCATTGTCAGCCTTGACCTTATACACCTTGGACACCCAGAATACTTGTCTGCCACACCGGTCGCTCGCCAGCTCACCTGGAAGCGCCTGCGAAATTACTGTGACGCAGGGCATCGGAACTTCCTCGCCCAATTGCTACCTTGCGCTTCCAAAGGCTACCGGGTACCAATACATCGCACATTCACGTTCCCAGCCTTCTGGTCTCCCCTCTCACCCCACCTTTTCGGCGATAGAGCGAGTATTATACACTCTCTTCGGACAAGACACCGTCCAGGATACCGAGACATCCACGGGATGCAATTATTAATATGTCACATCAACCTTTCAAGATTCATACCGCGCTTGAACTGCGTTGAAGCACATTAGAATTAGTCGTTTGCTCCGGCGATGATGGACTCGGCCGAAACCCACCACCGTCCGATCGTTGCCTGACTCTGACACCGTCTTAGGTGATTCATCACCTGCCAGTCCGAGAGCGAACCTCACCCGATCCCGCGCGGCTGAGCCGACCCCTGTTCGTAGCTCTAACCGTGTTGATCACAACTCACCACTTTAAGCGCTGTCAGCTCGATCGGCCGTTTCAAGAAAAAAACATTGAACCATGATTTTTGTGTGTTTCCTCAAGGCCGCCGAGATAAGTCTAGTTCAGATGTACATCGCAACCCCGTCTATCAACCCTCGTCTACGGCTTCTGGTAGCCAACCTCCGTCAGGCTGTCCTGCAGCGCCTTGATGGCGTTGTCGATATCCTTTCGGTTGGGGTCCGTCTGCGCGCTTGTCAGTTTCGCATGTTCTCAAAGTACGAGTTGCAGCAACTTACCACACTAACACCCATGTGTCCAAAGCGGATGTACTTGGGCGCAATCTCCTTGTGAATACCACCAGCAAACACAATTCCCTTCTTTGCCAAGCTGGGCAGCAGCTCAGTGGCCTTGACGGTCTCGGGGAGGTAAATGGCGGTCATGCCGTGGGCCTGGTCTTCGGGCTTCGCGGCAACCTGCTTCAGTCCAAGGTCTGCAACGGCCTTCTTGACCTTGTCGGAAACCTCCTTGTGCTTGGCGAAGCGCTCAGACAGGGGACGGGCGAGGATCTGGGTAAGGCCGGTATGGAGGGCGTGGATCAGCTGAGGAGAAGGGGTCGCGAAGTAGGAGGGCTTCTTTGCCTCGTAGTTTTGCATAACTAAGACCTGTTAGCTACGATGATGCAACCCGGGTTCGAACAAAGGGGAGACGTACTAGGAGTCCAGTTCTTCAGCGAGGCAAAGTAGGACGCCGGCGGGGTCTTGCGGTTCTGGAAAGACTGCATGGCCTTTCCGCTGAACATGGATATCGACAGACCGGCAGGGACACCGATCGCCTTTTGGGAGGCAGTAATAACACCGTCCAGCTTCCACTCGTCGAACTTGATGTCCTCGACGCCCACACTGCAGACACCGTCGACGATGATGAGGGTCTCAGGGGACACCTTCTTGACGACAGCCGCAAGGTCCTTGAGCTCGCTGAGGACGGCGGTGGAAGTGTCGACGTGGGTGACGGTCAGGACCTTGTACTTCTTCTCGGACAGCGCCTTCTCGATCTCGGGAAGCTGGGGGCGGGTGCCAACGGGGGCTCTCAACTCGGTGACGTTGGCTCCGTAGGTCTTGAAGCAGTCGGTGAAGCCATTGCTGAAGTAGCCGGTGGCCAGTACGAGGACGTCCTCGCCGGCCTCGACCAGGTTGGCGGCGACGATATCCCAGCCCAAGGTACCAGAGCCGGAGATGACGAAGGGTTGTGACTGGGAGTCGGTGGTCTGGAAGAGCTGGCGCAGCATGGACAGCGCCTCGCCGAAGGTGTTGACAAAGCCGGGGCCGACGTGGCTCTCACTGTGAGAGTTGGATTCCCAGTCAGCAACAGATCGTCACGAAGTTGACATGTGGAGCTCCACATGGGAGTAAGTGAGGTAGTACATACCTGTAGTGGCTCATGGATTGCAGGACCGCATCATCGAACTCGATGGGCCCCGGGATGAGGAGCCTAGGGTGGGCTGGTTGAGTAGACATGGTGGACTGTAGACGTTGTTGCTGCTGTAAGACGCGTGTGAGTGAGAAAAGAGAAGACTAATTGGAGGTTCAAGACGTGGACTTACAGCAGTTGAAGTAGTGGTCTGCAGTTCCGGTTGTCGCAGGTGCCGCGAGATGAGAGATACCCGGGCTGATGAGGGGTTGTTAAGGTTATGGAGGGGCATTCTCCCCTCCTTTGCCAATCTGCGGAGAGGGAGCGGGAGCTGGAGCCGCCTGAGGGGAACGTGCATGTGTGCCTGTGGCGTTAGAGGTCGGAACGTAAGCCGAGCGTCGCTTTCAGAGACGGGACGGGCCCGAGATGTTTGGATTGGGACTGGAACTTGACGGGATCGGGCAAGATAGACACGTTTTGGAATGGCTACGCTTACGACTTTTGCCCAGAATATTCCTCTGGCAGCAGGAGAAGGAGAGAAAAGAGGAGAAGTTGTCCAAACGGGCGGAAATCGGAGCTGGATCCCCTGATGGATCTCCTTTTTTTAATTAGCAATAAGCAATTGAGCACGAAATGCGCTGTAGGAACCCCTGCTTTCTTAGACGACAGCGGCTTCTTCAGTGTACTTTCACGCTTACTCAGTAATTTCCGTACTAAAAGGCACCTTGGACAGACAATACCGTATGTTGTCTGGTCAATTATGATGGAGGTATCTCGGCATTCGAGTCAGGGCGAAGGCCGTCGTGTTCTGGTCGGAAAGTGGAGGTATCCGTTTACGTCCAGTGGTAAGAAGACGGAACATGACAGACTCGATGGGATGAGAGCTTCTTGCCAATTGAGGTGAAGAGGAACCGGTTGGCGGCAGACACCGGACGACATCGGCGGTCTCCCGAAGCCGCCGAAGACCTAACCTCAACGGGTAGGCATCCGAAAACACCATCAGCCACAGGTGAGGTGCAATCTTAGTAGGTGCTTGAACCGTGTCTGTGGCTTGACACGGAGAAGACCCACTCCGCCGTTGCACCAATTGAGGCTGGACAGGCAGTCGCAGCTACCTACGTCCGGGTACGTCCAGGGTCCGGCAAGCAGCCAAGCTATTGACCAACCTTACCAAGACGATCCGAGATATCACGTCGCTCGCCGACTCCACGAAACGACATACCCCGTTACGTCGCGAACACACCCCGACCCGCAGGTCTATCACGACGACCTAGACGATCAAGCATCGACGCCGGATCCGCCCCCGCCCCGTGGTCTTCCCCAATCGGCCGCGCAACGTCAGACCCAGCCCCGACCTCCTGGCCAGCGTCCCACGCGGCGCCGTTGCGACCCCATCACCAACCCCGACCCATACGATAGCCTTCTCCAACCGCAAATATGGCATTCTTAATACTGGTCATCGGTGACCTGCACATCCCAGACCGCGCGCTCGACATCCCCCCAAAGGTACGCCTGCTTCATACCTGCCCGCCATCGAGTTATGCGTACTCTCGCGACTAACAAACACGCTTGCTCAGTTCAAGAAGCTCCTCGCACCGGGAAAGATCGGCCAGACCCTCTGCCTGGGAAACCTGACCGATAAGCATACGTACGAGTACCTCCGCACCATCGCCCCGGACCTCAAGATCGTCAAGGGTCGCTTCGATGTCGAGGCCACCAGCCTTCCCCTAACGCAAGTCGTTACCCACGGTTCACTGCGGATCGGCTTCCTCGAAGGCTTCACCCTCGTCTCCAACGAACCCGACCTGCTCCTCGCCGAGGCCAACAAGCTAGACGTCGACGTACTCTGCTGGGGCGGCACCCACAAGTTCGACGCTTTCGAGTACATGGACAAGTTCTTCGTCAACCCGGGCAGCGCCACGGGAGCTTTCACTGCGGCATGGGGCAAGGGCGGCGAGGAACCAGTGCCGAGTTTCTGTTTGATGGACGTACGTGTTTGAGAGCCTTGGAAAGCATCAGGGACAGCCTACTGACGATTTGTACAGGTCCAAGGAATCTCGTTGACTCTATACGTTTACCAATTACGCAAGGATGACAAGGGGAATGAGAACGTGGCAGTGGAGAAGGTTACTTACACCAAGCCCGTGGAGCCGTCTGCTACAACATGAATCGGTGGGTGATGAGGAGCGTCAGGAGACGTTGATGTTTACAAAAGGGGGGTCCAGCCAATGAAGGCCGTAGTCACGAATCAAGTTCATGCGAACGTGGGCGAATGATGATCATTATAATAATATCAGTTCCAGCCAGCCACGACCATGGCCCTTTGCTCTCGATGCTATCACCTAGGTATATGCACAGAAAACCAGGTCTCGTTCCTCCTTGGTATCCAGACAGTGCTACTGAAACACCGCTACAGAAACATTAACCAAACAAGCAGTGGTATTTTACCAACGTGTTGCAACTCCAGAAACTCCGGCGCTTAGCCATCCGTCAAGTTCATTATAACATCATGCTCCTTCGTCTTCTCATGGAGACTCTCGATGAGTCCTGGATATCGCCGCCATCCAGGCTCTCGAAGCTGCTATCTTCGGAGCCCTCAGCATCCGCGCGGGTTCTCTTCGGCAAGACCATCGACGCCCTCTTCCTAGATCCGCTGGTCTTGGGTCGCTCGGCTCCCTTCGAGCTGTCAAGCTTGAGATCCTGGCTCGTAACCGACGAAAGCCGCCTCGAAGACTTGATCTGACGGGCTGGAGGGGCGTTCTCCTTCAACTCAGCGATACGAGAACTGTCGCTGCCGGGGGTCGAGCTGGTGAACTCGTAGGGGTCAACATCGCCCTCGGCCGGTGAGCGCGGCTGGCCACTCGTACTCCTATCGAGGGAACCGGCCTGAGCAAGTCGGGCTGATCTCTCATCTTCAGTCTCGGAGATCGACCTTGACATCATCGACGATGTCCGCTTTTTACGATCAGGCCTCGCTGCGCTTGTTGTCGGTTCCACGGGCTGCATGCTTTCAGTCGCGTCGGTGGAGATGACTTGTCCTTCAGGCGCATCCTCCGGGGATGAAATGGCTGCGGGGATATTCCCCAAGGAGTCTCCATCGATGGATTCGCGCTTGATTATTACTACTTCGTCTGGTGTGGTGCCGTCCGATTTGGCGCTGCCGCTGCGCTGGAGGTACCTAGTCTGTCCAGACACTGCATCATACAGCTCCTTTGTCGGTCGCCTCATCTTGTCGCGCAGATTGGGTTCTGCGTAGCTGACAGCTGAACGGGCTCGTCTGCTCGGTCGAGATGTTTCGCCGTGAGATGATATCTCAGCGGGAGGCGGCGTGTCTCTGACGCTGGAGAGGCTCAGCCTGGATGTTGGCGCAGGCGAAGCTGGAGAGAGTAGAGCAGCTTCTAGGGGAACAGGTTCGGTGCTCGGAAGCACGTCAACAACTGGCGCGGGCGATGACGGAGCCGCAATAGTCACTTCGACGGCAGAAACCATCTCGTCCTCGGCTTCAGCTTCCCTGATCTTTTGCGCGGCCCGTTGGCTTGCCGCTCTGGGCTTCGGCTTATCAGCCATGGTCTTCCCCTCGCACGCGGCTGCCTTTGTATTCTTGATAGGAGACGTCACGTCGTCGTTCGTGCTCTTGGCCGCCAGGGGTTTCCTTGTGTTGATTGGCGCTGTCGTGCGCTCTCTCGTCTCCCGCCTTATATGTGCCAACTCCTTCAACGTCTTTCCGCTTTGACGTTCGCGTCCGATAATCGGGCGCTCCGCCCCTTCTCTCGACTTTGGCGACTCGGCAGTGGTTTGGCTCGTCTTGCCCGCGTCTTCTCCGATGCTGTACTTCCGCTTGGAGCCAGCCTTAGCAGACATTTGGGGCACGGCGGGAGGCATGATCGGCGTCTCCTTGGGTCGCGGCTTCTCGGGGTCTACGTTCTCGACGACAGGGGTAGGATCGGGGCGGACGATGATGTTCTTGTCGGTCTTCAACGTTGATCTGACTGTAGGGGCGGGCGCTGGCGACGGCGAAGGTGAAGCCACTGGTGAGCTGTATGATGTTGGCTCTGGCTCAGGATAATCTGTCGGCTGGCTGGGAGACCCAATGTCGACAGCTTCGCTGTCAACGAACCGAGACATGGGCGGGGGACCAAGCTCGGGGGAGTCAGTCGTGTCGGCCGTGGCCGATGTGTCCGCGGCTTCGGAGCAAAGGGCTAAAATTTGTTCGCGGCTGATGGACGCGTTAGCAATGAGGATTCATAGAATCATACATCCGCGCAACGTACTCTAGTGTTGCTCTGGGATACGACTTGTTCTCAGTAATAGTAGGCAGCCGGTCGTCATCCTGCGCTTGGGCCCCCGCCTCCTTAAGCAATTCACGTGGTGGACGTCTGCGAGGCGGGCTGCGCGGCGGAAGACTTGCTCTCGATGATCTCCTACCCCTAGGGCTCGCATGTCGTTTGGTTGGAGGCTCTTGCCCCAGGTTGGAAAGCACCGACATGCATTCTAGAAGCTGTGCTTCGAGCCTGGATTTGATATCCAAAGCGTGATCGGCCACTCTCCTGGCATTATTGTCGTCCAGCTCTTTTTCCAACTCGATGATGCGGCCATGCAGTCGAAGGTTTTCTGACAGAGATCGGGCGAAGTCTGCCTCGACGTTGCGAAGCTTGACCAACTGAGCGGCATTGGCCTTGGCGAGATCCCTATTCTGGCGCAACAACTTCCTGCGCACTGCAGCATCGCGTTAGTGAATGACATCGCCAGCGAGCAAGGAGAAAAGTAAACATACATGTGTCGATGCTATCTGCAGATACCGGAGGTTCGTTTAGTCGGGCCATGGTGCATTCTGGATGAGGGAGCGGACGGGTGTGTGACGATGCCAAAAACTGAGGAATGAAAAGCGAGAAACGAAGCGAAGCTCGATACGGAGGAGGCTGGGACAGTGACGCTGGGGGTCCGGGTCTGAGTGGGAGAAAATTTACCGAGTGTCATTTATTTACACTCGGCCTGATTGGGACTAGTGTAAACAATGAATCCTGGGTGAGGGGTTGCTGGGGGCGCGCGAGCATGGACCACACACCCCACTAGAGACCTACCACGGCCTTGAGCTGCGCTGGGCTGCGTGCAATTCTCACATGTGCATCTCACCGAATTTTTGATGGGAAAGTCGCATTCGACATAAACCCCGCCACGCCCTGCACAATTCTTCGGTTTACGCGACGAACTCTTCAAGTGACCAAAGCGGCCGACCCGACCGAATCACGATGTCGTTCCCGACCAGATCGCTATCGACCCGACTCCCCGGTGCAGGGTCGCAAAACGCCTCCTCGACAGGTGCATCGCCTATGCTGGTTGCGCGCATCGCAGAGAAGAAGGCAGAGTTGGAGCACCTGAAGGAGTTGCGGGACCTCAGCGCAGCAGTGGCCGGTCAGATGGAAGCCTTGGAGCAGAAGCTATCCACATTGTCAGACGGCACGGAAGGTGAGCCATTCTCAGAACTTTGTGAACTCCGGCGGCAAGACTGACCACGTATAGCGATTGCTATGGTTATTGGAAACTGGCACAATGTGCTGAGCGCCATCAACATGGCATCTGGTACGTGAAGTGCACCAGTGACCGACGTACATCATGCTTACTACCATTCCCAGCCCAACTCGCGAAACCGCCAGCAAACGAGCCGTCGGAGACCGAAGAACCCAGCATGCCTCTCCCACAGACGCTGGTTCGCATTCCGACCGAACATGCCCCGACACTGCAGGCACAGGCCGAGAACGTGGCAGAGAACGCCGAGAATTCATCCACCATATGATGATGCCAACGCGGTCTTGAGACGTTTTCAATGTGCTGCATCAAAAGCAAGCATGTCTTATGCTGACATCCGGTACTGTGGCTGCTCCGTCATCTTTGATTTGAGACTACATGGCTCTTTTCCAGAAGTCGGCACCTACCGTTGGAGCAAAACATCACCTTAGAACATGCCTTACATTTGGTCGCGGGTATCATCCTGTCGTCCGAGGAGCTTTGGGAACTTCCATTGCAACCCAATGGCAGTATATGAGAGTCCCAATCAGTGTGCGCTGGCGTCCATTAGCGTCCAGCTCCTGCATGTCTGAGGCGACGCTGGATTGGGGCAAGGAGGCTCCACCAAAGACAACAAACATGTGCGGGGTTCCAAAAGAAAGACGCGACGGGCTAGACGCGTCTTGGTTTCTTAGCCCTTACAGATACTGCGTACGAATCATGCAGCGCCCTAGATAAGGCAGTCACACCTTCTCCCGTTGCCGTTGCTACGGCGAGACGGGAGCTGCCTCACCCTCGCGGCTTGGGCATGCCGCCTTCCCCTAGCAAGCCGAGTGAGCTTGCCGTGGCGCCTTGCCCGCACGCCGGCGTTGGGCTGGCTCGTTTGACGGAAACCGACAGGAAGGTAGATCGCGAGGGAAAGGTGCAAATTGAATACAATTTCCGTCATGCTTCTTTCCTTGGCCGTTAACCACAAACTGATGACTCGTTCTCGTGTTTGTTTGTCGTACCTCTCGACGCCCCCATTCTTCACCTCGCTTCCACCCATAACAACAACAGACAGAGCATTTTTGCCCATCATCCTCGACGAGCCCTTTTTGGACACTTCTCATCTCATTTTCTCTCGATTCATCATCCAGCCCATACGAATCAATACTCGATCGTGTTCCAGTCAATATTGGAACCCCAGCTATATTACACGCACCCCGGTTATTCCGAAGCGAAATTGGCACCAAATTCCAGATCACCCACTGGTTCCCAAAGTTGCCATTCCCTTGCCCGCCAATCGTCTGGGGTTGGCTCTTCCCTGCCAGATCCAGGTCGAATCCGGAGATTGTTCTAGCACCATGGTTCGCTGTGCTCGATCTAGGGCCCACGCCCACGACTTCGACGTCGTCGAAGACCACACGGCCTCTGCTTCCAACCAACACGCTTTAATTAACGCAAACGTCACTCTTAGCTCCAATCCCTTTGCTCTACTCGACAGACCTGACACTAACACCGATCGAAGTCCCTCAGACTTCATCGACTCGCTAACCGACAAACTCAAAGAGCTTCATATCTACAGTCCTGAGAAGAACCGCGGCGACACATCATTGCGGGAACGTTGCTTGACTCGATCGACGATTCACACTGAGATCTTCCCGCCGTTCGAGGTTGTCCGGGAAGAAGCTGAAGAGTGTGACAACAGCGCGGTTGAGACCACTCATGCGCAAGGACCATTCCTTGCCAAAAGCCCTCGAGTGACCGACGACGGCGAGGGTGATCCCTCGTTGGCTGAAACACACGCATCAACGGCTGCTGCCACTCGCCAGGCACCATTTGAAGCCAGCTTCCCCTCCGAAGGTTCGCTCATCTGATTCCTCCCGGGTCTTCTCACTAACCAGATCAGAACACCATTCACCGGGAAACAACCACTGTGTTCAATTGTCCATCGCGCGACACAAGGCAGGTCAGTATGACTATGTACTTTCAGTAGATGCCTCAGCGACGCGTATCAGATCGTCCCAACACCAGGGCGACTCTTCGCAACGCTATGGCTGCAATCTTTTGTCGCAGCGCCAATACTCCCCGGCTTCTGTCTGCAGTCAGGGCAAAGCGGCTAATGCCTATCGATTCCTAGCTACGCCTCTAGGTGATGAAGAACTCGTGCCACAAGACGCATCGCCAATCCTAGCCCAAGAAGAGAATATGGCCGTCGCCGAACCCATTGTTCGACTTGTCTCTCCCAATATGGCTGGGAACCAAGCTGCATTCAACAAGGACGGACAATCAAATGTCACCGTTGCCGTTGTTGAGCAGACTCAACAAAAGTCAACCGGCGGTCATGAGCATGTGAAGGAGTCGTCGGTCGAGGTCATCGACCACCCGAAGACACGGGTCATTTCCGTCTCGACAGATGAAAGCAGCGACCTGGCTCCTTCCACGCCATCGCGATCAACCTCAGCCAGTTCGCAGTCACGCATCGAGGATTCTCTGGAAGCCATTGATAGACTCGAAGAGCAGCTAGAACTAGTAGATGCCGCCATCACACCACCAAGCAAATCCCGTCGACACCAGATGTTGACTGTCGAATCTTCATCTGCGAAAAAGACCGACATCGGACGTACAGGCCCTTTCGTGAAGCGCGAGCAACCCACCAAGGCCGGCTTCAAGCCCGCCGTTTCGCAGGCGCGCGCAGCGCAGAGACAGTCGATCGCAGTCGTCACCGCGAAAGCAACTCCGGAGTCCCCGGTCAAGGCGGTCACCAAGCGGGCTTCTGTGTCCCGTCCGACCAGCTTACTGCCACCCAAATCTCCCGCAAAATCCACCAAGGCGCCCACGAAGCCCTCCTTTGAACTCCCGGGAGAGGCTGTCGCTAGACGTCTCAAGGAGCAACGCGAAGCCCGTCGGGCGGCTCAAGAGACAGCCACGGCTGCCGCAGTGCCTCAAAGAACTAGATCGACCAAAGCACCGACCCGTCCCAACTTTGAGCTTCCCGGAGAGCGAATCTCCCAGCGCAAGAGGGAGGAGCAACAGGCTAAGCTGAAGGCGGAAGAAGAGAGACAACGACAACGTCGTGAGTTCAAGGCGCGCCCTATCAAAGCAAACCTCAACTCTGCCTCTTACCCTCGAGAGACCGCCACTAGCCGTGCTCGTCAGGGCAAGGGTTCCGAGCCGGTGGAAGTTGAACAGAGTCCTCCCAAGCGCTCCTCGATCTTGGGCACTCCCCGGACGCCACTCACGAGGTCTGGATCAATTAGATCTCCGCAGTCTCGAGGCAGAGGCATATCCCAGGCTACGACTGCCTCGGAGGCCAGCCGCGCGACCTCGACATCCACGAGCAGCATGAGTGGCAAGCGTAGCACGCTCTCCGCCGAGGAACTGGAACAGCAGAAGCTTAAGGGCAGAGCGGTTTTCCAGCGCGACAATTGCTACGTGGAAGACAAGGAGAGAGAACGCCGTGAACGCGAAATCAACGCCAAGCTTGCTCGCGAGCAGGCTGCCGAACGTTCTAGACAAGCGAGTCGAGAATGGGCCGAGAAACAACGACAACGACGCAAGGAGCTTGCTGCTGCTGATGCGGTAGTCCAAAGAGCCAATTAGTTGCGTCAGGAGAAGTCATCCTGCGTAATTGGCATTTGCCAGCCTTCATGTGGATTCTTTGGCTCATGCATTGAGCTTGCTTTTGTTTTGGATCACTTGGAGTTTGAAGTTAGCATGTTTTATTTTGGCCGGAGAGCTGATCAGCATGCGTGCCCAGCATTGGAGTCATGGTTTTAGTTTTATAGCTTGCGTTGGTTCGTCCCCTCAGGACGTGGTGCAGTTTGAGGTCAGGCGGCCTTCAGTTAGAAAAGATCTCATTATCCATAATTGGCCCAAGTGCAGCTCTCGCGATGTTCTGTGACTACAACTCTCTACGGCTACGCCTTCTTGAATGATTCAATGGTGATTACGGGTAAGAAGAATATGAACAGAAGCAGTGTGGTAGGGGCGGTAATACAGACAGTCACAGATGCCTCGTCTGGAAATGAACAGACAAAAAGTCTGATTGGCCATGACAGACTCACGCATGGTAGACGCATGAAGAATTTACAGGCCAATCTCTGGACCCGGTTTCAGAGAGCCGCACAGTTCACTTGAACATTGCCGCGTCCCGGGCCGGGCGTGGAGAAAACGGTGAGTGCCGCTCCGCCGGACTAGCGCCCGGGCGCTTGCGGAGCACGCCAACGACATCCGCCGACATTTGGCCTGGTTTGTGAGTCTTTCACTTCTAATTTTTACAACAACAGCTCGCGGCTTAGAACCGAATTTATATCTTTGACAATCAACAAGGTAACTACAGATTCACATTGCGTAGGTATAGATTGATTAACGACCTCTTCGTCTCATTCAAGTCCGGAGGTCCGGGGCCCCGCACCCTCAGCGATTACTCGAGGTATCAAGGATGAACACCGGAGGCGGCCAGGCCCAGCGGCCCACGGTCTCTTTGGACCAGGGGATATATGTGGGTAAGACCATAACCGACGACGATCTCCCACGCGAGGTGGAAGCATTTCTCGGCATTCCCTACGCAACAGCGCAGCGCCTCCGACAGTCCCAGCTCCCGCCGGCTTCCTCGGAAACCGTTGACGCGTCGGAGTACGGCCCCGTCTGTCCAACGGCGGACCCTTCCTTCCCGGCCGGCGAGGACTGCCTCAGCGCCAACGTCTTTCGTCCGATCTCTCGGGGTTCGGATGGCGTCCCGAAGAAGGTGCCCGTGTTGGTATACGTCCACGGCGGAGCGTTCAACTTTGGGCGCGGGGCGGACCGCAATTTAGCCGCATTTGTGTCGTTTTCGAAGAAGGACGTCGTGGCTGTGGGTTTCAACTACCGCCTTGGACCGTTGGGGTTCCTGCCCTGCGGTGCGGCGGCGAAGGAGGGGATCGCGAACTTGGGCCTGTTGGATCAGAGGACGCTTTTGGAGTGGGTGCATCGGAACATTGCCCGGTTCGGCGGTGATGAAGATGATGTTACGGTCATGGGATTCAGCGCCGGCGCGCATTCGGTATGTTTCTCTCATTATCAATGCTTCTCGGGATACTCACACACCCGCCCCAGGTCGGCCACCACGTCCTTTCTCCCCCCTCACGAAAGCTCTTCCGCCGCGCAGTCCTCGAATCAGGCGCTCCCACGGCCCGTTCCGTACTCGCAGCAACGCACCCTCGTCACGAGACTCAGCTCACTCAGTTTCTCGCCTCGGCCTCACTTTCCCATCTCCCGGAGGACCAAATCCTTCCCGCCCTCCGCTCTCTTCCCCTCCCGCAGCTCCTTCAGGCCTCGCTCTCGGTCTGGACAGAATGTGCCCCCTCGGTCCAGTGGCCCTTCCAGCCCTCCATCGACGGCGGCGCAGGCTCCAAGACAATCATACCCACGATGCCGATCCGCACCTGGACGTCCTCCGACCTGCCCACCCCGCCACCCCTGATCACAGGCTTCAACACCTCTGAAGGCACGACCTTCGTCCCGGCCTCCGCCTCCTCACCCGCGGCATTCAGGAACTTCTTCGCGGCTCTCATCCCCGCCTGCACGCCCCAGGATCTCGAGACCCTCGACAGCCTCTACCCGCCCGCGTCGACCTACCCGGCCCCGCCGACCCGCCACCATGGCTCCGAGTTCCGCAGGCTGGCGCACGCGTACGGGCACTACGGCTACATCGCGCCGCTGCTGCACTCGGCACACTTTGCATCCCGGAGGGGCGCGCCGGTGTGGGTGTACGAGTACGCCGCGCACGCGGACCTTGGGGCCGCGAACCACGGGGACCATGTGCCCGCCGCGACGAGGGACGCCGACGTGCTCTCGCCGGGCGGGACGCCTGGGTTGTGGGCCGTGTCTGAAGCCATGCACGGGTTCTGGTCGTCATTTGTGACGAGCGGCGACGAGGAAGAAGGGCCGAACGGGTTGGCCAACTCGAGCGGGATTACCTGGCCGCGGTTCGTTTCGCCGTTTGGCGATGTGGCTGGGGGCGCGGAAGATTACGTACCCACGGACGAGGAGGGTGAGACGAGGGGAAAGATTGTTGTTTTTGGGGAAGGGAATGATGAGCTCATGGGTCGTCAGGGACGGCGCCAGCCCGGCACCGTTGCGCGGGTGAGGACGTTGACGGAGGCTGAGATGCGGCAGTTCCGGTTCTGGTGGGATCATGTTGGGTTGAGCGAGGGCATGGGCGGAGCAGAGGACGAGTCGAAGTTGTGATTGACAGTTTATGATGGCGATAGACGTTACACGTCACTTGTAGACAGCATCATGTTCGGATCGACAAAGGAATATCATTTCATACGTATCTAGAAAACTTTGGCTCGAGTGATAAACCTCGAGTAGTCCTACATCCATGCAAACCCTTTTCACAAACTTTTCCCCGCAACACTTCCTGCAATCAAGACAATCCTGTTTACTCTTGTCCCAGGACGTCAGCAGGTCACGGCGTCCGTACGCCTTCGTTCTTTATGTACACTGAATTAAACTGCAGCGACATGGCAACGCCGTTGAAAGCTTTGGTCGTGGTAGTCCAGAGATGGTGTATGTATATGACGAAATAAATCATGTGCGTCGAACGAGTGATTAGGATCTCCGTGCCGCTTTGGCTGCGTACTCCTTGGACAAGCAGACGAAGGCAGCGGAGATGGATGGTATTAATAATGTGGAAGTTTTCTCGGCATTGTTATCGCCGTATGCCATGATTCCGTGAGTCCAGAACGCCATTTTTCGAAACCCGATTTCAAGATCGTTCGTCTGATGGGGAGGGTGGGTATCTTCAGAACAGAACCCCAGCAGACTACGAGTCAACAAAAGCTTTAGCGCAGCTCGCTAGACTTCATCTAAAAGTTCTGCGAAATGCCTGCGTTTTGCTGTTGTGGGTAGTGGGAGGGGTTCTCGATCCGAGTGTTACGACGAGCCGGGTTGTCACGGATTACGGGTTGGCCGGGAAGCTCGGTGGGTCGTTGATCGCCGTACGGGGTATCTGAGTATGGGTTGTTACCGTATTGATCGTAATAGGCGTTGCCGCCGGTGTAGGCCATGCCGATGCCTCCATCAGACGTGTCGGAGTGATTACCAGCACTGTAGGAAGACGATGCGTTGGAAGGTCCACGGTGAACGCCGACTCCACGGTTCATAGCGGCCGAAGGGCCCATGGCGCCAAGGATCTCGCCGTCGGGGGAGTATGAGCCATCGTTGATCAGAGGCTCTCCTGAGCGAGTGTCAGTTCCGTGGGTTGGTGATGTTCCGTCCGAGTGAGCCGCACCTGTGTTGCCTCCAGACATTGTCGTGGACGCCTTGCGCCCGGTCGATCCGGCCAGGGTAGTGGTACCCCATCCACGGTATCCAGAAGAGCCGTCCTCCTTCATTTCGTAAGAGCCACCATCGTTCAAAGAGGGAATGGTCGGGTCAGCGTTGGGGTTGTAGGCGTAGTCCTCGACTTCCTTGCGACGCTCCTCCTCGGCATGCTTGCGCTGCTTCCTCTTCCTCCAGAAGTAGATACCCGCCAGGATTAGGAGGGCAACAGCCGCAATCGGAACGACTACGGCCACCGCAATCTTGCCTCCATCGGTGAGGCCGCCGTTTGAGTCGCTGCCGGATCCGGAGGCGCCGTTCGTCGAGGTTGCGGAGGCGGAGGCGGATGAACTGCCGGCGGTCCGGGACGGGTCAACGGCCTGAGTTTGTGTGATGATGATAGTACTCGTCGGACCTCCAGGCACAGTCGGAGTCACGACAACAGTGGTAGCCACGACAGATCGCTCTGTGGTTTCCGGGGTTTGCGAGGACGGAGCTTGGGTTTGCTGCGTCGTGGTCGTCGTCGGAGCAGCCTGTTGCGTAGTGGTCGTCGGCTGCTGTTGGGCGGTGGTCGGCGTCGCAGGCGGTGCTTGCGTCGTGGTGATTAGGGTAGTGGGAGGAACCTGAGTCGTTTCTGCGGGTTGAGTTGTAGCCGCAGCGGTCGTTTGCGGGGTGGTGGCTGCGGGCGCAGTTGTGGCAGGAGTTGTGGCATTTGTGATCGAGGTCTCCTGTCTCACGAAGAGACCAGGAATCCGGCTGTAGGGAAACGCCATGTCAGCAACGATAAACGTGCAAATGTCATTGCATCGTCAAGTGCGCAAGAAGAGATGATGAAGGGTTGACAGGCGAGAAGGATGGGATGAAGATTCTCGGTCAGCGACGCATGGATTGTCAGGCGGCCCTGCTGATCCGGATCTGCACCTGCAAAGGCGCCGTGGTGTACTCGGCATGACTGGGGAAACACAGAGTCGGACAACTTACGCCCAATACATTGCTGCAACAGCTCGTAGAGCGGAGCACTGCGTGTTTCAATGCACAAGAAGGTGAGAACAGCGCGTCGCCGATTGCTGGAAGCGCAAGCGATCAACGACAGACGGGGGCAGGTCGCCGAGAGAAGGCCACAGGTGGAACAAGCGACAGCGACAGCGACAAGGCCGAGTCGTAAGTGGCACGGTGCGGTAGGTTGTCAGTTGCGGGTGTTCGTGTGAGAAAAAAGGGATATGTTCGCGTTTGAGGAGCGATATGCTCAGACAAGACGAACGGGCGGTAATTGGCGCGGGTGGCTGAGTCAGGTCGAGTTCAGGTAGTGTCCGCGGAAGCGACCAAGTGCAAAGTCCGTCTCCTAACTATTCGCGGGTCGGCGTGGGATTGGGCGGTTGGCAGGGCCGATTTCGAATTGCGAAGCAACAAGCGCCCAGCCGTAGAGTGGTTTGTCGATCCCGGATGACGAAAGGGGGTCGATTGGAGGACGAACAAGACGGGGAAAAGGAAACAAAGATTAGACAAAAAGTAAGAACTGGAGGGAGGTAAATGCGAGAAAAAGGCGGGAAAAGTGAGGGGAAGGGAGGAGGAATCGGTAGTAAGTCGCGGATTTCTTGGAAGCGTATCGACTACTTGCTGCTACTGCCAATTGAGAAAGAGATGGCAGGGGTTGATGGCGGGAGGGATATGGGGAAAGAGAGGATATTGGAGGAAGGCAGCGAAAGGGAGGGAGAGCGAAGGGGAGACAGGCTCCGAAGGAGCTGGACAGGAAGCCGGGAATATGTATGTTTTGAGCAAGTGAGATGGGAAAGGGTGGGGCCTTCCATCGCTGCTCTGCTGCACCAACATTTCATTTTGCACTTGCACCAGTACTTGCACCAGCACCAGCACCAGTATTTGCACACCTCACCTCCGCGAATGCAGCATACCTTATTACGGATACCTGTTCATTCTCTCTGTCTCGTGTCCGCCCGCCTCCCGAGTCCCGGCTGCTCTAGCTTGTCTGAGTGCAGGTGGAAATGCAAATGCAGAGGCAAACCCAGAGGCAGAGGCAAAGCTGCATCGGCTCGACTGCTTTACTGAATGATCGCAACTCACCTTGCCGTCCACAGCCCAGTCTTACTTTTGGCAGGAAGCCCAGTCTGGACCCGGCAGCACACCAGTGACCAGTCCCTCATCCATGATCCCACTGTCAGCCGTGAAAGTGGTGGGTGGCTCAGCAGCATCGAGCATCCATCCATTCGCCTTGGGACGATGGCTTCGGCGGCAGGGTGCTGGAGGCCGCTTCTACGACATGAGGTCACATCAGGTCGCCCGAGTACCTCCGCCATCAACTGCAAACTGCCTACCTACCCTACGCCATGTACCCCGTGTACTCTCCGCAGTCTTGTTGCCGAGGTGCCTGTCAGAGAACTTGGTTGGACTTGCCTGATCTACAGCTCAGGCGCCGACTGCATGGCACGTTACAGCAAATACCTCGAGGTACCTGACTAAGGCTGCTGCATTTCTCGATATCATGTACCTTTTTGCTGGCTTCCGACTTCGACCGTTGGGAGACCTCGATCGTGTTCCAAATGGACCCAGGTAACGACACAAAGAAGACTTTGACGGCTTCCCTTGACAGCCTTCCTCGCTCTCCGACCAAATCTGAGCTTTAGAGAAGGTGCTCCTCCTTGGATGCCTTGTCTCTCGCTCATCACGACATCCGCCAATATCACAATGTCTCAGTTATTTCGCAAAAAAGTGCGGCACATGCCCATCGAAATTGCGAATTGCTGCACTGCTGCCTTCTTGGGGCTCGCCAGGATCCCAACGTCCAAAGTCCCGACGGACCCCGGCCACCATAAAGCCTAAAAGGCTTAGACGCGGCAAGAGAAATGCACCTGAACCAGGTCCCTTGAATAAACGGCAGCACGAGTCGTCCTCATCAAAGTCCTGGGAATGTTCAATCCTCCATTCATCAAACCGAATGCCGTTCAGTCTGCTTTTGCGCCAGGCCGCCTCCGAAATGAATTTCAAACACGTACTCGATCGAGTCAATCCGAGTCCACGACAATCGCAACTTGCGGTGCATTCCGGCCCTTCACACATGTCCCAAGACGAACAATGAGCTCGAAAATGCACAACACGACGTCTCAAACGCGACACGCCAGGCAAATACGCAAGCGATGCTGCCAACGCATGGCAGTCGAGTTTCACTTCTTCCCAAGAAAGTCCAGATGAAAAACACCCTGGTATCGAGCCCCGAAATCATCTGGCTGGGCCAGACTTCCGCTTCAAGCTCCAACAGTTACCGGCTGCACGGCCTTGCTCGCTCCTGCGGAGTCCCAGAAGAAATCAATTCATCATTGGGATTCGCGATTCGCTTCGCTACGCCGCGCCGGGCACACCAAAAGGTCTGTCCGCTCCGCTCGTATCCAGAGTGATTGGCAACTGCTCCGGACTGGCCAATTTCCCTTGGCCAGTTTGCAGACACTTACAGGCCTCTTCCTGGCAAACCACGCCGGATGCCAGGTCCAGCTGCCAAGCAAGCAACATCATTCGTTCCCGAACAGAGGGCAAGAAAAGAGGGCCAGAGCGCGTTCGCGCTCTGTCTACGCAATTCTGGAGACTGCTCGAGAAACGCCCACAATTAGTCGGCCCATCAACTGTATTTTACTGTCTTGGGTTTCTTTCCTCTCTTCGTACTTGGCCCGTCAGACTTCAGAGCTCTCGACGGCGGTAAACAGTAATGGAGCTGATGACTTGCCAGGAATGACGATCAATTGCAGTCCACAGGGTCTGAGCCTAGCTTGTTGCGTTCAATTTCTGCTCCGTACCTCACGAATCGGGCTTCCTTGGCCAGAGCAGCTGAATTCGGCATCGACTACACAAACAACCAGTCTGGGTGTTTATTTTGTTGCCCTCGTCTCTCCCTGCCGTACTCCAGCTGCAGCACTCATTCGCACTAGGAAGCGGATTTGCCTCACTGTGGGTTCTTCCTCGCGGGCGCCTGTGGACTGCTTCGTATCCCAAGAAGGGCTGCTGATCTTCAGCCTGTGCCTTTTTTTATCCTCGGCGTGGATACTATTCGATCTCTTGTGCGATCCCATCGATCGGGCTATTCGTACAGAGGTAGCGGTATTGCGTCAAGTGCGCGCTTCTTGCTGGTCAGATCGGCAGGAGTTTGACCCGCTTGACCAAGCACAGAAAGTGCGTCCATCCAAGAGCGACAATAGGGAACCTCGGAAAACCAAGCGACATAGGAAACCCGTCCGGTCTTGTGGCGATCGGCGGCCGCACCGGCAGGCCACCTCGGGTAGGGGACCCATCTTAGTGTCGACGCACAGTTCTTGAAGACAACCAACTTTCGGACCCGTCTTGCCGTTCTGTCTCTCCTTGACCGCCGCGTCTTTCTCCGTGGTAAACATCATTGGTGTAACCTTACTTTACTTCCCGACGGCTTATTCGATACATCTCCCCAATTTCCATCTTTGGCACGGCAATCTCGAGGACCACCATCTGTCATCCTTTCCTACAGCCGAAAGCCGGTCCTTTAGACCTCGTGGCTGCATTCCGTCGGTATCAGCCCAATTCAGACTTCACAACGTCGCCCATATGCAGATAGCAAGCCAGACGGTTTCTCATGGCCCTGACTCCCGAAGGTTTGTTCTCCTGTCAAGTCAAGCGCAACGTCAGCGATGTTGCTGGCGAATACCATTGTCGGTTACACGGCTATTATCACCATTGCGTTGGCACATATACCCCTCAATGACGTCCTAATTGAACCCTGGCATCTCCAAACCACGGGAGCAAGACGGCTGGGATAACCCCGACGTGTCAAGATCTCATGGGGAATTGGAATCATATCATCAAGATCAATATACCGTCACGTCGGCACCTCCTTTTCGAAGCAAAAGATCGGCACCATCCCACGGAGCAACGTCATGTCCCCTGAACCCTCCTCCACACCATCTCCAATATTCGCCGTCGCTGTCCTTGGAAAACCTTCAAACAAGCAACAGCCCCTCGCTAGCTTGACTTCATCCCAATTTTCGCAGAATATCCGACAACACAGTCGTGCCTACCCAGACGACAACCCAATCGCTCTCACCCATTCTCGGCTCGAGAATGATGACGGTAGCCACGGCTTGCTGGGTCAGCCCTCAACAGCATCTGATTCTTCCGTCGTGTCAGTCAGACGAATGCATTCGCGTTGTCCGGCTTGCTCAAACCAAATTCCAACCGCTTTCCATTGAAAACATATCCGATCTAGCTCTCACACCACCACACCATAAGCAAGGAGACGGCACGAAGCGGCGTAGCACATAACGCTGCTGCAGAGACTGAAAAGGATCCGAACACAACTAGGCGCCTGCCAAATCTGTACAGGCACACGTTGCAAGTGTCACAAGCCGCTCTTCAGCGGCGTGGAAGTCCGCAAACAACTGCGCCTCCAGCTTGTTTCTTTTTATCGGGCTGCTTTGTTGACCAAACCATTCTATCGGTTCCCGAATAGCTGGAGGCTGAGGACTGTTTGGCTCAACGTCCCGCGATTAGCTTACTCTTAAGCTAAAGTACCCGAGCTCTCGTTCGCTTTCCCATACGCCACAGTCTCATGGCTGTGCCCTGTCCTCGAATCCGAACTCATCCCAACTCCTACTCAGCTTGCTCTCATTGGCCGCGGCGCGCGCTCCTCGCCAGTGAGAACGCCACCGACTGCACCACCAACCGCAAGCGCAAACCACGTTGCTCCACACGTTCTGGCAAGTGTCCGATTGTAAAAATAACTTTCCAGTTAACCTCTTGTCGGTGCCGAAAAGGGCCCATATCGACTTCCGCATTCTGGTGATGACTTTCCGCCAAGTCTTAGCCGAAAGAATGCGACCGTCTGCCTACGTCGTGACGGGTTGTCGCCGCTTCGGATCCTGCAGAGCAGCGAGATAAGCGAAACGACGATGATGGCCTTCTGACAATGACTCGTGGGGACGACGTGGCCCTCGGAAAAAGATCTGTCAGCGCCCTTTCAATGCACATCATAGGCATGACCGTGTGTTTACATCGAGGAAGCGGGTATGCGCGCGGAGCGGTGGCGGCGGCTGTGTCCGCACGTGTCCCGCCGGCAGAGGGCGGAGGCCAGCACGGAAGGTCCGTCCAAGCTCTCCGCCAGGCCTCGGACGTTGACCGGCTCCTTCGTCCTCGACCTGATCCGGAGGCCTCGTCTCGCTCGAGCCTGGACCGCTTTGAAGTAGACGAAACGCCGGGACCATATTCAACGTCGCCGTGAGTCCGGGGTGTCGGTCATTAACCAGTGTTTCGAGGAGGCATCTGGTTTATTCATCCTTACACGCTTGTCTACTTCCTCTGGACGCAGATAATTCGACATGAAGTCGATGGATTGTGTCTGTTTTGATTTGGGTCTGTCGCCTCGCTGCCCATTGTCCTTTCACATCACGGGAGTAAGTCATTTTACGGAATGCCAGCAAACCAAAGTAGCGTGAGCTTTAACTCGCTGGAGGACCCTCGATGCTATACTGTTTGACGTGTTGACTCGCTGGACTTGGAGGTATCCGGATACATTGCTCGCTTGCCTTGGCTTCGATTTCAATGACAGTCTTGTGATGTTTTCGTCTGCCAGGCACTCATGTAGTCGTTTCCTATTAAGCCATCCAGTCCGGCCTCGTTTTATCGGCTCTGATTGAAAGTTGAAAAGAAGCCCGAGTTGGCATTGAAGGGTTGGAACCGACAAAGTTGATAAGCCGCGTCTTAGGGTTGACGAGATTTGCCGTGGTCGGTCTACCTCGATTGGGCATCCTTTGTGGGCTAAGAGACGACGATTCTGAATAGTGATGAGCGAATGGCGACGTACTGGCGAAGACATTGCTGCTTATGCACGAGATGCCTCGTTGTTCCCCGAATATCCTGCCTCGATAAGTGGCTGATCGTCCCCTGCTGATGGCTATGGCACGAGGAGAAGCCCAATGGACGAGCTTCGTTCGCCAATAGTACCGGCGACACCAGCTTGGTCGATATCGTGCCATCTCTCGCTCACTACAACGGATAGTTGAATCCGCTTCGTCTACCGTCGTCTAACCACGGACCCAACAGGATGTTCAGGCTGCTTACTATGCGGCGGATGTCTGCCATTGAATGAGAGATTGAGTATGTTTGAGGGCGTTCTTCAACGGAAATCGTTGTTTGTTTCTCTTCTTCGAGTCGAATGCATGGACGTGTCCTTTTCCAAAGGCGACCTCCATGCAGGCGATCGTCGTCCTGACTTCGATGGACAAGGGCAGTCGAAGTGAAGTACTGAACTCAGTTCCTCGTACCCAATGAGTAGGGCGTGGACAGATATGAAGACTTGCCTCAGAGCGTAAGAGTGATGCATGGGTCATGAAGAGTGCTCAAGTGAGCTTACCTGAATGATGGGCGTTAGCGTCGGTCTGCTTCACGTTCTGAAATCTCACTTCAAAGGCCCAAGTCATGCTCAGTATACTTTCTGTAGTATTCATCATCTAACTGATGCTCGGATCGGGCGTACCGAATCCTTTTTCTATATGCAAGCCCTCCGCAGGAAACAGCGGGGGAGAATATAATAGTTGTCGTGACCCAAATACTCCACGCAGCGAAACAGAAAAATAAGGTGTAGTTGCACAAAAAGACATTAGCAGTACGTCGCTACTAAATGCGAGAAGAAATAACACCCTGATGCAACACACACCCACTCAAGGGCAGGGAGCACCCCCTTGTTCTTTCCGAGGTCATGTACATGGATGGTAGCGTGTGTGTGTTTAAGAGATGGAAACCCTATGTTGCGAATTTGCATGCCAAGTCGTGACCGTAGATTCGGCGCTGCCGTATCAATACGCGGTGAACAATGTAATGATAACAACAAACAAACGCCTTATGCTTTTTCTTCATTTACCGGTGCATGCCCCATGACGGTTTCAGCTGGTCCTGCATGGAGGCTTGTGTGAAGACGGTGTCGCCGGGCAGGCGGCTGACTCTGCCGGCACCACTGCGGATGGCGGCTTGGTTGACTGCAGAGATGCCGCTGCGGTTGCTACGGATACTGCCGGCGTCGCTCATCGTGTCCGAGTCCTTGAACTTGCGGGGAGGAGCAAAGTCAAGGGCGGTGAATGTTCCCGATTTCCTCAACAAGTGTCTGTCCGTTGTCAGTCTCGTGCTGCTGTAGGGGTCATGTGAGGTGACTTACGGGCTGGGCATAGCAGGCATCTCCTCGAAGCTGCTGACCAACGGGGAGTGGATACCCTTCGGTTGCATGTACGGACGTCTCTCGCCTGCCGGGCTCTGAGAGCGACCGCGAGCACGATCGGCAAAGCTCTCGGGAGGAGCGAAGTCGAGCGGGTTCATGATGGCGAAGGTGTCGTCCTTGAGCTTGGCCGGGTTGGGCAGGGTGTTGAGGTCGGAGGGCGGAGGACCCTTGGGCTTCTGTCGTGGGGGACCCATCCGGTTGGACACCGACGATCCGGGTCTCGGGGTGTACTGGCTGGACATGTCGGAGCCTCGTCGGGAGGGCCCAAGACGGCTAGACATGGCCGATCCGGCACGTGGCGGGGGTGGTCCTCTTCCCCTAAAGCCGGGGCCGGGGCTGGCCATGCGACCACCCATCGAGCCGTGCATGACTCTGGGAGGGGGCGGGCCGCGGAAACGGGAAGCGTTCGGCGGCGGAGTCATGGCGCGACGAGTGACGGGCTGCGCGTAGGGCATGACGAACGAGTTCGTGTCGGGGTCGAAGTAGGCGTCGCCTCCCGGACCTCCCATATAGCTCGGGTCAACGTCCTCGTAGTACTGAGGCTGTCCCGGAGGAGGGCCTCGGCCTCGGGGAGGGCCCATGGGAGGACCGCGAGGCAGGGGCGGCTGGCCGCCCGCGCCCGGGTTGTCGGGGTCGAAGTACTCCTTGTAGAAGGATCTGATTCTGTTGGCACGCTCCTCGGGATCTTCAGACTCCATGACCTCGTCCGGCGGAAGGGGGCGGAAGCCAACCGACAGTCTCTTATTGTCTTGAGCCGGGATACCGAGTTGACGAGACGCACGATTGTCGGCTACTTCCACAGAACGACGTTGAGACCGACCCCTTTCCTCATACTCGTAGTCATCTTGGTCGTAACGGTCATTATAAACACTCGATTCCTCGGGAACGATGGCTGGAAGCGTCGATGGAGTACCGTCCTTCTGGGGCCGGGGGCTCGAGGGAAGCGAGCCGCCGGCAGGGGGGGAGGAGCGGTGAGTGGGAGTGGGGAAGCTCATATCTTCCAGACCAAGGCCAACAGCCGGGATGACCGGGGCCTGGCCTTGCTCCGCTCTTGCGGTGCCAGGTAGCTCAGCCGCAAAAGGAGCGGTGTCTGCCTCCCGGGCCTCAGGGGCAGCAGGGTTTGCTCCAGAGGGACGCGGGTTGGTGGGAAGGCCCTTAAAGGCGACGGGGGCGGGTTCCGGGAGATCGGGGATCTGAGGGAGAGAGCTTCTGTTGTTCCTGTCGTCCGGGTACGGCACCGTCTCGATCTGCGGGATGATGGGCTCCGCGATGAGAGGGCTTCTGATGACGGGAGACGTAGGCGTGGCGATGACTGGCGAGATGGGCGTAAGACCGTCGGGCGCGGGAGATCCTGACCTGGACTTTGGCGTGGCGAACGGATCGGCAGAGACGCCGGGGGGCTTGGGCAGAGAGTTCTGTCTCGGGGGCAGAGTCCTGTTTGTCATGGTGGTGCGACCGGTCATGCTGGAGTCGCGTCTCTGGCTGGTCGAACGGCTGTAAACGGAGCCGTCCGGCTTGAAAGATCGGATCGAGCCGACGTCGCTGCCGTACTTGTCGATGTGGCGGTAGGGGTCTGCTTCGTTGTGGAGAGTCTTCGCGAGAGAGTGCAGAGACTCACGCGAGTTCTGCACGCCGGGCGGGAGGAGGTAGGGGCTTGACAGGTTCATGTCCATGGACAATTGGCGTTTCTTGGTGTCGACGCCCATTCCCTTCTCACGGAACATCATGCTCTTGCGCTTGGCCTTGCCGTTTCCGCCCTTGTCAGAGCCGCCCTCGCCCAGTCCGAAGTCCAAGCCTCTGTTCGGGTCATTGATGTCCTCCAGTCTCTGCTTCTTCATGTTCCTCCGGTGGAAGTAAAACAACAAGCAAAGGGCACCGAAGACGGGGATTCTACGCAATGTCAGCCTACACCCGCAGTGTGAACCAGACGCTTAAACCTACGAGATACCCAGGGCAATGGGCAGGGTGAGAGCGGACTGGTCGACAGGCTTCTCGCACTGGTTGGCAGATCCAGTACATTCTGCTGCTCTCGCGCCGATGATGCGAGAGGCAATCGACAGAGGCTTGGCCGGGGAGGGCGCAGGCACAACAGGGTTGACGTCCCGGATAGGAATCCGGGAGCCCATTACGTAGCCGTTGCCGTTGAAAGATGTTGACGCCATCGTGGGTAGATGTTATCAACGGGTTGATGGTTGGTGATTCCGTCACACACCTCTCCACTAGCAGCTGTTCGTCTCGGGAGATGTCGACGGTCGACGTTGGGTGATTCTCCTTCCTTCTCGAAACCGATATCGCGTCTATAGCACCATAGCCCAACGGAAGGTCGTGTAAATGAATCGGTACGAGTTCGGGGGACGGGTCGGTAGGTTGAGCGACACCAAAGCAACGGTCGATGAATACGGACGTCGAATCGAATTATTCCTCCTCGAAACGGACAAAGGCGAATTCGAGAGCGGGTTGTTTTTCTCGGTCAAAAAGAGCGACAGTGCGGGACAGACGGTTGTATGACCTCGCGGGTTGTGTATGTTGGTAAAGAACGACTTTCGAGTTTGACAGTTGATTAAGTCCAACGGTCCATTCACACAATCCAAACAGAAAGGATATAAAAGAGTGACTCGCCCGCTGGCAGGCAGTTGTTTGGATGTGGAAAGCCGGAAGATGTCACTGGCCAAATTGGATCAGAGTAACGACCGACGATGTGGAAAGGACGGGAGGGAAGGGAAAAACCGAGAGTCAGTCCCTTTTGGGGGGGTGCCAAAGGCAAAAGAGCGTGAGGGTGAGTGAGGGTGAGGGTGAGAGTGAGGGTGTAAGGGTGGTGGATGGGGCCAGAGAGGGTCAAGAGGAGCTGGAGTTCCCGTGCTGAGGAGAGCGAGAACGGGCAAGAGCACCGGGTCTCTCAAGCGAAGCGAAGCGAAACGAGCCAGCCAACGTTCGGAGAGGGGAAATTGGGTCAACGATAGCAACAGTTCGTTGGTCTACCTACCGTCCGACCTTGACCCTGAGCCTGGCATGGTGGTGTTTCCCAGGATAGTGGCCATGGGGACCCCCATGACAAGGACTCTGACCCTGCCCGTGTGTGTGTGCTTGTTGTGCCTGCAAGCCGGGTGAGCTTGGGAGCCTGGGCCTTTGTCAGGGTTGGGATGACAATGGATCATTGGCACTAAAGAGCCGTCGACGCCGTCCTAATACCACCGCAGTCGAATGCTGCCACCATCGAATGGAGTTCAATAGCAAAAAGATTGGAGAGGAGACACTAGCGAAGGGGGTAAAGGGGGGTGGTGCCTGTCAAGTTTTGGGATGGCGGACCGGGGTGTGAGGAGCCGTTTTGTGGGAACGGGCGAATGAAAAGCAATTTCAGCAAATGAGCCGGGGCTGGCGCGACCTTTTCCCCTGGACATCGCTTTCCATTTTCTGTCGACTTTTTTTTTCTTACTTTCGCGGAGTTCTGCCAGAAAACTCATTTCCTCTGCCTCTGCCGTTCATTATCTTATGTAATGCACTTCACCGCCTTGCTTTCTCGTCGTCGATGCTCGACTTCGCATATACTACCCGTACGCCGGACTGCAATCACAGCAATAGACGCCTCCGACTTAATCCAGCTCCTTCTTCCATCGATCCATCATCCATCATCCCGCCCATCCATCGCAGCAGTCAGGCACAGACAGACGCTGACTGGCTGCATTGCCCGAGCACTCCCTACAAACGTTGCACTAAAATCGACACACGCGCATGGTGCTACAGGGGCTTTCCTCGCCGGCCGCAGGGATCTACTGCAGGAACGCGCCCCTCCTCTACCATTCGAAGCTCGGGGTGGAGATCCAATGGTTCATCAGATTTCACCAGACGACGCCGTCCATCGCCGCGCCAGCGAGAGGAACAGCGGCCAAGACACAGCAGCCAGCAGTCAGCAGTCAGAAGCAACACACACACAAGCGCTCGACACCGTGCAGATGATTTGCATCCCACGAATCAGTCGCTGGCCTCCTGCAAGCCTGTCGACATTTGGCGCGTCGCACAAACCTGCCGCCGCTGCTTCAGACACTGTCACACTGTGATCATCCCAATTTTGCAACACAGAAAAAAGACGGGGAACCAGAGAAAAGAAACAAGCAAACGAACACAGGCCATTCCCTACCTGCCATTCGCCCAACACCCGCCCGCTCGCCCACACTCCGACCGCACGCAACCCAACAGCGAACACCACAAACACAAGCGCTCATCGCGCCCGTTGGGCTAGTGGCTTCAGTAGCTTCTAGATCCTCGGCCGCTGTTTCTGGATCTAGCTGGTCTCACTCTACCCCGGCTGTGAGAATAAAGAAGCAGCAATAAGCCCATCAGAGCATCAGAGCACGAGACATGGCAATCGCCTGTCTCTCATACACACAGTCAGAGCGTGTCTCCGTGTCTCTGAGGCTCTTGATGCGAAACCGCGCCCAAACCCAGGCTGGCCTCTACCGAAATTGAAGCCCTCATCGCGTGTTGGGGTTCTGCCCTCTTCTTGGAACCATCCGGGGCTCTGGAGGGGATTTTACCAAGGGGGGGCCCTGGCGGTGACGACGACATCGACACCGGGCAATTGGCAATGGGATCACTGGCAATGCGTGAGGGTCTCGCGGGTTGCCAAGCGGGCACTTCCGACTGACATGAACCTCTGCTGATAACCTCACCCACGGTCCACGGATCGCGACTTCCAACGTCCTGGAGGCTAAGCCTCCCCTTCGGCTCTCCACCACGCTCCCCGCAGCCGCATTTACGATGACACGATCCACGACCCGATAATGCCGCTCTTCCCTTAATGTGTCTGCTAACATCGCGACTTTTCTATTTTCGGCCAACTGGAATTCGCAAGCCATGCGCCTATTGAACGTCACTCCCACGAGAAGAATGAATAGGGCTTGAGGGTGAGGAGCCGAGCCGTGCGTTGGACGGCGCCTCGCGCCTCCTAATTTGCGCGTGCAAATCGGGAATCGCTTCTAGCCTCTCACCATCTTGCTGCCGGCTGTTCCATCTGATGCATAAGCCCTGCATGCAACGGCGGCCTGCAAATGCACAGCACGACCGTGGTCCGTACAAATAAAAGCACGACATGAGAAGCAACAACAACGCGGGCGCGGCACCGCGAACCGTCATTTCGGCCGTCAGTGGGGGTTGCACACAACCGCTTCCTCCATCCTGGACGCGGCGGTTCGTTCAATTAGGAAGAAACAAGGAAACAAAGGCTCCCCTCCTGGCCAAGGTTCTCCCGGCTTCGAAGCTGCCGCGGCTCTCTCCTTTTACGGGGGTTCCATGACGGCGACAACGGAGTGCCGGGTTAAGGGGCCGGTGGGAAGAGATAGCGGCAGTTGTCCGGAACAGCACCTGCACAAAACAAATCTGCTTTTCCCGTTGTAACGCTGCTGGCAACAGTGAGGGGATTGCTGAATCGCATTTCAGCGCAATTCAGCACCCAGGCCCACCGCACAACGACGCTATCAACAATGTCTAGGTTCCTGCCATGGCCGATTGTTGGTTGGGTTTTTCTTGTTTTCTTTTCTCCGAACGAATGCTCGCCTGAATGACTCCATTCGGGGGTTTACCGCTCGTACCGCTGACGCCAAGCAGATGAAAGAAGACGAGAAGAAACCCCAGACAGTCCTCCATGCTGCCCGGCCCTCTGGAGAGAGAGACAATCGCATTCCTGATGTGTCTGAAATCCGCGTGTCTCGGAGAAAAGCACCGTTGTTCTGTCTCACTTGTGGCAGCCAACACGAGGCGCAATCACTTCATCCGAGAACAATGAAGCCACTCCCGGCAGCTCCTGACTTTCTTCTATCGCGAGTGCGGAAAAACAGCCAAGCAGCCCACGGCTGGGCCAAGACTAGTCTCCAAGACTGAAAAAGTCAATCGCAATGCTTGATTATTTGGCTCGCCAGTGAGGAGGACCCAAAAAACATTGGCACTGCCTCCCAGTCATCCAAATAAGCTAATCTCGATGGGCCGAGTAAAGCTTGTCATTGGCCGACTTGCGGTGGGAAGCCCCGTCTCCGGTCCGCTGCATCGTCACCAATCGCGCTTTATGCTGCAGCGCTCGTAAAACGGGAACATGCGGATATCCTTCATAAAAGTTGTGTGTATTTGCATCCGTACATAAACTCCACGAAACCCCTGATGGCCCCTTGTCGGGAGCTTTCGCTGAGGGGTATGATCGATGGGATAATTTCGGGCCCTGCTCTCATCGCCACCGGCAGACCAGTCTTTTACTCGGCCCGCCTCCTTGATGCAGACCGATGCCGTTCGGCCTTGCCTCGATATTTATCTGCGGCAAGACATCTGCATCCTGAGTCGCGTGCGTGGGTTGATGTCTCTGCTCCAACGACGAAGGAACACCGTCCGCTGCAGTCCCAGGCTCGTGACGGCCTCTTTCAAGTTTTCCACGTCAAACTGCCTGGCCTGTCGCGGGAATCTTCGCTCCTGGGCCTCGGTGAACAGCCCGGGTGCGGCTTAATCTCGTCTCGTCTCGTCTCTCCCGGACCCATGTCTCTCTTCCTCCCCCCGCCTCGGGCGCCCCTTTTCTCAACCTCACCTGGCCGTCCTCGCCGGGTTTCACAGTCAGCCTCGCGTGTTCGACGCCGGCGCAGAATTGTCCACGACCTGATAAAACTCGGGCGCGTACTCCACGAGCCAGCCCTTGTCGATCTTGGTGATGTCTCGAATGAATATCTTTGTGCCGGTCTCCATGACCTCGTGGAAGATGACCCAGTCAGCCTTGCGGTTGAACATGAGCGACGTCGGGTGCGCGTGCAGCGTCGTCTCGCCCGACACGTTGCGGAACGTGCCGTCCGGCTGCATCCTCGCCGCGTGAGCGAAGTATCCCGCCGTGAGGCACCGCCGGATCTGCTCCGCCTTTTTGGCGTTGTCCTGCCCCTGCCGACCGGCGAGCGACTCGTCCACCGTGATGCCGAACTTCTCCAGGTACCGCTTCAGCTGCGCGCGTATGCTCACCGCACGTGACATGGTTTTGAAGTTGAGGTTGTGGTCGCGGCAGAATTTGGACTCCTTCTTGCCCTTTGTGACGAAGGCTTGGTAGACGTTCAGGAGGGTCAGGTGGTCGCCTTCCTCGGCGGCGAACAGGCGCCGGGAGGTCTCCATCGCCTTGCGTTCGCCGTCGTGGTAGAACCAGACGTTGTTTCCGCCTGCGGAAGTCATGGCCGCGATGGTGAGTATCTCGCTGAGACATCCGAAGGAGGAGGCGCTCAGGAGTGTCTTGCCCATCATCGGCTCGACGGCAATCTCGGCCATTCTGTAGCCCAGTGGTTTGGTGAGCTTGGCGTACTCGTCCAGTGCGCCGAGGGAGTAGAGTAGTTCCAGAGCCTTGGCCATCAGCTCTGACGGCGGAGGGCTGATGAAGTTGAACCGTAGAACGTTGTCGATGCCGAGGGCTTTCAGCTGCAGAATGAAGGGCGCCAGGTTGGACCGTTGAATCTCGGGAACGGTGACCGCGGGGAGACCCAGGAAGGCCTCTTCGGTGTACAGACGGAAGCACTTGCCGGGCCTCGTACGTCCTGCTCTGCCGGCGCGTTGGTTTGCCGAGGCCTTGGAGATGGCGGTCGACGTGAGGGCCTCGATTCCCGTCCGCGGGTTGTACGCCCTGAGCTTGGCGAAGCCGCAGTCGACGACGTAGACGATGCCGTCGATGGTGATGGAGGCTTCGGCGATGTTGGTTGCGAAGACGACCTTTCTCGTGCCCTCGGGGGGCTTGTCGAAGACGTACATCTGCTGTTCCGTTGTCAAACCCGCGTAGAGTGGCAGGGCCTGTAGCTTCTGGTCATGCGATTTCATGTCCAGGAGGCGATCGGCGACGGCTTGACAGGCGTTGTCGATCTCTTCGCGCCCGGTAAGGAACACCAGGATGTCCCCCTCTTTCTCGTTCTCGTGGATGTCGAAGACTGTTGAAATGGCCTTCTCGACATAGTCTTCCGCTGGTGACTCGAGATACAGAACATCGACAGGGAACGTCCTTCCCTCCAAGGCAGCAATGGCGCACTTGTCGTCGCCAGCCTGCATTTTCGTGTCATTGTCTGCCGTTTCCGCCGCTGACCGCTTCGTTTCTTTTCCTTCGTCTCCCGGGTTGGTCGTGAAGAACTTCAGAAATTCGTCGGCTTGCAGGGTGGCACTGCTGATGATGACGCGCAACTCTGGCCGCTTCTTCAGGATCTTCTTCAGCAGTCCCAGAAGAATGTCGGTGCTGATGGAGCGCTCGTGGGCTTCGTCCACCATGATGACGGAGTACCGCGTGAGAAGAGGATCGACGAGGGCCTCCCTGATGAGCAAGCCGTCGGTCATGAACTTGATGCGCGTCTGGGCGGACGTTGCGTCCTCGAAACGGATCGCGTAGCCGACCTCTTTGCCTATTTCGCAGCCAACCTCTTCGGCAACTCGCATGGCGACAGTCGTCGCGGCGACTCGGCGAGGCTATCTGCATGTTAGTGATCGTTCTAGCGTAGAGTGATTTCGGCATCGACTTACCTGTGTGATACCAATGACTTTGCCATCTGCGCACCATCCTGCTGCCTCGAGGAACTGGGGAATCTGGGTAGTCTTTCCGGAGCCCGTCTGGCCAACGACGATGGTCACTTGCTTGGTCTCGATGAGGTAAAGCAGTGACTCCCGGTGCTTTGCGATGGGGAGGAGTGCTGCCGGCTTGTGCAATGCCGGGATGAACGATGAGTTGAGGTCAAAGTCGGCCATGATCGATGAAGCTTGCTAGTTGTTGACTTATTGTTGGTTGAACGTCAATCAGAAAAAATTAGTGCCTCGCCCAGGACTTCGATAAAATCTAGATTGTCAGATAGAAGTCATCGGCGTCTAAATAAAACCAACTTCTTTGGCCTCAGCATATCATTTTGGCCTCAGCTCAACATCGCTTCAACTGACACAAACAAATTCTTGATGTTGTAAGTCAACGGCCTGCCTGTTCGGGCCGGTGATGTTGCCTGGTGAAGTCGGTATGAGAGAGCTACAGCTGGCACCAGCCGTGAGAAGCCGGTGACGCTGCTGACATTCCGAGAGGGAGTTCCTCGTCCAACTGCTGACACCTGTGGCAACAAGGATTGTGGCTGAGCTCAAGCTCGCTCAAGTGGCCGCCTGGAGGCGCGGCGTCATCAGCTTGCAGCCCACTTTAATATCATCTCGCCAGCTCCCTAACCCCTCGCTCGGCGCAATACCAACGCCTTTCATAACAACCTTGGGAGACACCCTTTCCAGATCCTACAAGACACCTTGGCTTTAAGGCTTTTATTGCGATCCATTTCGACCAGATAGTATCCGAAGCCTCCACGCTCAGTTGGACAACGTAGTCATGTCTGCTCCCAACGAAACAGTGCGCCATCCCGCCTCGAAACACTCTAGTTTATGCGATGTTCCCTGCGACTGACACCTCATCTCCTTGTGATTTCTAGACCAAAAACACGTCGTCGAGTGGACCTGAATCTCCCACCACCGTCAAGCCCCTGGATTTAAGCGACGACGAAGACGTCCAGGAGACTGGAATCCTCGGCGGTGAAGAGCCCCGCCAGAACACCAACACCTCGACAAACATGGCATCTTCGACAGCTCCCGCGTCGGCCGAGGCCGCCCCTCCGAAGCCTCCCAGGCCTTCCACCGAAACCCAGAAGACCGAGGACATATTGAAGGAGGCATTCCCGAGCATCGACATCTCCGTCATCAAGGCCGTCCTCAGGGCCAGCGGCGGACGCATTGACCCTGCTTTCAATGCTCTGCTTGGTATGTCGCGTGCCCACCTGGGCACCGATTGCAACTGACAGATCGTCCCAGAAATGACCGACCCCGATGCCGCACGCAACGAGCCCGAAGATGAGAACCCTCCCCCCCAGCCGCCTCGTCCCGCCGCCACGGCGCAGCTCTCCCAGCTCGAGGCCGATGAGCTGTACGCGCGCCAGCTCGCCGAGCACTTTGATAATGTCGGCAACTACGAAGCCAGGACCTCAAACAGAAGCCCCGGCGGCCGCGTCAGACGCCAGCAGACTGGTCTCGAGCCCAGGCCGAACGCCGAGGACCGCGAGCACAACTTCTTCGACGACGAACTGCCGGTGATCCAGGAGAAGCTGAGGAAGGGTTTTATGGAGACGCAAGGCAAGGTCAACAGCTGGATCACGACCATGAAGAAGAGATTCGACGAGGAGTTCGCGGAGGAAGACGAGCACACTCAGCGACCCGGCCAGGCCCAGCAGGGACAGTACGGAAGACGCCCCGGAGAGTCGAGCCGTAGGAGCGGCGACTACGAGAGGTACGACGCCGACCCACAGGTTCTGAGCGACGATTTCGCGGGTATGAAGTTCACCGCCGATGGAAGTAAGTACACGCCAGCAAGAACTCTTTTTCATGCCGCCGCTAGTCCGGCGCTAACACGGAGTAGCTCCCGTCCGCGACGGCAACCGACCGCTGTCGAACCCCGACCTCTTCAAGCCCCCTCCGCCGTCCAAGTCTCCCAAGCCGGACGGACGCAAGGTTGCGTTCCGTGAAGGAGCAGAGGAGATTGACGTGTATGGATCGTCACCCAGGGTTTCCGCCGACGACAGCTCCAAGGCGAAGTCCAGCAAGTGGCAGCCTCTTTCTACCGTCGAGCCTAGCCCCATCAACGACAACGACCCGTTCAGCCTGGGCGACAGCGAGGACGAGAGGGAGGCCAAGGAGAAGGCCGCGACCAAGGACGTCAAGTCCGAGGACAGCGAGAGGCTCAAGAAGGCTGCCGCTGAGGCAATGGCGGATAGCCTGGTCGACTCCAAGGAGGGTGAGGCGGCGGGCGCGGCGGCGAAGAAGAACTAAGCAGCAATCGGCGGAGGCATCGTGAGTTGGAGGACTGGCGAATTTTGGTCCCTATACACTTTCATTTCCAGATATCCACCCCCTGGCTTGAGCAGTAACAAGAGCCTGGCAAAGGGGCCTCGGGAGGCAAGGGGACTTGGGGTACCCCGAATCAATTTTTAGGAAGCGTAGTCGGGAGATCCAAATTGAGTGCTATTCAAAGTGGTCGGCGAAGTCCAGCCAGTGATGTCAAGACTCCGGCAAGGCCCACGATGGTGAATCGGTAGAGACGCTGCGGTGCCGAAGTAAGTAACGGTACCGGCGATACCCATTGGCAGCAGACCGGCATCTGACGTAGTGTGTAGACAGGAGGCACCTCGGCTTCTGCGGACACGATTCATCGAAGTGGGTTTGATCCCGGTGATTGACACAGCAGCGTGCGGACGTAAGAGGGTCGTCTGGCCAGCATGTATGGCCAGACCCGGGTGATGCTCCTGAGCCGAGCTGAGGTGGATGGCAGCTGAGTAACGTCGCAATTGGAAAAAGCTGGCCCCGCTGCGCATCTGAGAATAACATCTGGGTTTAACTCCCGGCTTGACTGCATGACGATTACGATCCGATGCTACTGAGGGGCTCGTCATCTCGACGTAGGGGTCTTTGAGCTGGGTTGCCAGCGTGGCTAGCGAATTCGTCGTCACATCACGGTGCAGATAGAGGTTGAGGTTTGTTAAGAGCACATCCATCTTTGCTGGGCCTCGCGTGCTTGAGGGATGCCTTGAGAAACTGAGCACCGCTCGCCCTACGACTTTTACGAAGATCGGCTTGACGAGGACTCTCTCGGGTTGTCATACTTCCCCTCATGGCTTAGAGGATGCCCCGCATCATGTAGGTCAGGGGGTAGGTTTTCTTCTTTTCCCTTTTTTTCTGCCCAGCAGTCCGGCTACTTCCGTGCCTGTGTGGTTGCTGCAAGTGTTGTCGTCGAACTTGGCAATCGGGTTAGACCATGTTCGAGGATCAGGACGTCGGTTATGTAAAGACGGGTTAGCTAAGCGGATGGTGTAAAAAACGGGCTCCAGAATTGCGGTTTTCCCGACGGAGTAAGTCGGCTTTCAACGGAAATGCAGCGTCTTTAAACGGATTATGGATGTGGCTGGCTAGTGCGGTGAAAGGCCGGGGACGTATAATCGGAGCATTTCGGTGGACTTGGAGCACGATATGCCGTCTATACAGAGTACTAACGCAGCGGGTAAAATTGTAGAGTCAACACGGAGCTTTACCGAAGGCCCCGGGAAGAAAGCGGATGGGTTAAAGCTCTGCCTTCCAAATTGGCTCCGAAGATAACAACGGCAACTCTTCTGCGCAGCCAGGGCATGGAACTACCAGGTTGAGGGAAGACGAGAGCGAATTCTTAATGACTGAAAAAAAACGTGAAAAATGCAGAGTGAGTTTCGACGCACGGACTTCTCTCTGTCCTGCAGTGTAAAGTACTTGTAAGCTTTTGGCTCTTCAGCCTCGCACTTGGCATGTCGAGCAAAAAACGTGGTTCGTATGCGAGCCGCCATTGGCCGGCGATCTGAGGACTTGGCTTTGAGGGGTGACGCGAGGGGGGAGGGGGGTTTCCACGGTTCTTCCTTGACTCTACGTTGACGATGCCTTGCATTTGACGTTGGAACAAGTACCTACCTAACTGTGACAGGCAAGTGCACGCTGCGCTCGTCGTATGGCTCGAGTGCAGAGCTGCTCAAACGTTTTTAACGACTGCGGGCGGAGTTGTCGAGACAAGAGACACGAGGCAGGTAGAGGGGTACTTTTGCCGATCTGAACGTGAGAGAAAATTTGATAACTGAACTCTGAAGCTGCTCCACGGGGAAAAGCTAAGCCCACGTGTTCAACCTCTCGATATACGGCCTTGGAACGCACGAGCATCGTGAGGTGTTTGTTTGGATTCGGGGCTACTATGCGACAGCAAATCAGGGAAGTGTATCCGCGCGAATTGAGAGACGGCGGGAAGCGGAGACAGACTCCAGAACAAGTGCTCAGTGTTTGGGCTCTTTTCCTTCTCCTTCTCGCTCTGTTGTCGTGTGCTTCCCGAGTTAGAAGGTACACTGTAGGCACTGGTCTTGGTGGAAGATGGCGGATTCGCTTCGTTGGTGATGCAGGCGGTTGGAGATGCTCGGTGTCCGTGTTTGGATACTTGCCTGATACAGACAGGAAAAAGTGCACAAGGAAAAGGAGCACTGGCCACGGAACAGCCAAAGAACCACTCGACACGTCGTTTAGCGCATGTTCTGTCGACCCGTTCGCAAAGATGACTGGCGGGTTGTTCTGGTCTCTTGCTGCTGTTGCAGTGTAACGAGCAAGGGTTGAAGACAGAAAGGTACCCCGCACCTTCTCGCTACCGCAAGTACCTAGGTACCTATTTCGACAAGGGGGGGTAGAATGGGCAAGAGCAGGCCGGCAATGTGACCCGCAATTGGACCGTCAGTGAGCCGTGTGGCCCCTCCAATTGGACAGACCGACACGGTGGTTGGCCAAGCGGTGCCCCGGCCGGCGCCCATTGGATTTCACGGGTCTGCGGACTGCGGCCTGCGATTTGCAGTCTCCATTCTCCAGTTTCCAGTTCGACTTTGAGAGAGAGAGAAGGTACCTGCCTACCTACCCGTGTCGTCCGTCGAGGAAAGGACCTCGTCACTCGCCTCACTGTGGAAAGGACAGAGAGAAAGAACGAGAGAGAGACTCAGTTCCAGTCAGTCACCCGTCCATCTTCCGGCCATCGCAAATCGTTCATCCTGTTCCGTTGCATCACTCAACTCCCAATACCCGACCCGAACTCCAGATCTGAGCCACCCTTCAACAATACCCATACCCTACCCTGGGTATCTCTGCTACCTTACCCTGCTGCGTCCTCGGCTCTCATCGAGCGGTAGAGTTGCAGAACAGACTTTCCTTTCCTACCCTACCTTGCCTACCTTACCTCGACGTACTGTCTCGACTTACCTCACCTCTTACTCACACTCATACCTTACATCACCGCTCAACTCACGCCGCAACAGCAACGACGACACCTCATTGGCATTTAGACGCCTCCCGCTGCCATCCCGCCGCAGATTCACACAAGCCAAGCGCTGAACTTCCGGTACGCGTGACCACCCTCGTCGTTCGTGATCTTTTCCGATTCGCTACACGTCAAAAGTCAGCCTTGTTGCTCGAGCTCTCACTTCATACCTTCTCGTATAAACCTCAACTTCACTTTCACATACCCGCCTGCTTGGTTTTCTCATCAACGGCCATCTCCGTTGCTCTCATCGTCTTGCCGAGGGACGAGGTAACAGAAACGAACAACCCCAGTCTACTCCAATAAGTCCCGGTCTCGACCCTGCCTTTCTTAGCTCAACCCCCCTGCCGCGATCAATACATCACGGACACTCGGCCAGATCGTGCCCTGCTGTCTGGGGAACGAAACCTGGATTCGCTTGTCTAGAGGGCCAGAACAGACAGTGTCGCCCGAAAAAACCACCGCCCGGCTGGCATCTGGCGCTGACATGGGATATTGTCATCCACATCCAGCCTGTATGCGCGTCCACTCACCACTCCCGATGCCCCCACGCAGCCTCCTGTCTTAGTTCCTATTACTTACTTGTCGTACTGCTTTCGAGAATCGCACCTGACCTTGCCCGTGCTATGCCGCAAGTGCCATATGCGCCGGGCTGTCTCCCCTCTTTCATCGCTACCTGGACTGTCACCGAGCACCGAGCCGTGTCCGGGATAGCCTCAGTCTTGCCCCCACAGGCTCCTCCTTCTCAGGCCTTACCAGTACCCAGCCCGAGTTGTTCTCTCCTCTATGGAGACCGCTTCAGGGTCCTGCTCTTCCCGCGCCTGTGACGAAGGTCCAGAGCCCCAACTGCCTCATACCTGTGTCGGCCAAGCGGCCAGCCCGCTGTGGGACGTAAAACACACCCCGAATGCTTATGTTCTGTTCCGTCCTTCCACCAACCTATTTCCTGACTCAATCAGCAGCTTCGAGCCTTCCCCGAGTTGGTTTGATATCTGGTCTCGACCCTCGCCCATTCCTGGCCTTTCGCAGGTCTCATCCTTCAAGCCACCCGAGAACGAGTCTTCCACGGCGTTGGACGTCTCGATTCAACTCACTTCTCCTCATAACTCACGCCACCCGAGGCCCCCCACGTGCGACTCTCTTCACCACTCTTACAGCCGTGTCCAAGACACCGTTGCCGCCGGTCGACGTCACTTAGTGCATCCTTGTGCTAGTCATCCACTTTGCCTGCCGCCGACGCATACGCACAACGGCAGAGCTTCCCTCTGTCATACCGCCCTTCAAATCCACCTGCAGACTCCCACTGCCAGCCTGCCAGACTTGGAGAGCTTGCATACTGCTGCTGCCCTAGGAAACGTGCTCTATCTCCCTTGGACGCCGTGATTTCACGGGCGTCCGTCCATCATGTGAGTCTCTCCATCGGCCGTTGGGGCCCGTCTTATAAGTGCCCAAGAGCACGGGCGCGTAGGCGGATGCTAATCTCCTAACAGGAAGTTCGGCAAGCAAATCCAGAAGCGCCAGCTCGAGGTCCCCGAGTATGCCGCGAGTTTTGTGAATTACAAGGCTCTCAAGAAGGTATGTACAAGTCTTCAGTAGCCCCAGACCCATCCCTCCGCTGTCATCCGTCGCTTCGCGTCCGCTTTGGGCGGTCGTTCGGTGAGAGAAACCACAAAAAAAGAAAAGCACTCCGAGGATTTAGTCACTCGGTACCCGATACAGCCCTCTCAGGGGTTGGGAAATGGAGCAACCCCATGGCATTAACCAAGCAATACACGGCATTGCCACTGACACCGGGCCTTCTTCTAGCTGATCAAGAAACTGTCGGCTACTCCCACGCTGAGCGCACAAATTGATCCCCTCCGCTCCGCAATATCTATAGACTCCCAGGCTGCTCTTCAGGCCAACAAGGCCACCTTCTTCTTCCAATTAGTAAGTATCTAGCCATGGGTCAGTGCAATGAATATCCCACCATACCTGCTAACCCTCGATCAGGAACGGGAGCTCGAAAAAGTTAACGCCTTCTATCTTCAAAAGGAGGCCGAGGTATGCACTTGTCTTTTCCTTTCATCGGTTGCGATGCTTCCGTGACTTGACTTAACCCCCTTTGCAGCTCAAGGTCCGCTTGAAGACCCTTCTCGACAAGAAGAAAGTCTTGCAATCACGAAATGGCGTTTCGAGACGATCAGCCAAGTTCACGACTCTCGAAGAGGGCTTCCAACAGTTCGCCAGCGACCTGAACAAGCTCCAGCAGTTTGTCGAGATCAACGGAACCGCTTTCTCCAAAATCCTCAAAAAGTGGGACAAGACTTCAAAGTCCAAGACCAAGGAACTCTACCTCTCCAGGGCCGTCGAGGTCCAGCCCTTCTTCAACGCCACCGTCATCAGCGAGCTATCCGACCAGGCCACGACCAGTCTACAGGAGCTCGGGGCATGGGCCGAGGGAGACCATGTCACCTTCGAGTCCCGTACTGACCACATCGTGAGCAGCCAGCATCTGCTCGGAACCGACGAGGGCGATGCCGACACTCTGCTGCTCGACACGGTCATCGGCGGGAACCTCGAGGCCCTGCGAGACCTGCTTGTACGGATGCGGACTTCTGCTGCCGGCTCGTCGTCGGGCTCCGATCTCTCTTTGATGGAAAGGTTCACCCGAACTTTCCTCGCAGCAATCCACGAGGCACCCAAGAGCACCCTCGAAGTCCTGCTCGATACCGGCCTGGTCGACATCCAGTCAGAGGACGACATCAACGAGAGGAATTGCTTGCACCAGGCCGCGATCTACGGAAACAACTTCGTCCTCGAGTATGGCCTCTCAAAAGGCGTTGCCGTTGACCGCACCGATGTCTACGGCAGAGTTCCTCTGCACTACGCCAGTATGCATGGCCGCTTGGACATGCTCGATGCCCTCTCGAGCGGTAAGACGAAAACGATCCTCCCGAGGCGAAAATGCTAACGTGTACTGTAGCAAATGCTCAAACGATAGATCTGATCGACCATGACAACTTCACACCGCTTGTGCACTCGATAATCCACGGACATCTGCAGTGCGTAGAACGTCTGCTGGAGAAGTCCGCCCGCATCGACCCTGTGTCCGATGCAGACCACGTACCGCTTAATCTTGCATGCGAGCACGGTTCGCTGGCAATCGTGGAATTGCTGCTCAAGCATGGAGCACAGATCCTGCCCGACGCCGAAGGGCTCTATCCCCAACATCTCGTTGCTCGGTCCGGTCAACGGCCAGAGCTCCTGCTTCTGCTCAAAAACTATGGCGCAAACCTCGATCAGGTCGATAAGCTGTACGGATGGACGCCTTTGGTCCATGCAGCGAGCGAAGGCAATGTTCCCTGCCTTCAGGGTCTCTTGGAAGTCGGAGCCGATCCCACCATCGTCGACGAGAAGGACTTGCCAGCAATGTACTACGCAGTGTGGGAAGGTCACTTGGAGTGCATGAAGCTTCTGGCTCCTTACAACGCGAGGACGAAACCGAGCCCGATGATCGTACAGCATGGATTGGGGCCGATGTTGGAAAGTGGCGGACCCGAGCCTATGGCCCTCGACCCGGACGCCATCCCCGAACTCGAACTCCCGCCGCCGATTATCCCTCTGCGCCGCTACGGACACAACTTCTTGGACACGAAAACCGTCGTCCAGATCAGCTTCGAAGAGAACGGAGACCAACCCCTGGTGTTCTTCCACGATGGCAAATACCCGGCCGCCCGCCTCACGATCTCGTCCAAGGTCTCCGATCTCATCCCGAAGAACATTATGCTGCCTTTCCAAGAAGATACCCGACTTGTTTCCTTCCAGATTGACAACCTGGAGTCGTTCACCCTGGATTTCGACGTCTTTCCCACCTACGGCGCAAAGATCATTGCCAAGACGGTGGCGCTGCCGAATACGTTCAAGGCACTACTCAGCAGCTCTGGAAAGTGCTGTTTGCCTCTCTTCGATCCTAGACTTCGCGCCATTGGACAGATCAGCTTCCACACACAGGTCATCAAGCCTTTCAACGGCAAGCCGCTGGAGATTACCGACTTCGAGACGTATTGGAAGGCTACGAGCCAGTTCGATCGCAGCCCGAGCACGTTCATAACCGGCTCGAGCTTGTCTGGCGACTTCGTTCGACTGTTCGTCCAGCACACCAGCGACGGCATCCCTGTGTTGTGGCCGCGGTGGACGATACCATGCGGAGGCATCGACCTGCCGATCTCGAGATTGACAATGGAGCAGTTCAGCACCATCACGTCCAAGAGCCCGAGCAGAGCAGAACTTTCCTCTCTGCCAACGAAGCCGTTGGATGCGATTGCGGATGTCCACCGCGTGTTGGCCACCGCAGGAATCCCTCTCAACGAGGCACTGGCCTTGCTTCCCCACGGAATGCACGTCAACGTCCAGATCCTGTACCCGTCTTTGGAAGAGGAGAGGACGTTGGGTCTCGGCCCCTCCCTGGATCTCAACACCTTCGTCGACTCTCTACTCACGACTGTGTTTGACCACGCCCGCGCCCAAAGGGCACAATCCCTTGAGTCTGTTCGCTCCGTCGTGTTCAGCTCATATAACCCGAGCCTTTGCACGGCGCTCAACTGGAAGCAGCCCAACTTCCCCGTTTTCTTGTGCAACGATCTCGGTCGCGAGGAGTCGATGGCGCCGCCGGATGTCATCCAAAGTCATGGCAGGAGATCCGCATCGATCAAGGAAGCTGTCCGGATCGCGCAGAGCAACAACTTCATGGGCCTGATCTGCTGCTCAAGATTACTGGTTTGTTGCCCCTTTAACTAGAAATTCTCGCAACAACTGCTAACGTGCCTTAGGACATGGTGCCCGCGCTGGTCGATGCAATCAAGTCGCACGGCCTGGCGCTTGTCACAGACAAGTCGCTGGAGCCGCCAACAACCCACTCGCTTTCCGACCCCTTTCCTAGGTTACCAAAGGGAGTGGATGGTGTGCTCAAATGTCACGGTGTTTTGCGCTTCAACGAGTCTATAGATATGTAGAGTGTCGTAATTATGTGCGGTTCAGCAGACAGGTTTACGCACTCTCGTCCTGAATCATAATTTTCAGCCCAACCCCGACCGTCCCAAGGTTTTACACGCGTGATTAATACAGTTCATCATTCTGGCATTAGTCGTGAAAGTCCCACCCCGCCTGTGCGGCTTGTCTATGCACCCTTGTAGTCATACTTGAGCGCGGCCAACTCCTTTTCGGGGTCTACGCTGCCCATTACCACCTTTGCAATGATGATTACCACGTACACGATGGCAGGGAGGTTTCCCAGGCCGACGTGTCCGAAAGTGCCCCTGTCCCCTGGCTTCGTCACCATACCCGTCAAGACCAGCATCGCACACAGTCCCAGGTTGAGGTACGGCAGGTACTGCTCCAGGGGAGACTTGTGCTCCTCGTTGAAGGAGAATGAGCTCCGTCTGGGTCGGCGCTGGGACGGTCCCGCGTAGGCCTGCGACGATGCCCCGGACACTGACGACGTCGAAGACTCGAGCGAAGAAGCCGGACTCGCGCGCGGCGTCTTGGGGCGCGACCAGGCGTCGATGAAGGGGATGCCCGTCTGTCCTGGCGGTTGGGTGTGGAGGAGGTAGGCCGTCGATAGGAGGGACGTGATGGACAGGAGCGAGGTCATCATGGAGGTCAGGCGGAGAATGGAGATCAGGTAGGGTATCGTCGTGAGGAGGGGTAGGGCGAGGAGGAAGGTGCGGAACTGGGCGTTTCGGGCGGCGTTTTCTTCGGCTAGGCGTTGGATGAGGAGGTCTTGCTCTGTTACGATGAAAGTCAGCGGCTGTCATCAAGCGCGACGGAGTACGGCTGAAGACATACCCTCTTCGTCCATCGCTTCGGGTTGCGAGTCGGCCGAATCATCGTCTGTGGGGTAGTGGAATGTGCGCCGCAGTCGGGCGGCCGCGCCTCGTGGTTCTGCCATTTGGGTATTCGATACGTTGTCGCGGCGATGGCTTTTCTGAAGTCGCGGGACCCGCGCGAAGCTTTTGTGGGTTGTACAGTGTATGCAGTTTGGTGTGAAAAGGTGCGATGCTGTGGTGAGATTCACATGGCGATGTAGCTTGAGGGGTGAGGGAGCTTTCTCCAAGAGAGCAGTGACACCTCAGCCTTATGATGCGCCAGCTAATTTAGCACATGCAGACATGGGTACAAGTGACAAAACCATTGGCCAGAGCTCAGCGAGGCTTTTTCGCTGGCAGGACCCTCCCCGGAATTTTTGGAGCTGAGCCCGCCCGCCCGCCGACCGAACTTGCATGACCTGATTCGGGGTGTTCCGAAATTTCGTCTCCGACCACGACGACATCCCACGACAACCACCCAAGAGACATATTCAGATCGAACGCCGATCTGCGAACGTTGAGGTCAATCATGTACTCGAGGACAGCAACCAGGAGGTTCGCCTCCTCGCTGCGCACCGCCGCGGCACGACGACAGCCCCAGATCAGAAACCAGACACAACGGAGATGGGCGACCGCGGCGCCGAAGCCGGGCTCGGGGCCGCTGATGGAGAGGCGAGCTGACCGAGAGCTGCCTGGTACGTTTTCGGAATGAGAAAGAGAAGATACAGACATGGCTCGGCAGTCCACTGACGTCTGCAAAAGACATCAACCAGATCACGTTCCGCTGGTCCCGGTCGCTACCCATCTTCGCGGCGGCCATCGTGGTGTGCAGCGTCGCCATCTTCAACTACCAAAAGTCGTCGTCGCCCGTCATCGCCTCGACCATGTACGCGCTGCGCACGAACCCCAAGGCCCGCGAGCTGCTGGGCGACGAGGTCTACTTCAAGCACCAGATCCCCTGGATCTCGGGCGAGATGAACCAGCTGCACGGCCGCATCGACATCGCCTTCAGCGTCAAGGGCACCAGGGGGGAGGCCGTCATGAAGTTCACGAGCTTCCGGACGTCGCACAAGGGGCTGTTCGAGACGACCGAGTGGAGCCTCGAGACGCCCGACGGCCGCAAGATCGACCTGCTCGACGGCGCGGATCCGTTCCGCGGCATCGTTGGCGGGGACGATCTGGACGACGACCTGGACGAGCCTGCTTCGGCGGCGACGAGGGGATTTAGGCAGAACATTAAGTAACGAGTGCGAGAGGACGAAAAAAGATACCAAGGTCGTGGTGATGGTGATGGTCATTGGGTGGGACGTGGGCGAGAAGAGCCTTTAGCTACGCGCACCTCGCCTCGTAGGGTGGTAAATGTACAACATGTATAGTACACGGACTCATAAACAACGGGTAAAAAGGGAAAAGCTATTCTATACATATCCCGCCGCTTCTCTCCTCTGCTTCTTCAGCTCCAGGTGCCTCTCCCTCGCCTGCTGCAGTCTCGCCTCGGCATCCGCGTTGTTCGCCAACAGCTCCTTCAACTTCTCCTCGCGGTACGGCAGCGCCGGCGCTTTCCTCTTCACGGCGTCCTGCAGCCGCACGACGCAGCCCTTGGGTCCGCCGACGGCGCCCTTGACCAGCACCACGCCCAGCTCGTTGTCCACCTGGAGCACCGTCAGGTTCTGCACCGTGGTGCGCTCGTTGCCCATCCGTCCGGGCATCTTCTTTCCCGGCATGACTCTGGAACCGGAGCCCTGCGAGGGACCGGTGGTACCGATGGTGCGGTGGTTCTTGGAGTTACCGTGCGAGGCCTCCTGTCCGGCGAAGCCGTGGCGCTTCATGCCACCGGCGAAACCCATGCCGCGGCTGTTGGAGCGCACGTCGACGTACTGGCCCGTCTGGAACCAGTCCGGGGACAGCTGGACGCCGACGGGCAGCAGGCCGTCCTCGGACCGGACCTTGAACTCGGCGACGTGGCGCTTGGGCGCGATGCCCTTGGCCTCGAAGTATCCCAGCTGCGGCCTCTCGACGTTGCGGGCCTCCTTGGAGCCCATGCCGACCTGGACGGCCCAGTACCCGTTGGCCTTGCGCGTCTTGTTGGCGAGGACCTGCACCTGGTCGAGCTGGAGGACGGTGCAGGGGACGCGCTTCTTGCCGTAGTAGATGGCGGTCATGCCCTTCTTGAGGGCGAGGACGCCGGTGCGGAGCGGGGTGGTCTTCTCGCGGCGGGCGAGGGCGGCGGCGGGACCGGTCGTGAGGGCGGGCAGGCCGGCGGTGGGCTGGTTGAAGCGGGCGGGCTTGCTGCGAGAGGGGGCGGTCGACCAGCCGTACTTTACGCCTCGCTTCGCGGTGAAAGGGAGGAGGTGGACGCGGGGGCCGGCGAGGGCGCCATTGGGTATCGTCGACGTCGTCGGTCCGGTTCGGAGGAGCTGGAGACAGCTCGGGGGCAGTCGGGGTGCCATGGCGATGGCGGCTTGAGGATGGAGTGGGCGTTTGGGGGAGAGACGTCGACGCTGGTCGTGAAATGGATTTTTTTTTGGGTGAGGTCGGATCAGAGTGCATGAGGTGGAAATATTGAAGTGGCCCGTGCGTTCCGGGGATCAATTGGGTGAGCTCACGGAAGCTTGAACCAGCGTCAATTTTCACCTCAGTCTCAATTTCTTCCATTTCAAGAAATCTACCCTATTTAATTGGAAAGTCACTCAAGCTGGTGCAGATGAAGAAGTCTGACATCCTAGGTTGGTACAGGAGGCTGTACCGCAACTCTCTTCGAGCGGTGCAGTTCTCATCGCCGTCGCGGTACGTCGTCCGCGACCAGCTCAGGGCAGCATTCCGCCGGACGGACGAGATACCCGACAAGCACACGTTGCAGAGGACGAATTGGTTTCTGCAGACGGCGGCCGCGGAGAGAGGGCTCGAGCACAAGATCCTCAAGAACCTGATCCGCATGGCGCAGGATCGGAGTCGCCTGAAGCCGTGGAAGTCCACCTATCTCCAGGGCGTCAGCCACGACACGAAGCCTTTGTAAGTATCTTGATGGTGCGATGTGGTGCCGACGCTGACTTGGTTGTTGTAGGGCTCAGGCGAACAAGGCGATGGACGAGTCGGCTCATTACCACTTTGATATGACGCTGGCCATGTTGAACAAGTCGATGGGGATGTGTCTGCGGTGCGATCCGACTTATGAGCCCAGGTGATTGGTTCCAGGGACTTGAATTCCTCGTCTACTGAGATTGGCAACTGCCAGGAGTTTTCTAGAACTTGTGGACTTGAAATCTCGAAGCTGGCAACGACGGGATTCCCGGAGCCTCACTTAGGCCTTCGTCCGTCGTCTCCTCGGTCGGCATGGATGTCAGCCCAGGAGCATTGCTTGGACTTTGACGTCTCTTGGAAAGTGGTATGAATGGGAACTCAGGAGCTATCCGACAACCCTACCTACAGCTTCATCGGCTTAATACGGATGTTTGGCCGTGGAAGAGGGAGCAAACATCATTGAAAGTCGAGGAAGATTTCGGCCCGACTGGCACGTTGGAGCCGCTACCAAGCGCATTCTTCTGTCACCATGGCTCTGATTTACCCCAGTCATCCAAATGGGACCATCAGGCCAGGATTTCACGCAGCAAGTCTCACAGCAAACTCGTTGTGGTGCCATGGTCGACAGACGGCGAAGACGGAAGGGAACACAACAGCTCCGGGCGGAGGTGCAGCGTTCTCAATATCTGAGGGTAACTTATTGGAGGAAGTGACTGTCTCGCGTGAAGAGATCGCTGGTGCGTTTGCAGGCCGGGCGATCTGCAGGCGCGTGGGGTCAGCAAGTCAAACGGCTCGCACCTGGTTGGCTGGCCAGGTCTGCGAGATGGCGGCCGCAGCCCTTTTGGGGGTTATCGAGGGGTTTTCGTCATGGAGGGTAATGTAAAGGCAGGGAGAGGGATGGGCGGTTGAGGTTGGGATTGGGAGGCCAGACATGACTCTTGGTGGTTGCATAGGTAGTCAGTAATTTGATGCCGAACCGCTGCTGGCGCCCGTCAAGTGCTGATTGTTGCTGTTCCTGAGCTGATCTGATCTCGCCGCTTAATATGGGAGCCTGCCTTTGGGGTACCCGAATGAGGCCATAGGTGGCACAGATGGTACGGCACGAGAACGGCAGTAGGAACTCGTAATCCGAGGGTTGCGGTTCGCCGTTGGAGAGAATGACGTTGCCGTACATGGTGGGAGTTTCCCCCAAGGGTTGGGAGACGGCAGCTTGGGTGAGAAGCAACTGCAAAGCATGTCCTGACTAAGACCACGGGGGATTGGAGAAGCTGAGGAGTTGAGGCGAACCCCTCCGTGTCGGAGCCAAGGGTCTCGGCCGTCGCGCCGTGTCGGATCCCTTGGCCGGGGTGGGGGGGGCTGTTGCTGAGGTGGTCCTGTTGTGTTTTGTCTATTCCCCGATTGAAGACGGAGACGTACAAAAATAAAGACCCTCGTCGGGTGTTATTCCGGGAGGCCGGTCAAAACATATGGCTCCGTGAAACGACCGACTTGTCGTAAGGTGGTCGACCGAGCCTCCGTTTGAAGATGGGCGATGCATGTCCTCAAAACAGCGTCAAGTCGGGTGAGAGAACCCACTCTTGGTGTCTCGACAGCGGACTGCTGGCTTGTGACGGTGGGTAGGTACCTACCGGGCAGTTTGGTTTTAGCGGCCGTGATTGAAACGGCGAATCAGAGGTGCAGGATCGCTGGAGATCCAATGGACGACCTCACCTGGAGATGCCAATCAGCTGCCGTTTTACTGGACGATGGGCGGGGCCGAAGGGGGCCTCCAGGTGCAGCTGTGAGGTGCAACAGCCCGACCCTGGAGCTGTACGGATAGGCCTGGGCTGCCGTGTACCTCGGCGCGTGTGAATCGCAGCATCGGTACTTCTGGGAATCACCCACGAGGACCTCTAGCTTGGACGCTCGGGGGAAGCTACCTTAGGTACATGAACCTTGCCTTCCCATGTCGTAGAATCATTCCAGTGCCGACCCCGCAGTCCCAGAGTGCCTTTACAAAATAGTTGACGCAGCGTTCGATTTACACTTCTTCTCTCCTTTTCCCCATAACCCGCAAATCTTGAATGGTTAGCGGGTACAACAGCGTCAACTCCCGGGGGTTCAGCCTTCGATCCCCAACTCGATTTTAGAACCGCTCTGTCTGCACTTCCAACACGATCTCCCATCTCTCGACATACATCGTCTCTCCTTACCATCCAACTACTTTACGCGAACCACCATCTCTCCGCCGGCAAACACCTCCACCACTGCGGTCTGAATGGACCCATACCCGCTGCCAACGTGCCGTACCGCGACCGCGCCGAGGACCCTGATCTCTCTCGAGATCACCGTCTGAAGGTGCTGCCGAGACGCCATTGCTGGAAAGCATGCCCGCGACAGAAGTCGAATACCACCCAAGACACCATGTGGCGGCCCGCCAACCGACTGCGATCATGCCTCGTGCTCAAGAAGAGCGCCCGCAGAGGCTGGTCAAGCGGTACCGCACCGAGATCGCCGCAAGCACTTCGAGCATGTTCTCGACCGTCCTCGCATTTCCCCTCGATAGCGTGAAAACGCGAATGCAAACCTACAGATATGAAGGCTTCCTCGATTGCGTGAAGCACACCTACCGCACCGAGAACCTGAGAGGCTTCTTTCGGGGTACGCGCTCCCTTGCACCGCTCCCGCAACCACGACCCCTCACCTCGATTCGTCCGTGTCGAACTAACCTTGCTGCCCCCGAATAGGTGTACTCGCCCCTATGGCCAGCGTCACTCTTGTGCGGACCATTTCCTTTTCGATTTACCAGCGCGCCAAGTACACGTACTCTGGCTGGATCAAGCAAGCGTGGGGAGTCGACGTCCTGCAGCACGTCAACAAAAAGGGAACCTATCCGAACTTTTACTCCGTCGCCTGCTTTGGAGTCGCTGGTGCAACCGCCGGTTCCTGCATCACGCTCATCGCCTGCCCCTTCGAATTGACCAAACTCAGCGCACAAGTCGCCGTCCTACTATCCGATCAGAAGAAGCTCGCCGAAGCCAACTGCCGGGCTTCGAATGGCCACCAGGTTGCGGCCAGTTACCAAAATAAGGGCACCTTCAAAACCATGTCCAACATCATTCGTCACCGGGGTGCTTTGGGGCTTTACACTGGCTTCAACTTGCACTTGTGTAAGTCTACCGCGTACAACCCCATTCATCCCTCAGCTGACCGTTCTAGTGCGAGACACCCTGGGAACTGCCATTTACTTCATGGTATATGAGAGCGGCAAGCAGCTCGGAACTACATTCGGCGGCGACCATCCCACTACTAACAAGCTGGCCGTTGTCGTATCTGGAGGTCTTTGCGGGATAGTGTCCTGGGCAATGATCTGTACTGACTCCTGTGCCCCTGTCTGGTTACAGAGCGCTAACGCTGCGGCAGATCCCATCGACTCGGCAAAGAGCATCTATCAACGCAATTCTCTGCTGTACTCCAAGGGACAGCAGGTCGAGCCACCTCCGAAGATTGAATTCTTCAAGAAACACATGTACCGCGGCCTGGGAGTATCCATGGGACGGTCATGCGCTGTAAATGCCATCTTTTTCTCTGCCTTTGAATTCATGAAGAAGCACGTCAATTCGCTGGATGACGAGTAAGGAATTATGTAAAACAACGAAACAACGCCGACAGACTTGTCGGAAACATGGACGGCTGCATTGACGATGGACGACGGCGTTTTGGCTCAGTGCTTAGGATGGAAACAACTGGCATATCACACAAACATAACTTAAGGAATTACGGAACGGACATACGAACAGAGCTCAGTTCGTAGATTGGACTTGATAGCACAGAAACAACGATTTTCAACTTCATGCGCTTCGTCACCACATCATGCCTTGATCGTGATGCCCTCAGTGACGGTGCGGTGATCAGAAACATGATTCATTGCGTCTCCTGTGGCCAAGGTTTACTGCTGAAACAACCTCGGGCTGCCCCAGTTCGAAGCATGAGAGGAGTTCGGACTGCGCTCGGTGAGCTCACCTTCCTCGGTGTATCGCCGGACGCTGTCGTTCGCCGGCTGGGCCCGTGCACGCCGCCCCACCATTTCCACGTGATATCACCGCTCCAAGCGACGTTCAAGTTGCAACCCGACCTCGTTAGGCGGCTTTGCATCACTCTGCTCCGGAACAACTGACCTCGCCCCAACCCCGGCGTCGAGTCTCATGCACTTTCGATCCAAGAATCGCACCTGCGCCTTCCTTTTCCAAGGGCAAGCAGCTCTTGCCCAACTTGTTTGACGAGTCGCAGATTCAAATTTCCGCCACCGGACAATTTGAATCTTCGTTCTACGTGATTTACTGTTGTTCTTTCACGCAGCAAGTGTCGCTTGCTGACGTTCACTCGTCACCTTTTTTGCCCAAAGAAGAAGAGGTGCTAGCCCACCTAGACGCGCTTGCGCTCAACGTTGACGTTGTTGACTTGATCTTCGCTTCGTGGCTCGCGTCGGTCCATCGACCGTCCCGTTTACTAACCGTCCCAGCTTTCCTTTCCTTTTCCTTGTGCACAGTTACGCGGGTTCGGTTCTCGAGCGCCATGGTAAGCTGATTGCAAAGGATCATCAGAAATGGGAAAACAGAAGAAGGCAAAGCCCGGTCCCGTCTCGGCCAAGGACCGGCACAAACGCGCTGGCAAGGTCAGCAAGCCGATCGATCGCAGCGAGCCCCTGCCGCCAGGACTCGTCGCCGCAAAACCGATACATGCCGTCACCAACTCGAAGCATCAGTCCTACTTCGAGTTCATAGAGAACAAGGACAAGAAGAAGCCCTTGCTATTCGAGGTACACCGAGCCGAGCTCCTCGACCGCCGGTCGGCCAACTAACGCGTCGCCACAGATCACGCCGAACCGGGTACCCCCACCTGGAATGAAGTATATTCCGATTGGGAATCCAGAACTCACCGAAAGATGCAAAGAAATATCGAGAGAAGTGGGCGCATCGGTCTACATTGTGGTAAGGTCGAACAGCCCCGACCATGGTCGTGCCCACGCTGACATTCTGGCACGCAGACGCAGGCGAAGAGGGAAGCGTCGGAACTCAGCCAACAGATACACCGGGTCGGCCATCACATTCGCGAGTATATTGTGGACCGAGCGATGCATGAACTCGGACAGAACACCTTCTACGAACCCGTAACTATTGGACAGGGCGAAGACGAAGTCGAGGAAATCCCTCGCTCCCAGGCTGAAATCAACAGGCAGGCCGATGCTGCCCTGCGGGAATTATTCCCCCGCATTCCGCACACAGACAGACAGCAGATCATCGATCACGCATTCAAAAAGGTTTGTAAAGGCTTGCCGGCTGCACGAATATCTGCGATGCTTATAAGGACTGCAGGGAAAGACGTTCAACGGAGACCTGGTGGTGGGATTGCAGCAGGAGCTATCCTTGTCGCGTCGCGTGCAGCTCGCGGTCCTTGCTCATATTCGGCACAACCACACCAGATATGACCAACTGCTCCGAGAGACCACCTGGGCAAATGCCAGAAGAGTGACTGAACAACTTTGTCTCGATATCCTCGTCAAGTGGCGAGGAGATGACGAGAACGGACGAAACTCACTCGATGAAATCCTTCGCGAGGTGGTTGTTCTCTCTGACGACTCTGAAGATTCCGATTCTGGCGAAGACGATGATTCAGATTCGTCAGCTGTGCTCACTGACAGATCTGCGAATGTCGCAAGACCTTTGGCACAAGCCGTGCCTCTGGAACGTGCCAACGGGAACCGCATGTCGACTGCGGCCCCGTCCCGTCCGGGCTCTCCAAAGCCGATGGCGACTCCTCCGCGACCTAGGAAGATTACCAAGAAGATGTCCAAGAAGGCCAAGAGAGCTGCACGCCGTGAAAAGCGAAACTTCAGCCGGTACGAGGCTGCCGCCAATCTCGCATGGAACAGCGCAATGCAGCGACAGCGCCAGGCGCCTGACGGGCAGGCCACCCAGACATCCCAAGCAGGAGCGGGAAGTGGTCCCGTTAGTAACGGATCACGCCCAAACCAGTCTGTTGTTTTCATGGAGGGTAGAGCTCCTGCGAATGACCTTGGCTCATTGCAACCGCAGCGGCCCGCTCCCGGGTCATCCGTCAACAATCCCCACGAGACTCAGCGCGCAGAGCACTCCTTTGCGCCGCCGACGTCTTCTCGTCACTTTCCTTCTGGTTCTGCAATGCACAAGGTAAATGAGTCTGGTGGTATGCCAGCGAGCTCCATTGGTCTGCAGGACTATTTGCATCCGTCTATTGAGCCCAAATCGCCCGACGCTGGTCGTCCCCCATCCCGCTTCCAGCGACCCTTGGTGGAATACGCGGATCTGGCAGATGACTATCGCCCTCGTCGAGTGCAGTCACCCCCTCGTGGTCCCGTCGTTCGAGACCAGTTCTCGCATCCCCAGAGGAATCAAGGATACCCAAGTCATAACATGTTTGTGTCTAACGAATCGATGTTTTCGCGGGAGCCTGCTGCATCGTATCGCGGTCCTCCACGGGAACCTCCTCGGCCGCTGGCCTATGGAGCCCCGCGCCAGAGTGACCCGTTGCTTCGGAGAAACGAGCCTGAATTGGGAGCCAGACATAATCCGATCACGATTGAGGATGCCCGCCCGCAAACCGTCATCCTTGGACCTGGGGAAAGTATGCGAGACAGGTTCGGTCCTGGCGTTGAAATCCTGTCAGTTCGTCGTCCAGGACGTGAGGGCCTAGCTCCAGAACGTCAGCGTGTTGCTCCCATGGATGAAGGCTTCATCCGACTGAGAGAGGAACCCCGACCGCTGCCACGAGATGGTCTGCGAGAGGAAGGTTTCCTGAGAATCAGAGAACACCCCGATGCCATGCCTAGACGCCCAAATCAGTTGGCCTACGGCAGGTCTTCGTTGGGAGATTTGCCATCCCAGAGTCTAGGTTCGTTCCGAACACAGCCAGCGGCACCAGACCAGGCGATCTACGTGAGACGTGCTGAGCCGATGCCCCCGACTGGTTCAACATATCCAGCTCCTGGCGCCAGACGTATGGATGGGATGATGTACGAGAGGCCCACGAACCGTGAAATCCAGCCGCTCGCGTACGGCGGATCGTAAGTTTCTTGAATAGTTTGGAGCTTGGTATTTACTGAACCCTTGCGTAGGTATCTTGACCACCAACAACCCCAAGGAGCATACGGCATTCCCGTCCATCGCCATGCCAGACCAGTGCGGGTCGAAGAGCCCCCGATATTTCAGGACTACCCGCCAACCCCTCCCCGTCCGCAACAGTGGCCGCGGTCAAGCGAGGATATTATCATTCTCGACTGAGAATCGACGAGAAGTAACGACGGTTTGCACGATGTGGAGTTGGAGGATACAGCAGCATCTGAGGCGTTCAGGCAACAGCATCTCTGGTGGAATTACGTGGCTATAGCATAAGCGAGTCGAGGTCCGGTCATACGTGAACGGAGGCTTTGTATTTTTTGTTTCAGGCGGCAACGTATCGAGACGGATGCTTTCATGATACCCCATGTGGAGGAGGACGACAACCGCGAAGCAGTGGAAGAGTAACGAGGAAGGGCATTGTAGAGAGAAGGATTTATACGACCTTGATACCCCCGTTAGAGGAAGACAGGATCGGCAGGAAGTGCCGTGTGTGCTATTGGTATAAATATTAGGCAAGATGGCCAAAGTGCCTCGTTGCGTATTGCTGTGTATCCTGGCGGCGCTCCATCCTACTTCACCTACAAACTGTGACCGGTTGAACGTAACCCTTGGCCTGGTGGCCGAGGGGGGCCACTCAGTAGTAGTATGGCTCATTCCTGTACTCTGTGCAGCAACACTTCTGTGTGCAATGGGTTCGAACCTCTGTTTTGTCGCTTTGGTTTGTTTTTGGTGTCTTTTTGGGGTTTTGGATAGCAGAAGTCAACAGAAAAGTCTGGAGAACCCTGAGAAGCAAAACGAGGCTTTCATCAAGCAGTCCACGAGAACCGGCGGTCATACAACACTCGAATCAATACTAGCGTGGGAAAATCATCCATTCATTCGCAGTCGCTGCCCTCCATATAGGTCTATCAACCGTCCGAACGATGCAGCCAACCAATAGAGAAAGAGTCATAGTGCAGATAGGTAAATCCAAGAAGTAGAAGCAATTATCCCGACCAAACCCCATCTAATGTCGTATCGCCGCGCAGACTGATAAATACGTAAACATGCGCGTGCTTGAACTCCATGAAAATGCAACCGACCCACGCACGAATGCATTGAAACAGAACCACCCCGAACGAAAGCGCCGCATCAGTAGGAACGAAAAGAAAGCAAAACAAGTAGGGAGAACCGGTCGTCATGATGCCAACATGGCCTGCCGCACCCTGGCCGGCTCCTGCGCTTCTGGTTCTGGCTCTGGCTCTTCGGGCAGCACGGGTTCCGTGTCGGGTACGGTGGGCAGCTTGTGCTGTTTCGGCGGGTTGCGGATCGCCTCCTCCGCCGCGACGCTGGCCTCGAGCGCCGCCAGCTCGTCCTCGACCTCCTCTTCGTCCTGGTTCGAGATGCGGCCGCCGAGCATGTCGCTGACTTCCTGTACGTGAACGCAATCAGCAAAAGCACAGACACAACACTGCGGCTCTGACGTATGGCAGGACGTACCTTTTGGTAGGCGATGGCGTCGGCCGTCTCGCCCATGAGCTTCTCGACGTGCTCGATGCCGCCCATCTCGGAGTGTATCTCCTTGAGCACCTTTGTGCCCTGCTGCAGGCCGAAGACGACGTCCTTCTGGATCATGGCGAACTCGACCGACGAGGTGAGCTTCTCGAGCTGCTCCAGCTGGGCGTCCGTCTTCTGCAGGAGGGACTCCTGGTACTTTTTCCTGCGCAGGGCGAGAAGCGCGCGGGGCTTGTCGCCCTTTGCGAGCATCTGTTTCGCGACGGCCGTTTCCTTGTCGGTCAACACCGTGATGCGGCGCTGGTACTGGTGGAGCTTGTCGCGCTGGAGCTTGAGGTCGAGGATGGCCCTAGGAGGCGGATGCGCGTTAGCGGTTTGGGGGAGTTGGGGGATGCGGCGCATCGTGTGCGCGATCTTGCGCGGCGGTGGTTGGTGACCTACTTGTCCTGGGCGGTGACTTTACTCGCGTTGCCGCCCATCGTGAGGGGCTCGAAAGCTTTCGAACTATTTGACGGGGTGTATCGGGGAAGGTTTGCGTGTACGGTGTCGGCGGACGACAGCCCGAAAAGTTTTGTTTTTGTGTCAGAGGAACGGAGGTCGTCGGTGGTCGGGCGGCGATTCGCGGCGTCGTGGATGGTGGTGGCGGTGGTGGTTGGTCTCGTGCTCTGCTCGGCTCGGTTTCGAGGCGCAATGCTGCGACGGCGGCGGGCGTCCACCTTGGGGGAGAGGGGGAAGCCGCCGCTGGGGAATGGGCATGTTCGTCATTGCCCCGGGTGTAATGTGGGGCGGAGGTGAGAGATAAGATAAGGACGGGTTAGCAGGTACCGAAGTACCTTGCTTGGTCCGACTTCATGTCTACATCACGACGTGGGATATCTTTCGCATATGAGGCGTATCGCTTGCGTGGGCATTGAAAAATGAGTAAACGCCTTCATATTGATTATCACTCAATGCCTCCGAAAGTTGAAAATGAGACGCCTCCCTCCACCGATACCTAGGATGAGTTGGCGATCTTATGGATGAGTCTCGATCGCAAGTCTTAATCCTTCATATTTGAGCTGGACGATATCCAAAATTTGAATCTCATGGCACTTCATGAATTAAACCTGATAGTATGAAAGCTTTCAAAAAGGGTGCGGCTGCGACTTTTGCTCGCAGAGATGTGAGCCCAACACGTACGCAGGTTTGCTGCACGCTTTTCACCCTCACGAACTCGGAAAAGAGGCACCCTTGTTGGTCTTCTGAGATGAGGAGGGTGATACGATAGAGTTAGACCAGTAAAATGCCTTTACATTGAGAGGGATAAGGGTGTTACTTGCTACGTAAAACTTGTCCGCACCACATTGAGCATAATCCACGATATCTACACCGTCAAGTGATTCCGCATCGAGACTCTGATAATGATCTCATTCCAAGTACATCCACCAGTATCGCGGCTGTATCAGCACACAGTTCTGCATTCTATGACCATGAATTTCACTCACATCACAAGAATGACGCAGCTGAGACCAATAGCCAGATTTTCGCACGACACATTTCATCAACTTACTCAGAGATCTTGTATATGATGAATGCAACATCGTTGGTCATTACCCGTGCTGTCTGGTATACCTAATGCGTTCCAGAACTTAGACAGCCTCTGAAGCAACTAACGCAGACTTCCACATTCTGTAAGGAAGAATAGTATGACGGATATAGCCTGTAGCAAGCTATCAAAACCTATCACCTCAAAAACACAGATTTGGGTTTGAAAGTGAGTTCTTGTTATATCAATAAAGTCGTACCGAACTACCGAAGAGCGTAAATGCCTGCGCAACCTCAGCACGGATTCAAGCTGGGCTCACAATATAGACAGATCATTTTCGTAAGTCATAGAGACCTGATAAGAGCGTAGCTAATGCCTTGCTCTGTGAAAAGCCATGTCCGGCTTGTGTTCATTCTTGCTGAAGATTTAAACTGATAGTGAGAAATATATAGTTGCTTAAGAGTTACTTATAGGGTTTTCGGATCTAAAACCACATGCAAGTCTTGTCGCATAAATATCCTCACCGCTCAACAGCCATTGCTTTCACATGAGATCCATCGTCAACGAACAGGGTCAGCATATGTTTAGCGTTCATTCAGAGATGAGCCATTGAAGAAGCATTTGATATACAGTTTCAGAATCTGATCCGGCTCACCCAAGTCCAACTCAGTCAGATCAACCGCAATCCTCAAGCGAGGAGCCAAGTGAGTCGTCGGATCACGCTCGCTCTCCTGACGGATGGGCTAGGCTGTACCCTCATGACAGGGGAATCATCTCAAAACTCTATGACTCTTTCCATAATCTAACCGGTGTCTATTCTTGGTAATTGGAGACCACTCAGCGCACGACATGGTGCATGGCCGTAAGTTGGAGCCTAGAGATACACCGGCGAAGGCGTAACGCAACCAATATTCAGATAGAGAGTTGCGCCCTAAGAAGCCCGCGATTTATTGAATGAACTCAGAAAGAACCGTGAATGTTGCGTCACTCGAGCAAACGTCATCCTGGTAAGTTCTACTCAAGTAGCGATACGAAACGCCTTAGCCTTACGGGTCACTGGTAGACAGTCGTTTCATGAAAGTAAATCCACAGGCAGTGACTCCAAAACACCGTACGTCAATCCTCTGTGCTCCGGCCTGAAGCCGGGCGGCGTCCGGGAGACGGATCGATGTGGGTCTCACCGTCCCGGCCAGCCGGAGCCCGAGCACATCGGCCCGACAACCTCATCACAGCAGGCTGCAGTTTCAGAGCTCCCGCGCGGACGGAGGCAGACGCGCCGCATTCGAAAACACAGACCTGATTGTCCCTTCCTTCGGGCTTTCGTGCCACTCGACCGGCCCGCCGGGTCGCCGCCCGGACCCCTCCGACCGAAACCGCCCGGCCGGTGCCCCGTGCCCGCAAGCTCCGGGAAGGCTGCCCGGCGCCGCATGGCCGTAGCGCAAGCTCAAGCTTCGGCCGTACTTCTGAAACACCACCATGCGAACGCAAACCATAAACATCAGAGTTTTAATCGCGCCATCGTTAAGCTCCCGCGGATTCGCGAGGGAAAAGTCTGTGTGGCTCCGATGACAACGGACTGGTCAACCTTTTTCCACGTCTTCCCGGAAGTCTAACCTTCCAACGCTTTGCTTCTTACATAACTTCAATTTCTCTGTTTGGTGTTGAGATGCAGGATCGCCCAAAATAGCCCCTGCTATAGGCAACCACCACCCAATGCGCTGTTGGATTCTTTTCTGTTGAGGGTTTCGGGCTTCAAACGAGTTCCATATGTCGCCTCTGGAACGGACTGTCACCTCGGACGGAAAGACAAACCTGTTCCGGGCAAAGTGTCTTGCGACCCGAATTTCCCGCATTGTCAACTTTCCCATCGCCACGTACCAAGAAGCAGGAAAAAGTCTGAATGTGCCATTCTCGTCCGGATCCAAGGGTCTGCGCCGTTGCCGGTGCCAGGGAAACCGCCAGTTCGATGACGATTAACTTTGACGGCAGTGGCCGTAACCCCCGGGCAGGTATGCACATCTTCCATTCTGCAACCGCAAACTCTGCTACGTCCACACTGAGCCAAGACCCAAGATATGCAGAGATAGGGGAGGAAGAAGAAGAAAAAAATTCTCCAAATATTGAAGGCCTGGAATGTCAATAATGTCGCATTGAAGACATTCTACCTCCCCAAGAAGGCACTCCATCTCCGCACGCTCATATCCGTGCCGCCCACATTACGAACGAACGACTCGAGTCGAGCAGGAACGGAGCAGAAAAAAAACCTGGCCCGGTAGCATTCGGCGGAGGGGATCTGCAACTACTGTGGTCCCGTCGTGGCATTCCCCCAGACGGCCAGCGCCGTGAAGCGAGCGAGCGATTGACCGGCCGGCCCGCCGATCTTCGCACGCCAAACCACCAAGAAGTGCTCGCGCGCGTGTGTGTGTGTGGCCCCCTCTTCTCCTCCCCCGGTGTCCGCTTTACAGACTTCGGGCTTAGACGATCGACTCGGGCAACGATGAGCGCGATTCTCCATGCCGCCGGGTGCGCCGAAATCAGGGAGCACAAAGAAAAAAAGGAAAAACTCGGATTGTTTGTTGAAGGATTCCTGGCTGACCAACGCCGGCTTTTCTTAGATAGAGTTAATTAACCAGCCAGAAGAATTTTTCTGCCATCTGGTCTGAGCTCGTTGGTCGGTAACCATCGAATAACAAATCGGTGCTGGAATCCTTACGAGGGAAGTCTTGGAAAGATATGTCCTGGCTCGGCATCATTATGCGATCTGCCGCAGTCTTTCCCTTGCGGGCGCGTTTACGACGTGACGAGACCCAGCGACGATGGCAACGTCGTGAATCACATATGACAACAAACCTGAATTTCTTCAAAACCTCCGACCAAAAATATCTGCAAGTCGCCCCCTTGGAAGATCAAGGTCATCTCTTTGGCGGATTGCGAAAGGGAGCCAACGCCTCGCGCGCCAACACCTTCTGTCAACCAAGGGTCCAGTTTCTTATTGCATGTGGCCCGGCGATCTTCCCACGCTACTCGGCTTGGGCATCACCGGCGCCGCTGACGAAGACCGATCGCGCGCCCCGTCAGAAAGAAAGACCCAGAGACGCGGACGGCGCGAAACGACGGACGCCAGACAGCCCGATCTAGAAGATCCCACGCGCGCCTGCAGAAAAATAATAATCAACGGGCGGGCGCCGCTTCATCAGCGCAGCACCGGTTCCTCCTGGTTAGCCGTAGATAAACAAGATCCTTCTTTTTCGTTGTTTTCCGAGGCCCTGCATCGACACGCGATATCCCGGGGGAGGCTTAGAGCAGAGGCTAGCGAAGCAGAATAAACACGCCCAAACAATGCGGCCAAGTGGATGGAGGCATCGTCGAGCAGGTTTCTTGTTTAGTGGACTGTCCAAGGATGATTCCTCCCGCCATCGACTGCGCACTACTGCGCACTGCAGTGGTTGAAGCTGTGTACAATTGCACAAAAGTTGTGCAAAAGGTGTCGTCCTATCGAGTCGGGCATCTGTGGGCCTCTCCGCTCGTAGCGACACCCCTGCAGCTACGCTCACTCCCCGGAGCGGCGGCGGCGGCCGGGGGGGAGGCTGGGAGTGGGAGGGCCGCAGCGGTTCCCCACTCGCCGGTGCTGGCCGGCTCTCCCCGGCCTGTGACGGCGATCCAAGACAACGCATCGCGGATTTCGCTCGCTCGGCAGACGACACGACGTGAGGTGGAAGAAAAAAAGGGAGGACGGTGAAAGTGGGTAACTTGCGCTTTCCGTCGCAAACAGTCACAACAGTCCACTGTATTGCCCAAACTTGTTTCCAAGTCAGTGTGCTCGATTGATTAAAAACTTGTTCCCCAGCGCAGCTAGTTTAGCGCCCCTTCTGTGTATTCCAGCCCTGTGAAGCATCTAGACTCTTCATCGACCGTAGGTACGTACGCATCCGTCGTTTCACAGCGCTGGGGGACGTTGCTTCACGGTCGCGTAGCTCTCGCGAGCTGCTCCACGCTGTTTGCTTCTCCCGGGCGGTCTCGAACTCTCCGTCTTGCGACGTTTCCACAGAAGAAGCTATTCCGTGACGACAGTTGTGCAGCATAGCGACCCAGAAGTAGAACGATCCAGGTGACGACGAAGAGACTGTCTGGAACCACCGTTCCCCATTCGCTTCACTAAGAAGGTTCCATTCTCGACTGAAGCGAGCAGGAGCCGGTGGTCAACTGATGAGACGACTTTGCAATTCGGGATCCATGTCTCTCTCGTGGTTCCCCGTCGCACCCGAACGGAGGGAACCACGGCCACTATTCTTACCCACGCACGGAGTCTAGAATACCGCGGCGCCGCGAGTTGAGCAGAGACTATGACGAAGGGAAACATGCACTCCGCATCTATGTTTCGACTACCACGCCCTTTTTGTGCAGAGGGTCTCTGCAACAACGGAGAGCATTGCACATACTGCCTCCACATCGTATGTTTGCAACAAACCCGTCGTCGCACGCTGGAGAGCTGGTGAGCAGAATACCAGCGCAAACAAGCGCACAATCGGGGACCAACTACCGCCCGCATTGAAACAACAGGTCTCGGCCTTGAACGAGTTCTTGCGCTTACGACCAGACTTCACCCTGGAGGCCTTTGTTTTTCATGCCGTTCTGTCTCTCGTTTGGAGAAAAAAACAACAACAGACTTGCATAACGCTGTATATTGCCGGCCTCGCCTATCGCTGTGGTCTTATGCGTTTAACAAGAAGCAAAGTCGCACACAGCCCCCTTTTCCCTCGTGACTGAGACACCCTGACGGGAAAACGACGGGGAAACACACTGGTGCGAAAAAAAAAGATGAGTCAACCTCAAACCAGAGAGACTCAAAACAACAAGAACCACTCTGCACAAAACCGTGACAGCATCACGGGGAACCCAGCCGGAAAGTTTTAAAAGCGGGGATGGGCAGCAGCAAATGTTCCCCAAAATAAAAGTTGGAAACGGGACACATGTGAAGTGGGATGTACCTCTCCCTAGCTTTTTTTTCTCAATTGCTGGGTTCTAGGCGAGAATGAGAGTCTCCATTTCGAAGGTCCAGGACTTT